GAGCTCCCCACTGCGGGCCACGCTCTCTGCTGCTCACCTGCCAGGCACAGTTGGCAACCACCAAGCTCTCCGTTCCGGCGAACTGGAAGAGGTAGCAGGAAATTTATTTCATCGCAGTCTACACAACCCACATTCGGGCGGTGATAAATACCGAGACCGGACTGTCGAATGTCCTAGGAGTCTCACACTGACAATCAGTGATTCAGTCGCAGCCCAGGAGGTCTCGCGCGAGATGCGAAACTCTCGCCGAAACCTTCCTTTTAAACAGTTTAGCACTCAAGCACTGTCTGACAAAGAAATCGGCCGTATCCCTGCTCGTAAATCATCTAGCAGTGATTTACCGTGACCGATGAAGCGGCTGCGCGTTCCCAGGCGTGCACCGACCCTGGTGGCGCCTATCGTGGTCGCTCTGCTAGTTCTGATCGGTCTCTTCTCGCGGACGCAAATGGGATCCAGCTTGGCGGGATCTGAGGGGTCAGATGGTCCCAAACTCCGACTGGTCATTCTCACCCAGAGGCGTGTGGAAAGCTTTTCGAGGCTCCTGAAGTCCATACGGGACAGCGAAAGCTTGACGGGCGTCACGCAGGTCGACATATTCGTGGATGGTTGGCGGGACCGTCACAGCAGCGAGACGCTGGCGGCACTTCGCAGCACGGTGGCCGAGTTTGAGCGGAATGTCGCGCCGATTCCGGTGGAAATGCACGTCAGACTTCAGCAGGATGGGTTGAGGATGTCGTGGTGGTCAGCTTTCTATCCCGTACGGGACGACGAGTATGCGTGGGTGCTCGAGGACGATCTACAGATTTCTCCTCACGGCGTCGCGCTCACCATGCACGTCCTCCGAACGTTGCACGACCGAGCGCGAGATGATCCGGACCTCCTGAAGATGATGCTTCTGTGCTCGCACAGGGTTGTCATGACCGAAGGCGTCTCGACCCGGCTCTCTGCATGGCCTGCCTTCTGCCCATGGGGTCCGGTGGTTGCACCACGGCACTGGCGGGAGTTTCAGCACTGGCTACGGGACAAGTATGTGGAGACGTGTTTCGTGCCGTACACTCCGGGACTACCGGTAATCAATAACTTCTGGTTTTCTGGCAGCAACGAGCCGGAGAGTATGGCATGGCGGTACATTTACGAGCGCGGCCTGTTCTCCATCGGGATCGAAGGCCTGGGGCTAGCGATCAATCACATGGAGGTCGGCGAAAACTATCCAGTTTCGCAGACACCCGACATGGACCTCATCACCACAGCGGAACAGGCAGAGCAGTTTCGTGCAGCAGTAGACGAGCAGCTGCGCATCTCCAACTTGACGTACCGAGATGGGGGATTCAATCTTCGGGATCGAGACTACGCGTTCAAGGAGATGATGGTCCCCAAATCTGTTCCCACACCAGAGGCCGACTTCATTCATCAAATCGAGCAGGAAGTGAGGGAAAATTTCGAGTGGTACACGAGCGAGAGTGCGCCCAATCATCGGTGCCTGCCGATGCCATTGACAGTCGAACTGCCACGCGAGAAGGAGAGCGGCAGCGAGCAACGTCATTAGCCGTTCACGGCAGAGCATCCCTCATGGAACATATGACATCGTGGCCAAGGTTGCTACGCACTCACGGCGAGACGCTCGTGTGTGAATCAGTCCCCAGCGACGCGCAAAAAAGGCTCCGAGAAGTCACACGACCAGTCGAAGGGGTGGCCAAACACAACAGCAGCGATAGAGTACCCGCACGCGAGACAGCAAGGCCATCATGCGGCCCGCACCCCTATCTCTGCCTGCTGTGCTCGGCTAGCGGCAATCTAGCAGTAGGCAACTTGCCGAACTGGTTGGCTCAGGTCAGACTGACACCTCGTGGTGGTCGGCCCGGCATCGTCTCCTCCCCATCCTAATGAGTGGTCAGCATGACATGGTAGGGAAGAACGGGAGTGCATAGTGAAGGGGGGAATTATACGAGGTTGCACAAAGTATCGGGAACAAAAGGGTTGACAGCGATCGGTCCCGCGGCGCGCCGAGACAACGGGCCGAGGCTCGGCCCGAGCATTGGACTGAGCTCCAACGAGGACACAATTCGGGTGAGGTTGGTGCGGTTTGCTGCTGGATTTTGGTGGCAAGGGCGAGGTCTGTTGGCACCGTGAAGCGCTTTGTGCGCAACGAGGTCACAGGAGACGTGGGCGTCGAGGTCACACTCGCACGACCAACGGGCACCGGAGAACGGGTGAAGTTCGACTACATGACCAGCAGCATCTAGCACGTGTTCATGACAGTTCATGCACAGCAGAATGAAATGTGTGCTCGCACAGCCAATTTCCGCTGCACGCTGCGTACGCAACGACGGAACACATAGAGCAGGGCAACACGATCGCGGCGCCGCGGGCGGTGTTCCTGCACATGAGCACGGCGTTCGTCCCGGGCCACCTCCACGTCGCACTGTTCGGGCGCGGAGGCAAAGCAGCTGCGCATCAGTCGACTGGGACCGCGAAGCGTACAGGAGAGCCATCGAGGCCAGCCGGCCCAGCCACCGAGCGCTGGAGGCCATTCGCGAGGCCTTGCAGCGAATGCGCCAGCAAATGGAATCGATGTGAAATGCAACCAGGCCGAAACATGTCTGGCACCAGCGACCAGCGACTCGCCTCGTCTCGCCAGTGCAGCTAACGACCCGCCGACGACGACGGTGGTCCTGCCAACGCCGCCGAATGCGCGACACCGAGCTACGAGACTTTTGTGAGCCGGGGAGATAAGCCACGCCGCCAGCGCCGGGGCGTGGTACGACGGCGCGTGAACACGACCGGTCCCGCGCGCTCGTTTTCGCGCGGAGCATACCCACGCGTCGTGGCGGGTGCCTCCTCCACGTAGCTGACGTTCCAGCGGCGGCTCACGTTGCCATAAGTAGTCGGAAGGTCAAGCTCGACGACGTTGGGTCCATGAGTGGCGACGATGGTGAGTGGTCCCACGAGGCGGTCGCGTAGCTTGCCTTTCGAGACAGCTTGCGGCACGCGTAGATGCTTGGTTGATAGAAGAACTTGCTGGCCGACGTAGAAGTCGCCTGGTCGGCGCGTTGTGCTGTTCACGGCCACCTGCCAGCGGCTTGCTCAAGTGCTCGTCGCGCGGCCCGCTGGGCACGGTAAAACGAACGAAGGAATCGCGATTCCTTCCTTCGTGTAAATGCGGCGTAGCCATGCTGCAGGGGTCGTATCGTCGACAGAGTTCAGGATAGACGTTGCAATGAGGTGTGACGCGTCCGTTGGGTGTTGTCCGCCGGCGGCGTTCAGAAAGAAGGGTGTGTAGCCTGTAGCTGCGGTGTTGTTGTAACAGAACTCCGCAATTGAGAGGTGCAACAGCCAGTCATTGCCTTCGTAGTTGACGAACGCACGTAACATGTTCTGAGCGGACTGGTTGGAACGCTCTGCTTGTCCATCAGACCGAGGGTACTATGGAGTCGTGAAGTTCAGCTTCAAGCTGAACAAGTTGGTACCCATGCGACGGATCGCGGAACTCCAGAACTCGCCAACGGATCGAGGGTCTCGATCCGAGTTGAAGGTCGTCGGTAGCCCATGTAGCCGGTAAATGTGTCAAATGTGTTGAAACAAAACAGCGCACTCCTCTGAAGTCGGGCGCGGCCTCCGCAGCTAAGATAGCATACCGCCCACCTTGAGGGCGGACGATGGAGCGTGCCAGAATCACGCCGGGAAGTGGCGAAAAGGACGGACCAAGCACTTCAAACCTCCTTACAGGGATGCCAAAGAGGAAGGAAGACCCCCGCTGCGGGCAAGGACGCCTGCGGATAGCCTGCGTCTCTCCGCGCCCCGGATGGCTCGCGCGCGTGCCGGACCTGAGCGCGCGCCAGTTGTTGTCGTGCGAGTTCTGCCTCGAGAAGGAAGAGCCGCAGCCGAAAGAGTATTTCGTCACGCCCGGCCTCCGGGCGCGGGCGCGTGTGAGTCAGGTCCCGGAGCTCTTCAGTCGGTTCCTTATACGCACTCCGAGTGACGAGTCGTCATGCGTGGCTCACCATGATGGCTTGCGTATCACCGGGTCTGTGAAGTTGTGAGTTCGGGGTCTCCCCAGGAGTGTCGCCGGCCGACGCCTTCAGGACGCCGGGGTAGTCCTTGCGTCGAGTACCGGCACGCACGCAGCAATCGTCATTGACAACAGACTCGACCCATCTGCAGGTGGTGTGTTGCACTTCACCAACACGGCTGCTCTGCTGACTTCATGCGAGCGTGTTCTCCATCACTGTCCTTGTTACACCACCCTTTGATTAGTCTGTGATCGTCTAGCTTGCATTCTGCTTGATAGGATTCCATTTCATGCTCAACGTTAGGCCCTGGCAGGCGCTGACTTCGCCAGGCCTGGCCATGGGCTGCAGAACTGAGTTCAACTCACAGAACCCGGGGTGGCCACTGCCCACGGCGGCCAGTGGCCAGGCCAGAACATCGGAGAAGGAGCCCCGGTATGAAAGAGCAAAATGGGCGACCCATTCCAAACTTTGCCCCCCCCGGGGCAATCTCCGGGTCAGTATTACTGAGTGACCTTCACCCGACCTCCGCACTGCAGCTACACTGCGCGCAGATCTCACGAGGCGCTCATATACATATCCAAGCGCAAGGATTGCGATTGAGCCGTGAGGGGACACCAACCTCCTTCACTTACGACGAAATCACGCGCTTGGCGAAATCCAACGGATCAGCCAGGTGCGACGGTCAGCGAAATGCGATGTTGGCGGCTGCGATCGATACAGTGGGCAGGCTGTAGCGGCAAGAAGAGAGAGCAGAGCACCACGGCAGCGCAGGGCTAGCAACAGCGTTTCAGGGTCGCGGGGCGTGAGTGTGGCATCGCGCGCCAGGCCGAGCAGCACGAAGCTGGCCAGTACATCCGTGGGGCCATCAGGGCCGGGGATTGCCGACGGACAAAGCATGCGCGCTTTGCGGGGAGTGAGCTGGCTCTGCACGGACTGACGAAACCCTCTGTGGGGAATACTGCGGCTGTGCAGGAAGCGGGGCTGATCAATATGGCGAGCAGCAGCACGGTGACGCGCACGAAGCCGCAGCAGGAGCGGAACAGGGTGCTGGTGATGGGTGGTGCAGGCTTCGTGGGCAGCCACCTGTGCGATTACCTCGTGCAGCGCGGGGATCACGTAATTTGCGCAGACAACCTCTTCACAGGCAGCAAGTCCAACGTGTCCCATTTGATGGGCTGCGAAAACTTTGAATTCGTCCGGCACGACGTCGTACAGCCCTTGCTGCTGGAGATTGACCAGGTGTACCACCTGGCCTGTCCAGCGTCGCCGATTCACTACAAGTACAACCCGATCAAGACATTGAAGACGGCATTCATTGGCACGCTGAATATGCTGGGTCTCGCCAAGCGCTGTGGGGCACGACTTTTGCTGGCGTCCACGTCCGAGGTGTACGGCGATCCCCTGGAGCACCCGCAGAAGGAGACCTACTGGGGCAACGTGAATCCCATCGGGGAGCGCGCGTGCTACGACGAGGGCAAGCGCGTGGGCGAGACGCTGGCCATGGACTACTACAGGGAGCATGGTACGGAGGTGCGGATTGTCAGGATATTCAACACTTACGGCCCAAGGATGGCCCTGGACGACGGGCGCGTGGTATCGAACTTTGTGGCCCAGGCGCTGCGCGGGGAGAACCTGACCGTGTACGGCGATGGATGTCAGACGCGCTCGTTCCAGTACGTCAGCGACCTGGTGGCAGGCCTGGTGCGGACGATGGACGGAGATCACATTGGGCCGTTCAACATCGGGAACCCGACGGAGTTCACCATGAACGAGCTCGCGCAGCTGGTGCGGTCCAAGGTCAACCCCGACGTGCAGGTGGTTTACAAGCAAAACACCGCAGACGATCCCAAGTGCCGGAAGCCCGACATTTCCAAAGCCAAGGAGCTGCTCGGGTGGGAGCCGACAGTCCCGCTGGAGGAGGGTCTGCCGCGCATGGTGGGCGACTTCCGCAAGCGGCTCGGACTGACGTGAGGACTCGCCTGTCGCTGTGATCATGACTGGCACACTGCAGGTCTGCCAGTGGCCTCTGCCACATAGGGGTCCAGAGGCTTGCCCAACCCATGCACTACGAAACCAATCTTTCGCAGCGCATCGCGGTTGAGTATCAGCCTGCCATCAAAAACGCTCGCCGGCTTCTCCATGAGCTCGTAGGCGCGTTCCCAGTCCACGGTCTTGAACTCGTCCCACTCTGCACAGGGATCTCGATGTCAATGGGGCCGAACATTCTCATCGTGCACCGCTTCCTCAATCTCGACACGTTGAGAACCAGCACTGACACTGCGCAGAACCACGCCTTGCATCGACAAACGCGCATGCCGCACCTGTGAGCACCAGCGCAGCATGAGCGCCCTTGGTCGCAGAAAGAGCGTCCCCGACCACATTTACGTGAGTTCGCACCGACTTGTTCCGTTCGGCCCGCACACTCTCCGCCAGCGGATGGTCCCACCACTCATGCACACTGGCATGTGCTAGGGCCGTCATAATATCTTGCTCCGAGACCTGGGGATCGTACACTGCGATGTTGGCTCCTTCATTAAGGAGGCGCTTGCAAATGGCGATCGCAGGGCTCTCCCTCGTGTCTCCTGTATTCTTCTTGAACGCAAAGCCCAGAACTGCAATGCGCTTGCCACGAACCGTGTTGAAGAGCGTCGCCACGATGGCGTCGACGAACCGCTCCTTCTGGAACTCGTTGATCTTCAGGACCTGTTCCCAGTACTCAGCAACTGGTTTTAGGTTAAGTGTCTCGCAAATGTATACCAGGTTCAGAATATCCTTCTGGAAACAAGAGCCACCAAAGCCGACCGAGGCGTTCAAGAACTTGGGCCCGATGCGCGAGTCCATTCCAACGGACGTGGCAATTTCCTGGACGTCCGCACCAGTCGCCTCGCACACCGCGGACATCGCATTGATGGACGACACCCTCTGAGCCTGCAACAGAGCAAGCAGAATAACGCTGTGTGTGTGAGGAACGAGGGGCTGGTCCGGCGGGGAGAATGAAGGGGGCCGGGGCGGGGCCGGGGAGGCGCACCAGCATAGCGTTGGCAGTCAGCTTCGCTAATTCCGCACTCCAAATGGAAGACTTGAGAATGCGTTCCCGCGGAATCCACTCCGCGTATACGGATGCGAGCAATTCGCATGCTGCGGCACCCGCATCGCTTCGAGCGTGCCCAATCAGCACCCGGTCTGGCTTGAGCAGGTCATTGATTGCCGTGCCCTCAGCAAGAAACTCCGGGTTTGACAAAACCTGAAATTCCGCCTCCGGCGCGCACTTCGTCAGCACGCGCTGGATTGCATCCGCCGTGCGCACCGGCACTGTGCTCTTCTCCACCACCACCTTCTTGTCGCCAGCCTTGCAGCACGTCGCGATCAACCGAGCACAGCCCTCCCAGTACGTTAGGTCGGCCGCCTTCCCCGCGCCGATGCCGGTGAGCTTCGTGGGGGTATTGACGGCCACGAAGATCATGTCGGCCTCGGCCACGTACTTCTCCTTCTCGGTGCTGAAGAACAAGTTGCGCCCACGAGTCTTCTTGACCACCTCGTCCAAGCCTGGCTCGAAGATCGGCAAGCTGTCGGAATTCCATGCTGCACAGCATCACATAATACAGAACGATCCCACACATGTGAGCCGCCAGTCGCGTACGAGCACTCCTGTCTCAGCCCGCGAAGAAAGGGCAACGAGACGGGCAGCAGTCCAGACCGCGGCTGAAAGGACGTAAACCGTACCAGCGATGCGATCCTCGTTGACGTCGACGACGGTCACCGTATGGCCAGGGCAGCGATCCGCCATAATGGCCATAGTGGGCCCACCCACGTAGCCCGCTCCGATGCACACAATTCTCATAGTGGCTCTCTGCACGCCAGGGCATTCGGACAGGCAATCCTATCGCGACACCGTCTGATACGCACGTCATCCTACCTGCATTCCTGCGTGTCCCGCACCCCGCTGTGACGGAGGGACCGAGCTCCCCACTGCGGGCCACGCTCTCTGCTGCTCACCTGCCAGGCACAGTTGGCAACCACCAAGCTCTCCGTTCCGGCGAACTGGAAGAGGTAGCAGGAAATTTATTTCATCGCAGTCTACACAACCCACATTCGGGCGGTGATAAATACCGAGACCGGACTGTCGAATGTGACATTATGTCAGTGACTCTCAGTGACAGTCAGTGACATCAGGCCCGCTGGGGTCCTGCCGTGTGGCTGAGGGGCCTGGGCTCTTTGCTACTTTCCGTGTGAAGACGATACCACACCTACTCGACCTGGCCGTTGTTGAGGAGACGCTCGAGCGCTCGGTGCCACCATGCACGCAAAAAGGGCCATAGGGTCATTTGTGACTGCAGCAAACGCCCAGGCGGCCGCTGCGGTACTCTCGTGGGTCGCCGTCAACGTCATTCTCACACTTTCCAACAAGTATTTGATGGGTAGGTTTTCGAGCTGCTCGTGGATTCTCAGTGCATGAGGCTTGCGAGTGCGATGCCACTGACGGCTCTCTGAGGCTGTACGGCGACCCGTGGCTTTTAAGCCAAGCTGCTGCTGCTTTTGTTGCTGCCGGGCAGAGCCGGGAAATCCCACTTTCTGAAATTGCTGCACCTGCCTCTCTTCCCGTGCACTCTGCAGCCCTGTCGCCCTTGCGGTTGCCCGTCACAGTCACCTTACTGCATATGGCTGCGTCAGCAATGATGTGCAATCTCCTCGTTGGTCTCGAATATTTCGAGGCAGAGTCCATCACTTCCGTGACGCAACTGGGTGGCGTGGCCATGCTAGGTGCTGCTGTCGCGCTGTCAGTCTCCACAGGCGTAGCGTGTCTGAAGTATGTTCCTGTTTCGCTGGACATGGCAGTGGGGTCCACCACGCCCGCGTGGGTGGCTCTCCTAGTGTTCATCTCTCTCCGACGCGTGGAAACGGCTCAGGCAAGGCAACAATCGCGAACGGCAGCAGCAGTAGTAGACGTCTGATAAACTCCGCTCGATCGTGGGTACTCTCTGTGTCTGCTGATCCCATGGATGACCTCAAACCATCCTCTCCGTCACACTTGTTCATCCTTTTAGGTGTACACGGCACTCGTCGTCTCAGTGGCTGGGTGTCTCATGGCGCTTGGCGCAGACCCCTCCTTCCACGCGCTGGGCTTCCTCCTGTCCTTCCTATCGATGTTCGGAAGGGCCGTGAAAGCTCTGATGCAGCAGAAGCTCATGTCCACTGGCGCTGTCAAACTCAGTCCCATCAACCTCCTTTCCTTCCAGGTACGTATCGCCTGTGGTTGCTGCCCATCAAGCTTGCCTGCCAGACGCAGAGATGACTGCGAGATCATCAGCTTGCTATATGTGCGGACGACTGCACGGGCTGGCCATTGTTTCTTGCAGGCAACCACAGCTTGTGTCCTCTTGCTGCCTCTGGCTATTCTCGAGGGGCCTGGAGAGCTCGTGGGCGTCTTGCAAAAGCAGCTGCAGGAAAGAAACTTTCTCTGGTTGGCATTCTTCGGTTGCAACATCTTCTTGGCGTTCCTGACCAACCTTACACAGTTTTGGATGACGCAAGCGACGAGTGCGATCACATCGCAGGTGCGTGGTCAGACCGCATGCGGATTATCACCCGCAATCGGCAGAGCTGGCTTTCCGCGTGAAGATGCGATCTTGCATCTTGTCACACTCTTACTCTGTCGCAGCTCGTCGGGAACGCGAAGAACGTGGTGCTGTCGGCACTCTCCGTCATCATCTTCCAAAACCCCGTCACTATGGCTTCGCTGGTGGGATATGGCATGACATTCGCCGCAGTGGGCTACTACGCACATCTCAAAAACTTGCCTGAACATGCTACCAGACAGCTACATTGATAGGATGAGCACAACAAGATCACAGCGCTTGGATGACGCACACTGACGTCGAGCGCTTTCAAGCACGGCACCGACATCACCAGAAGCGTCGTGTGTATCGTGCCGCGTACTTCAGCTCCCACACTCGTTCAGGGCGCTTAGAACACAGCGAGGCCGCCCAAGCAATTGAGTGAGTCACAACCGTCAGCGTCATCAGCCTTTCGGGAGAGTGCACCGAGGGGCGCACATAAAACAGCAGCCAAGGCTGCCACTAGCCCACTCTGGACAGCTGTGACAGCTCCCAAGGGCTAGCGGGTGTCAAGAGCCCGACTGTGCGGATCGAAGAGGCGCCGCGCGTTCCAACAAGCGGGCACACAGCGTGCCAGCGCCCAACATGTTGCCGATGGGGGAAGTCAATCGTCATCATCAAGTCGGACCTAGTTCCCCCAGGCCTCCAGGAGTCCTAGCAGCCCCTGTAGGGCCAGGAATGGCCGTCGAGGGCGCGTCACACGTGACAACCCCCACGTTGCCGCATCGCGAGAAGTGACGCGTCGTATGGCTGCAGAAGCGAAGCGTGTCGCATGTACTGACCAGAAGAAGGAGACCCACTGAGAAGGAGACCAACACCGCGAACCCGCACGTGGAGGAGGGGGCCGGGCTGGCCTGTCAAAGAGCGGTCACCACACCCCATCGCTGCAGCAGGATGAAACATCGCCTTCGAGGAAACAAACTCAACGCTGCGCAGCGCATCGCAAAGCCCTCTTGAGGTCCGCTCCAGGAACCCCACCTACTGCACGAACATGACGACCATCGGAGAGCAGAAGGACGCTCTTTCCCCCGGAGGATGTAGCGGCGTCTCGAAACCCCGCTCCAAAGGAGGATCAGCACCTGTGAGTTCCTCGCAGTAGAGAGCAGCTTGCCTGTTCTTCGCGCTGCCTTGTGCAGAAACCTGGTTTCTAAGCTCATCGAATACGAACGTATCGTCACCACCACGGCGCGTGCAAAGGAACTGCGGCGTCTGGCAGAGAGAGCCGTCACGCACGGGAAGAGCTACAGAGATGCCTGGTACGTGTCGTTTGCGAGCAATATTTGCGGGTGGGCTTGCGGCCGGGGACTGCCGATCGTGCAACATGCGCGATCGCGGTACATCGCTGTGCGACCGCGTGCGACGCCGACCTGAAGCTCGCGCTGCGATGTCTTGCAGTGCTGAGCAGGCAGCACCTGCGATGCGGAGAGCCAAGCAGAGCGTGCTGAATACCGTCTTCGACAACAGTCGACAGGACATCAGTAGGAAGCTTTTCGACGATCTCGCTGTGCATTACAAACACCGCAGTGGAGGTTACACCAGGTGACCCTCGGGCCTCTCGGACACACGTATCCCTGCGTGATTTGTCCGGCCGACTTGGTGCAACCCCGCAAGACCTGCGACGAAGTGCGTACTTGGTGGCGATTCCCGCAGGTTGCTCGCAGCGGGGAAACGAAAGGGCGATGCAGCACCAATGGCGCTCGTCGAGTTCGTGGACCGGGCCGAGAATGTGAGGCCGACACGTCCCTCGAGCATGCGCCGCAGTTCGGGCGGTCCTGGCCTTTCGTTGACGGCCGAAGTTGGTGTTCAACGACAAAGGATCACAGAGGGTCGTCCACACTAGCCATTCCAGACGTGGTGCCGTGCGCCCGGGCGTACTCTGATCGGGAGTGAAGTGATGGCCCCGGCGCCGGATGTCGGCGAAAGCGTCAGCGATAATGGCTCCAGGGCGCCGATATGGATATGTATGCCATACTATGGCGGTGTTGTTGGGCGCTGACACAGTCATCCCACTGCTGTGACATCGGGACTCGCAACGAGCCTCCTTCTGTTGCGGATCATTCGCCGACGTCAAATCAGGCCCAGATCCACGCGCGTCGCGGTCACCACCTTCGGACCAGCGACGTAGCACCGCAAGTTTGCGAATTTTGAAGGGCGACAAGATGCTGGACACAGGCCACGGTACGCACGAGTGTCCAGAGCGTCGACCGGCTGTTTTGCACAACAACTGCTCGTCGAGGCGGCCCCCATTCAGCACGTTCATCGCACTGGTTTCCTGTTTTGTGCGCCGCTCATGAATGCGGGGCAGCCACTGCTATTGCTTTCATACCCCCACTTTAACGCTCGATGAGGTGTCGCATTCTTCGCGTCGTCGGTCATTAGGCTGCAGGACCTAAAATCATTTTCCAGACCATGTGGCTAGATGGCGAGTCGTGTTCACCCTCAACCGTTATGGTAGCGACAGGTTCGCCAGCTGCGTGATAGAGTCAGCTTGCAGCAGGCCCTCGATGCCACGAGCAGAGAGCGCCATGCCTCGCTGATTCGGCAGGTTCAGAAGATAACGCACGGCAGCCTTGGCAGCGGCTTCCGAGGGCTGCGGCACCGCGCAAGTCCTTGAGGCGTTGGCGCAGCTGGCGGTTGAGAGCGAAGCGGCGGCGCTGTCCAACAGTCGCCGTGGACGACAGGGGCAGCGGGCGGGGGTGGTAGCGTGTTCCTCACATCATTGCGCTTTCGCGCCCCGTGCCTGCTTGCGCAAATCTTTCTGAATGTGCATGATCGAGTCGACAATCTTCTGGAAGCTCGGCCGGTGGGTCGGCGAACTGTGCAGGCATGTGTTGACCAATTCAATCAAGGGCGCTGGCGCCTGGAAAGCTGCATCGTCGAGGGAGACCGCTGCTGCTTCGCCCAGTGCAGCGATGAACTCGGTGTGCGACACGTTGGCATGAGGCCGCTGGCCAACCAACATCATGTACGCCAGGCACCCAAAGGAGTAAACATCGGCCTTCGGTGTCGCAGCCGCCCCTCGCAGCACATCATGGTCCAGGAAAAATACATCGTCTGCAGCGACATGCGTCGGAGCCGCGGGATGAGATATTGCGTCTGAGATGCAGTGCTTGGGTGTGCACCACACTGTGCGCCACACGAAACCGCACCTGAAGACTGCAGCTGTTCGATGACATTCTGTGTCAGCGTTCGGAAGCTGCCGACCTTTGCCTTGACGCCTCGCGGTGTACGCATCGCTGGGACAAACACAACTGATGATGGGCATAGCTGGCCATGCACGATCCCGCGGCCGTGCAGGTAAGCCATGCCGCTTGCAATTTCACGCATCGTCCATGCAACCGCAGCGGCGTCCCCCCCGCCCTCGTCTCCTGAAGAGAACAACGTGTGCACGTCCCAGAGCGTTCCAGCGGAGCACAACTCCTGTACAGTCCACGTTTCCCAGTCTGGGACACTCGGGCTACCCGACTCATGACCACCATCAGCGCTTGCAGCGATGCGGCTGCCGCCAGGACGCCGTCGCTGCGCAAACTTGAATGTTTGCACAACATGTGGGTGGAGCATGTTGATGGAGAGCGAAGCCTCGGCGCGAGCGCGAAGATCCTCCGACGGAGCACGGTGTCGCAGGATTGTGACGGAAACCGGAGCACCGTCCCAAAGCGCCCTGCGTGCGCCGGAACACCAGGTACCCAATGAGAGGGTGGGTAGAAAATCGACAACACGCAGGGGCTCGCTGTCAGCGCGGCATATCTGTGCGGCGCGGTGACGGGGACTCACGAGTAGGTTTCGCTGTCGGTACAGGTTTCCAGCACGGCACCTAGGGCAACGTCGACGAATGGTGGCTTTGACGGAAGCACCCCTGCCATCGCGGCCCGCTGCGACGCGGCTGGGTGCGACGAAGCTTCGTCGCTGTTGGGATCTTTGTGTCGCTCGTCCTGGGGTGACCCTCCCGCCCCGGTGCACCCAGGCGGCACCTCCGCAGTTTCCTTAGACATGCCTGCTGCGCGTGTGGAATTGGCAGCGACCTCTATGCCGTCCTCGAGGTCCCGAACGATGGTGACCAAATACATGCCGCTCGCCTTTCCATCGGCAGAATCCACTTCACCAGCAAGAAGAGCCTCATCGGGAATTTGACTCAGGAGGGCATTGACATCCATGCTCTCCCACGCCGGCTTGAACCTGCACGTGATGAGGAGCTCTGGCGGCAAAGTGTGATCTCCGCGCAGGATCACTGCCACCTGCAGAGCCGCGGGCAGGGCGGCGTGTGTCTCTGCGACGCACCTGCAGAGCACGCCCTGGCTATGGACATGTCCTTCGACTGAGAATGTACCCCCGACGACAGCCGCATGCGTGAACGCGTCGAACGGCGAAACGTCCGCGGCTCTAAGCGATTTCGGAAGTGCGTCATGGTTCAGCTGCACCCAGTCCCACAATGACGACCCGACGCCCAGGTCGGCCCCATCTGCCGAGATCATACGGCCCCAGAAACGGTTGCCGTACAGGACGGTCCATTTCCCGTCGCGTGCATCCACGAGAGCAATCGCCTCGGAGATGCTATCAATGGCACGCCAAGTTCGGCCGGGATCCGGATTCAAGCCATCGATTCTGCGCTCGCATTCCAGGCCAGACGATGCCATCAGCCGAGGCATGCGGCGGCTACGCCGGCTGTTGTTGTTCCAACCCCAGCTCAACGCAGGGCAAGCAAATCTCTTGCACGTAGCTCCAGCAGGTCGGACACGTGCACACGGGGATGAACTACAGAGCGAATCGCATGTGCTGTCACCTGGATATCAATGCCGGCGCCGACTCCGTGCTCTTCAACATACGCTCCACCAAGGAGGTCGGCAGGCTGCCCTGGAACTTCAGACGGGTGCTGTCAGACGCCAGGGAGCTGCGGGAAGTCATGACCTCCCTAAGTTCCTGTCTTTTTGTGCGGATCGCTTCGAGCTCCCTTCTCTCGATCTCGCGCACAGCAATCTCGGCAAAGTTCATCAACAAGCGAACCTGCAGGACCACATCGGGAACGAAGTCCTTCTGGACAGCAACAGACCGCGACAAAGCCGAGCCCAGCGTTGACGTGGACGTGAGCCATGGGACAGCAAACGCCCCGTCTGGGGCGTGTCAGCGCTTTGTTCACTCGTGCTCCACAGACGCTCTCGAGGTCCGGTCGAGTCTCGTTGCTTCGCGGCCATGTGCGTACCTCTCGTTCGCCCCAGTCATAGCGCGGCTCCATGTCCATGACGCAAAGTGTGCCGAGGCGGACGTTGTCCGAGGTGACAAGCGGGGCACCAGCGTAGAAACGCAAGTTCGTCGGTCCCGTGACAAAAGGATGGTTCTTGAACCGCTCATCCTGCGGCCGGCTCGTCGGTACTCATGCGTTTTGCGACCGTGCACGGGTTGCCCAGCATCGCGCGCGACTGCTGTCGTGCACTCACCTTGGTGCAGTCGGGAATTAGCTGGAAAGGTGGTCGCTCTCCAAGGAGCGTGTGCGCGCACAGTGACAAGTTTCGCGCGTGCTCGGGGACCGGGACTCCAACGTACGCCTTGTTCCACTGCCGGTTCTCGTCGACGATCGACACAAAACTCACTTTCGCCTGCGCAGTCGGGGGGAGCCGGCAAAGAATGCTAAAACCGCGCTTCACGTTCCATATAGGCACCGACCCAGCCCTGCGCGGCTGGGAGGCCTGTTGCAAGCACGTCGCCGCCCTCTCGGCCACGCAAGACGGTGGAACATGGCAGCATGTTCGCGCCGGCCTAGTCCTTCCGTCCTCACCCGGAAAATTTCGACCATTGACTTCACTATTCCGTCAAAAACAGGGTCGTCCTGTCTCGTGTCGAGCACGCCGAGGTCACGGAGCCGCCGCAGCCGAGCTTTTTCGTTCTGGGGGGGCGGTGCGCCAGGAAACAGGTTTTCCGTGCCCGTGTCGGATGCTCTTACGCTGCTCTTCGACTCAGGCGCTTCGACCTTCTCTGCCGACCCGTGGACGTCCACGGCAGCATCCGCCAACGCCTGCAGGGGTGAGGGGAGCGAGCCCTAGAGGAAGGAAGAGGTGTTGGTCCGGCTCGCTTGGAATGGCCCGAGAGCTCCGTCACGACGACCTGATGCAGCTGGAACCATGTGACTGCAAACGGCGAATGCCGGACCAGCGCACCTTCTCGGGCTGGATCCCGCGTGGATCAACATGCGTGGCGCGCGAAGGTCCACAGCCCATGGTGCGGGAGTTGAGCCACACGCAGGCGACCGCGTGCAGCTAGCGACCTTGGTGCCGGCGCATCAACCCGGGACGACCGCTCTTCGAGCCGCAAAAACCCGTGTACGAGGCCGCCCTCTCAGAGGCTCTGTGCCCCACGGACCACCTGGTCTGTCTAGCACTCGCAGCGGCAGAATGCCCACGGTTCCGAGGTGCGGTCTGCAGCCCCACGGCGCTCCAAGTATAGTCAGACAGTCGCGCCCACTCTAAGTGAATCGGCCCGAGACTGTCGCTCAGTATTACTGAGTAAGGCTCCTAGGCGGTCACCGCCGCGGTGGCACGGTGCCCACCACCCCCGTCTGAGCCACACCCCCCGGGTGCTTCGCGCCGAAACGTTGGCTTCTCGAAGTCATGAAGCCAAGGCTCCACGTGCACGTCCTACTTGCTCGGTTGCGGACTGACAGTGGCTGGCCGACCGCGTGGAAACACCGTCCGAAACGGCCGTGTCACTGCACGCGTGCCGTGTACAAGAGCGACGGGGATCATGACGTCATTTGTTGGAACAACGTGTCGATGGCATTTGCGAACTTGCAACGTGGCACTGCGCGCCACCAAGCGTCGGGCTTCCACGACTAGGACAGCCGCAGGTGAGATACGCCCCGCGCGCAACGATCCCAGACAGCCTGCTGCTGTAGACGCTGCCCGAGAGCTTTGAACTGCTGCAAGCCTCCATCGCTTGACGTCCCTGACACTTCGTGCGGCGATCGGGCCGCAGCGGCAAACCAAACTGGTGGAAGGCAGCAAGGGGCGGTCGGTCCAGCCGAGCCCGCAAAAGGGGACGTGGTAGACCTCCAGCCACCGAAGGGCACGCGCGACTTCCAGCCCGGCGATATGAGAGTGCGGAACTGGCTCTTCGATCAATTCCGGTGCGCGTCGCATTGAGCACTTGCTGTGCAGGCGTATCCGCGCTCGACATGGCCGCCGCTGTCGGCGGAGGCACACGCCTGCCGTGCGCCGGCACGTGCGATCTGCGCGTCTCGCTGCGGCGTCACTCACACGATTTCGGGTTATGATCGTGTGGTATGCGCAGACAAGTCGCCCTGACGTTCGGGTTCGAGGAGTGGGATGCACCTGTGCTGGAATCCGAGGATCTGTACACGCGAAAGGCTGGCGAAGAGATCACCCAACAGGTGAGCGCGGCCATGCGCAGCACGGGGCCGACCCAACCGGTTTCATCCACAGCCCCATGCGTGCGCGCATGTCGCGGAGAGCGTTCACGTGCCGACGGGTGCACATGCAGTCTCCGCGGCGTTCTGTCGACGTTTGAGCCGCCGTCCTGCGCGCAGCTATACTGCTTCGAGGACAAGGGGGGGCGCCGTGTGTCCCTCCGTCCAGAACTCACACCGTCGCTCGCCCGAATGGTGCTCGCGCGGGGCAAGGGGCTGCCCTTGCCTGCGAAGTGGTTTGCGATAGGACAGTGTTGGCGCTATGAGCGCATGACGCGTGGCCGCCGGCGCGAGCACTACCAGTGGAACATGGACATCTTTGGTGTCTCGGGGGTCGAGGCCGAGGCCGAGCTGCTTGCGGCGATCGTGGCATTCTTCCGCCGCGTAGGGCTGTCATCGGCGCACGTGGGGCTGAAGGTGTCGTCGAGGAAGATCCTCGAAGCGGTGCTGGAGACACAGGGAGTTCCAGCGGACGCTTTCGGCCCTGTCTGCATCGTTGTGGACAAGATCGACAAGCTTCCGCGAGAAAACATCGTGGCAGAGCTGTCGAATCTCGGGGTCGAGGAGGCGGCGATCGACTCGATCTTCGCTGCGCTGGAAATCCGCTCCATCGACGACCTCGAGACTCTCCTCGGCGCTGACGATCCCGTCGCTGCGGACCTCCGACGGCTGTTCGAGCTTGCAAGGGGCTATGGAATCGACGACTGGCTGGTCCTGGACACATCAGTGGTGCGCGGGCTCGCGTACTACACCGGACTGGTGTTTGAGGGTTTCGACCGCGCTGGCAAGCTGCGCGCTATCTGCGGCGGAGGACGGTACGACAGGCTGCTATCGACTTTTGGGGGCGAGGATACACCCGCCGTGGGCTTTGGATTCGGCGACGCCGTCATCGTCGAGCTGCTGGAGGAGCACAACTTGTTGCCCTCGCCCCCGCACCACGTTCAGGACGTCGTGGTGTGCCTGGACGAGGACCTGCGCACGCATGCCTGCCTCGCGGCCAGCAGCCTGCGGGAGGCGGGCAGGAAGGTCGACTTGGTTCTTGAGGCGAAGAAAATGAAGTGGGTGTTCAAGCACTGCGACAGGTAGGTTGCGCCAGCGCCCCGGGCGCAGGGCACGTCGCAGCGCTTCCTGTACTACATGCAGCGGAGTGCCGTGTAGAACTTGACTGTCTGCCGCTTCGTCTCACACCGCAGACTGGAAGCTGACCGTTTGATCATCTTGGGTGCCAAGGAGTGGGAGCGTGGAGTGTTGCGCGTAAAGGACCTGCGCGAGCGCGAGGAGAGTGACGTCGCCATCGACGATCTCGTGTAGCAAAGAACCCGTGTGCGAGTTGGAGCTGACCCTTGCACTTTTGACCGGCGTTGTCGCAGCTTCGATGGCAGGCCAAAGTCTCAGTGCGGCACGCGGCATCATGCTCGCGGGTACTCCGCCGCTGTTGCTCTGAGTCGCCCTTCGTGGTCTGTCACAGAGTTCGCCGGCCATAACTTGACCACCAGTTGGCACGTTGTCGCACGGATTCTAGTCACACGGAGTGTAACCGATATTGAGCAATGCGATCACCGACCTGGCGCAACCCTCCCCCTCTTCGCCCGCACCGGTCCTGAACGCGAACATGAGCGCACCCCGCACGCAAAGGGCGGCTACACGCCTTGCCGCTGGAAGGGCAGCACTGAGCTGCATGCACACTTGCGCGAGCACGGTAGGTGCATCACGGGGCTCTCACGCCATCTGCTGGAGAGAGGATGCATTGTAAACACGCCAGATTGTTTCTCCCAGGATGTTTGCTACCGACAGCACTGTCAGCTGCGGAAACATGTTCTCTGGTGCCACAGGGATGCTGTCCGTCACCATGACTTCCTGGAATACGCCTGCGCGCGCAAGCAACGGCGAGAACGTGGGTTTTCACTGAGGTAGCTTCATGTGCTCTTGGGGCACAGCTGGACCAGCAACACCACGAAGTCGCGGTCAGCATTGCAAGGTCGAGCTCTGGCGTACCTGAAGATAGTCGCTGGATTGCTGGTGGCGAGAACACGGCGTGGGTCGCGCAAGCGTACACTTCGCGCGCGCCGTTGTCGTGCAAGACCTTCGCAGCGTTGGTGATGGTGCCTGCCGTGTCGATCATGTCGTCGACCAGCACCGCGACCTTGCCGTTCACGTCGCCGATGAGGTTCATCACCTCGCTGACGTTGTGCGCGCTTCGTCGCTTGTCGACGATCGCCAGCGGGGCGTCGTTCAGCTTCTTGGCAAACGCCCGCGCGCGAGCAACGCCACCCACGTCCGGCGACACCACGACCAAATCGCCTGCACCGCGCCGCCGATGGCGTGCATGGCTCATCGTATAGTCCGGCCGCTCGCATCTGCTGCGGTCTACAGGAATTCAAGTCTGACGAATTGCTTGGGCACACCACCCCGTATCAGGACGCACCTTCCGGGATGCGCTTAGACGCGAGGTAGTCCAACAGAACAGTGGACCCGTAGGCGTGATCGACGGGGATATCGAAGTACCCGACGCACTGCCCCGAGTGCAAGTCGACGACTAGCACGCGATCTGCGCCGCTCTCCGTGATGAGGTTCGCTGTCAACTTCGCAGCGATAGACTCGCGGCCTTGTGTCTTCCGGTCGGCACGCGCGTATCTGCGTAAGAAACGTGCGCCTCAAGCTCAGGGGCGGGTCGTCAGCGCCACGATGTTGCACACCATGCACGGATCTTGGCAGGGCGAACCCGGGGCACCAGCCACGGCGGCCGTGTTGCCGGGAGGGCATTGCCGGTTGCATACCCGAAGTAAGGGATGACAGCGGTGATCGAGCGCGCCGACGCGCGTTTGCACGCGTCCACCATGATGAGTAGCTCCATGAGATGGTCGTTCGCCGGGGGACACGTGGGCTGGATCAAGAACACATCGCAGCCACGAATCGACTCCTGCACCTGAACGTAGATCTCGCCGTCCGCGAAGCGCTTGATCTTGATGCCGCCGAGCTGCAGCCCCAAGTAGTGTGCAACTTCCTGCACGCAGGTTCATCGCGCTGATGCATTCGGCGCTCCCTCCGTGCGTACCGCACAGTCATGTGAGCGATGTGTTCTGCTCACCTGTGACAGTAGCGGATTGGAAGTGCCGGAAAACAACCGCAGCTTGCTGTTGGTCATCGACACAGAGGCCGGGCGACGGTTCCCCACGTCGAAGTTGGAGACAGCGAGAACTGGCTTGCCTGCAGCACGGTACATGGTGAACACAGTGCTTTCGGCGGCGCTTCGCACATCGACGTGTGGTGATGCTTGTCGCGCACGACGTGCGGTTCCGGCGCCGCACGTCCGCCCCAACGTCGCAAAGCAACCCTGGAACATCAAGGCCAGCGGGTCGGCCGTTCTTCGTTGCTGGCGCGAGCGTGTATGAGGCGGATGCGTGGCGCCACTTCTCACCAGGGACGCGCGGCGCGCTGTTCAAGGACGCAGTGCTTGCGCGCGGCGTGCCGTGCGCCGAGGACATGTACTGTCGCCTTCGCGGCATGCTCCCGCTGCCCGTACGACGCGAGCACGCAGGAGCCGCACAGGTGCGGCGAAACGTCCCACACATTGGCACACCTCGTTGCGAGAGGGCGCTGTGCAATCAGCACAATGGCCGCCGGCTCCGCAGAGCAACGTCGAGGTTGTGCGTTGACGACGATCGGCAGCGCCTGCATGTCGCCGTCGTGTGGCTGGCTCCTGCGGGCGCCAGTCCGACTCACGCGGCGCGAGCCCCACAACTGAGTCGAGGCGGGTCTTGCTGAGCTCAGCTGGTCCAGGTTGCTCCTGAGCCGGAGCCTCCCGGAGCCTCCGCCGGAACCCTCCTCCGGCTGGACCTTCTGTGAGGTCGTCATGGGCCCAGCTCACTGCGCATTGAGCACGTAACCTCACGGCCGCGTTGGCCTTATCGCACCATCCAGGAGCGCGCAAGCGGTTGATGGCAGGTTGCACAGCCGCACGTGAACCCCACGCACGTTCGCCCCCCTGCAAGTGCACGGGCTCTGAACTTCGACTCAGGCCGGCACGCTCAATACCGTGCACGCGGCTCCAAGCTGAATACCGCCCGGCGGAAAGCATGCAACGGGTGCTGTGTGTTGGTATCCTTCAGCCGTCGATGTTGCGCGAAATCGATCAAAAGTGAGCGCATCGGCAGTGTGGTTGCACAGACGATCTCCGTGTTGCATCGGGGACCGGTGCTGAGAGATCCTGCGACGACACTAGTGCAGGCAGAACTGCCCAAAGAAAGAAAGCCTTCCCGCGGAAACACGTTGGCCTGAACGGCAGTGAGTCGAGCATCGTGCCCATCGTGGCCACTGACCAGCAGCGATGGGCGCAGAGGACGACATGATGAAGTTGATGGGCTTTTCGGGCTTCGGGCAGAAGGCCAAGCCAGACCAGGAGGACCACATGAAATCCCGCGTGAAAGACGTCGCCGCTCGCGCCGACGACAACGTTGACATGCCGGTCGAGGGCGACTCGCTGCCAGCCAAGGCCCATGGCCAACCTGCAAGGCCTCGTGCATCTGCACATGCACCAAAGAGCACGCGAGCCGAAGCGGGCAGCAAACAGGTCGGCCCGCAGACTGCGGAGGGCGTCTCGCCCGGAGCTGGCCCCGCGGACGTCGAGCTTCCGTGCAGCCACGAGCTCGTCATCTCTGGGCATCACACTCGCACCATCACCGCCCTTGCTGTCGACAGGACAGGGCTGCGCTTCGTCACGGGTGCGCGCCATGCCCGTGACCCTCGCATATGTTCCGAGCCGCACGGCAGTGGACCACATTCGCCTGGATCACATGCTGACTTTCGTTGCAGGTAGCAGTGACAACAAAGCGCGCATGTACGACTTCAATGGAATGACAACAGCACTGCGGTCTTACCGCGAGATGGAGCCAAGCGAGGGCCATCCGGTCGTGTCGCTGTCTTTCTCCCCGAACTCGGAGCTGTTGCTCGCCGTCACTGGTTCTCCGCAGCCAAAGTTATACGACCGTGAGGGGCACTCGCTCGGCGAGTTCCCGCGCGGCGATATGTACATCCGCGACATGCGGAACACCAAGGGGCACGTGTCGTCATGCACGGGCGGCAGCTTCCACCCGGCGGACCGCGGCAAGGCGATGACGTCTAGCGTGGATGGCACGGTGCGCTTGTGGGACTGCTGGGCTCTGAAACAGACGTGCGTGATCAAGCCGGCGCTGTCACGGCCAGGACGCGTGCACGTCACTGCGTGCGCGTTTGACGCAACAGGCAACCGCGCTGTGGGAGGACTGTCGGATGGGTGCATTCAGATCTGGGACTTACGGGGGTCGTTCGGGCGGTCTGCGGCGGTCGGTCAGATCAGTGCGCCTCGACAACAAATGGTGGAGAAACAGGACTGGCGCTACTTGACGACGGCGAGCGAGGTTTGCCGCGGGGCACACAAGGCAGAGGAGGACGTTTCGGGGTTGCTGTTTTGCGACGAAGGGCATCAGCTTGCGTCTCGCTGCTGCGACGGCACGCTCAAGGTCTGGGACACGCGGGCGCTGAAGTGTCCGATACGAGCGTTCGGGGGCTTGCCAGCGGCGTGTGCGAGTGCAAATGTTGCTGCCAGCCCACTAGGCGACCTGCTGTTGACCGGAGTGGGCACAGGTGCGTGCCCGAGCGCACGTCCCTCTGGATGCTCTGTGTGCATGCGCATGAGCAGCGTGCGTGAGCTCCCGCGCATGTTGCGCACGAGATGGGCGCCACACTTGCAGCGGAACCTTCACGTGTTCACATCTTCTCAACGTGCTGCAGGAGAGGTGAACGGGACCGGCGAAGTTGTCGTGATCGATCGAGTGCGACTGGAGCTGCAGCGTCGTCTTGCGTTCCCGGCGCCGGTGACGTGTGTGTTGTGGCATCCCATCATCAATCAAGTGATTGTCGGCACGGGCGACCGAAAACGTGCTGCCTGCCACGTACTCTACGATCCCGACCGATCATCGAACGGTGCACTGCTGGCTGCCCGGAAAGCACCACGTCGCGTCGACCTGGACTGGACTCCACCTGTGGTGGAGAGGCAACACACATCCGGTCCGCGCATGACGTACAAGCGAAAGATGCAGATGGACACCGAACGCGCCCTCAAGACACGGAAGCCAGACTCCGGGCTGAGTTTGGCCGCTGGGAAGGGCCGCGAGGGACGTGTTGGCAGTACACCGCACTCCATGCTGAAGCACCACCTGCTGCAGAAAGGCTCGCACGTGCGAGACAACTTGCTCGTCGACGCGCGGGATGCAATTCTTCAACACAAGGCACGTGCCGCCGACAGCAGATTCCAAAACCCCTCTCGTGCAATCCCTTGTCACTTTAAGGTTGTTTCAATTGCGGCACAGTCATATGATCTCGCAGCAAGCGCCCGCGATGACACTTGGTCGCCGAGAAGGCCTTGTGCAGGTGGATGAGGGGGACATCTACTCCCGAGCATACAAGGACACGCAACCACAGCCCGTGTACGAAGCATCAGAGGACGAAGATGACGCGTCTCGTTGAGGAACGGGGGGGGCAAGCGTGCCGCTTAAGATCGAGGTCAGGGACCAAGTGCCGGGCAGGCAGTGTGGCTCCGGAAGGATCAAAGCCCATCCGAGCACGTGGACATTGCCTGCACGCGTGGATCACTGGTCACGATGGGCATCGTAGACTGGCCGGGCAGGATGACATGCTGCGTGGTGAGGTCACCCGGCGAACGCTCGCAGCGCCCACCGTGATATGCACGATGCCTCGTCTTGAACGGGCTGTTTTTTTGCCGAAATTGTCAGCTGACGCCAGCCATGGTACTTCCACGGTACTCTTCTGCTAGATGTAGGTTCCGGCGCCATGGCGGCGCCAGTGAAGGTCACATTAACGGAACGGCGCCGCTCAAGGTGACTCCTTGACCAGGAAACTGGGGGGCGGCCGGCACGGATTCTGTAATTGCGCGCCGTCAGCTGTTTTGTGCCGATGGTCGAAAAAGAAGTGCGGCCCACAAACTCCAAATGGCACAAGCTGCAGGCGTGCGGGTACTCTACCGCGTCGTTGCTCTCGGCCACCCTTTTGGTCCTTGACACGGGCGTGCACTCACCAAGCGACCTCTGCGGACTAGGTCCGACGACGCGACAGGCCGCCGAACATCGAACGCAAACGCGACGGGGTGGCTCGGGGTGGTGTGCGCACATCCTCCAGTGGCGCCAGACCGAGCGAGCGCAGTACGCCGAGGATGCGGATGGAAATTTGCACGACTGCCACGGCTTCGTCTGCATCGTCAAAGAACGTCACGCGCCGCGAACACACATCCATCCCATCCCTGATGATGTCCTCGCACGACATCTTGCACATCCCGAGCGCATAGGGTTTGTCGGGATCGTCTTCGCACACGAGGAAGAAAGGAATTGGATCCCGGAACGCCTCCAGCAGCCCGGCACGCGCTGCCTCTCCACTCTTGGACCCTTTCGCGAAGTTGAAAGCCGAAACGTGCTTCACGGGGAGCGCGACACTGGCCCCGCCACGCGTGTCCACGACATGAGTTTGTTCATGCTCTACGGCGACCTGCTGCAGAGCGTCCCGCAGGAACGAGTACAAGACCGACACGCGGCGGACCGCTCCCGGGCCTTTCCGGATGGAGTCCAAGAGCTCTACGAACTCAATCGCGATCACGGCCCAGGAGTCATCCCGCGGCCATTCACGTGGATCCACGGAGCAGGAAACCACCGGACGCGACGGGGCCTCGAACGCACCGTGGCGCGAAGGCGTGCCATGCCCTGGGGCGGCAACGTTCGTTTCAGCACGCACAGCAGGTGGATGTGCAAGCGTTGTGCTCTGCGTACGCCCTGTCGGGATCTCCTGCGAGCTGCGTGGATCCACGGCAAGGCTTCGAGCACCATGGACCAAGCTCGACTCCTCCCGAGCAGCATTGTCGCGCGGCCGCTCCGCATCATGCGCGGAAGAAGACGAATGCCGTGATTGTGTAGCCTGCTCCACCTGCACCGAGGGCCGCGACACGCCGGCCTCGCTGCCGCGTCGACGTGTGGAGGGAGCTTCGACATGCTGCGGTGACACTCTTGCTAGTGTTCCCCGCTCCTTCGGGCTCGGAGGAGCGCTAGTGTGCTGCATCGCTGCCTCCACGCTCGGAGGCGTCGACTGCGGCGGACTGAGACGGCGCCGGGCGCCAGCCGCACGGTGGTTGCCCAGCACCAGGCGGAGAGCATACCGCAAGCGCCCGACGATGGACCCATGGTTCGAAACTAGGTCCACGACACCCACGTGCGACGGTGGATGGATATCGGCGGCCTTGCCATCGCGCACGACAACGTCGAGCGCCAACGGACGAAGCCGAGCTGTTGCTGAGGCGATCTGCACGAAGGGCACGTCACCTTGCCCATGTGCAAGGCCGGCTCCGTGGAGGTTCAGATCGATCGTGGAGCGTTCGATGAAGTCAAGGGCGTTCTCGTCTCCCCCGTCGATGCCGAACTGCAGCGTGCTGTCGTACATTGGGTTGGTGCCAGAACCTGGTGCGGTGGTCTGCGTTCGCTCGTCCCCGAAGCCAACAGTGACGAATGTATGAAAGTCGTTCACGCTCAAGGTACCGACGAGGGATGGATGCAAGGTCGCCTCAGTGATTTTGATCTCAAGGACGTCCTCGCTGCCTGCACCAGGTGCTGTGGGCATGGCGCCCACCCCGACGGCCATCATGGTTGGTGACGGGGCTGTCACGATCTCCCCAGCCTGCTCGCGCCGTTCCCGCGACCGCGGTGCGTTGAGTTCGCCCCGAACGCCCCGAAAGGCGTCCTCGTGCATTTTTTGCAAGTGAGAGAGCTCCTCACGCAACTTCACGCAGTCCTGGTCTCGATGATCTGCAAGTTTCTCTGCCTTCCTCAGGTCCTGCTCTAGCTGGTTGACTAAGTCGCGGAGGGCGTCGAGCTCGCGTGTCAAGTCGCCACGAGACTTGGCCTCATCACCGCTGCGCTGGGCAGCTTCCTGCAGCAACAGCTCCGGGTTTTCGTCGTGATCGCGACCTTTGTGCGCCTGGGCCACCGCCAGCTTGTCGTACGCCGCCTCCAGCTCGGCCTGCAAGCAAGGCACGAAACGTGAAACATTCAAAGCGATTCTACCATGAACAGGAACAACCCCAGCACTTGCGACCGATACAAGTTCGTTGCCCGCAGGGATGTTGCCAGCAGACCTCGCGCTGGTCATTCAGGGTCTTGAGCTGAACAATCTCAGTCCGAAGAGCTTGGATCTCGTGCGGCGCAAGTGCAACTCCTGCGACTGCGCCAACCCCTGCCCTGGCAACTTGATTCTTGAGTTGTTCGTTCTCGCGACGCAGCGACCTCGCCTCTTCCTCCGCGTCCTTGAGTTGTTTGCGCACTTCGGCGAGGATCTCGAGAGCCTCCCGCGGGGCCTCCTGCGCCCTGGTGCGGTACTCTCTCAAGGATTGCTCCAGGGCAATCTTGTCCTTCTCCGCGATCTCAAGCCTTCGCTCGACGTCTTTCGCTCCGGACGCAGCCAACCGCAGCGTTCTCGCGTCCTCGCGGGCCGCTGCCAACTGTGCACGGAGGACAGTGGTCTCCTGACGTTCTTTCTCCAGCTCAACTTGCATGCGGGAGAGATCCTGGCTAGGCTGGGCATCTGCTGCTGTCCAGGGGTCGTTTTGTCGCTGGTCCCTGCCCCCAGACTTCGGGACATGATCGGGCGGTACATGAAGGGCCTGAGGCAATCCATTTGTCCTGTACGTTTCTGCGGGGTGCCATCGCCCTGTGCTCCCAGGAGCAACGGCAGATGGATGCACCGACGGCGACTCGAGAGAAGGCACGGGACCTTCTGAGCCGGTCCACGCCTCAGGTGCCCCAGGCTCACGGGATACATGCATGCCGCCTTCCATGGTATGATGCGTGTGTTGTCCTTGACCGACCTGTTGGTGCCTTAGAGTTCGCTGTTCGTGGCTCGAATGTCGCTGGACATCAGCGTCGTGTTGACCCGGGCTGCGGGCCACACCATGCGCGGTCTCGGGCATGCAACCGTGTGCCACAGCACCACGGCTGTGGATGGGAGGTGCATTGGCGTCATCCTCCTGCAGCTCCCCTCGCCACCTCAACCGAAGGCGACGGTTTTCCTCGAGCAGGCGAGTGACCTCGTCCCCCGAATCGTCCAAGATTTCCGGCCTGGCGTGGCCTGGGAGAACCGACACGACTCTGGTGTTGCACGCGCCTGGACCTTCTCTGGAGCGACCAGGCGACACTGACTGCGCCCGAGGATCTCTGAAGAGTTGCTGCTGCCGACTCGACATGGTCTTGGCGCGTTTCCGCGCGTCCTCGAGTTTCTTGCGCAATCGCACCACGCGATTCTGCTCTTGAGCTCGCTTCAGCCTCATCCTGCACTGCCCCGGACAGGTGGGCGACGTCGCTTCCCGTGCGCGACGCACGCAAGGAGCCGCACGAGCGGCATTTGAGCAGGCCGTGATCTCCTACCTTGCGAGTTTGCCTTGCAGGTCCCGCAGATCGTCTTGGAGGAGGAGTTTCTCCTGGCTGAGGCGCACCACCTTCCCCACAGGCACGGATCTGGTTTCTCTCGGCGTCATCGCGCTCGTGAGCAACCGCTTGTGGGCCTCAATGGCCCGCTGCATCAGCGAGTTGTCTGGAGGCGGGTGGGCAGGGAGCAGCATCGCAGTGCCGCGAACGGCTGCACAAGTTCGAACACATCGTGATGCGCAACGGTCGACGCCCTCATGCGCGGCCCGTCACCAAGGAACTTGCCTGCTTCTCTGCCGCAAGGCGTTTTTCTTGCTCGTCCTGGTTGCACGTGCGGAGCTGCAGCTCACGGCGCTGTTCATCCAGCACAGCCGCACGATCGATCTCCTGGAGTTGGTCGTCCTCGGGACTGTGGTCGACGCGGCCCGCGCGGCCCTCGCCTGGCGTGATGGCAGGTCGTCTGCCTGTGAAACTGGTCGAGTACATGCGGGTGCGGGCTCTGGCCGACTGCAGCTGACGGGCGAGTGTATCTGCTTGCTCTTGTTCATGCTTGAACGCCTCTCGTTCCCTGGAGCGCACAATGGGTTGGCCAGTGAGGCTTGCAGACAAAGTGTGCGTCGGGAGTTGTGCGTCGGGCACCAGCGAGTGCGCACCACGACGCGCGCAGTGCGCATCCATCGGATCCTGGGCGCGATAAGGGGCGGCATAGGTCATACCTGGCAATCTGTGCGTGCGCCAGCGCAATCTGTTCCCTGAGCTTGCGAATTTCCAACTCAAGTTCGGCGACAGAGTTCCCAGTCGGAGCCCCCGCATCGCCCTCGAGCTGACTGCTCATAGTGACCATTCCTGCCATGACGGCCCGCTGCGTCCACGTGCGTGCGAAATGAATGCGTGACACACATTGCGTTCCGTGGGCTGAGGTCCTAGGGGTTGCGACGTCCCACGAACAGCGCTGCCTCCATTGTGGAAAGCACAGCACATGTTCGACCTGGAGCGGAGCTGCAGCGAGGTCTGATTTTCAACGGCTTTGGAAGGGAAGTTGAGCCCACCTGTTTCTCCGCCGCGAGCTGACGTACTCGCTCTTCCTTGGCGGCCTTATCGCGGAGGAGGCCATTAACTGTCTGTTCAGCGTTGAGTCGCCTCTCCGTCATCTCTTCCGGTGTCAACTGGGCGCATCAACCAGGTGGGTGCTGTACAGTGAGAACGCGAACGCAGCTGGACGTCGTAGCCACGCCTCGTGGCGCGCAGTCCGCGACTCACGCGCAACGCATCAAGGTCAACGACGCGAGGGGACGAGGCATACACAGAGGCAGGCACAGTTGGCACCGGACAGCTGCGTTGTGAAATCCGACACTCCAGGTGCGCAAGCACGCGCAGGGGATGGCGCATTTGATCCTGAACGCAGCGACATGCAACCACCACGGGTCAAGGTACGCGGAGTAGTCCGGACCGGGAGGCCATGGCGGTCCGCGTCTGTCGGGATTCAAATGCTGCGAGCACGCACCTTTCCCCACGCGTTCAGCGCGGTGAGCGGCTTTCGTCGCGGCTGCATGTCTCGGTGACCAGGCTGAGAGGAGAAGTCCGTTGCCGTCTCGGACATTGCATCTGCGGACAGCCCGCCGTGCGGAGCGCGCTCGGCCGTGTCTGGCCCTGCGCTCCTCTCGGGCGTCATTGTGCCGGCGCAGACATCCCTGTCAGCGGACGAATGCGAGTGCGATGTGGGCCACCACGTGCGAACACAAGTCGGGACTCCAGGGCGACCGATGATCATCATTGATGACGACGGTCCCGCCAACTCAGGACTGTCCTGGACTGGGAGACTCTCGGAGGCCATCCAAGCGGCTTTGAGGGGCAGATGCTCTCCAGGAGGGCTATGCTTCCTGTCTGACGACACGACCACATGCAGGCACGTCGCCGGTGCTGCACGAGCGTGCTCCAGCGCAGCCAGATTCGCGGCACACACCCGCTCTGGTGTGGAAGACACAAGCACTCGACCAGCGCCGTTTCCATCGGGCGTCGAACGCCCATCCTGTGTCAAGCTTGAGCCGACAGAGCTTCACGTATGCGATTCGCACTATCGAACCTGGCTCGAAGCGCGTGTCAGGCGAGAGGGCGCGGCTTCTCATGTGGACGGGCTCCAGTGGACGGGCTCCAGGCGCTGTCGCAGCTGGTGGACTGGGAGGCAAAGGGTCTCCCACCATCTTGTGGAACAGATACCGACGACGGTTTCAGTCTCGGCCCGACGAAGGCGTTGCTTGCGCGGCTCGGATCGCCTCACGAGAACCTGAAGGTCATCCAGGTTGCAGGGACGAAGGGCAAGGGTTCGGTAGGATGGGCGCTGGCCGCCATGCTCAGAAGAGCAGGTGTGCGTTCGACGTGCTGCATCGCCATCGGCGGCCGACCTGGCATTCCTACAACACCGTCCCCTGCCAACAACATCTGACATCGCAGGATTGCGGGTAGGGCTGTACTCGTCACCACATCTACTGTCCCCGAGGGAGCGTTTCAGAGTGACTACCGCCTCTGCGGACCCATCGGCGCCGATGGCAACAGAAATCGACGAAGCAACAATTAACGATCTAGTTCACAATTGTATGTCGGCCATTCATGGCTGCCAGCGCGAGCATCCTCGTCTCTCCTTGTTCGAGGTGTACACGGCGCTCGCGTTCAAGTACTTTGAACAGGTGTGCGAGCCCAATATGATGACGATGACGTGACGGCATGTGCTGTCCTGCGGCTTCTCATGGAAGATGCGTCGCGGTGCGCAGGTCGGAGTCGACTGCGCGATCATGGAGGCAGGCGTTGGCGGTGCCCGTGACGCCACGAATGTGTGTTCGGCAAATAACTCGATACTGTCGGTGTTGACCCACATTGGCCTCGAGCACGTGGACGCCCTAGGGGGCAGCCTGGAGTCGATCACGCGCGCCAAAGCCCGGATCTGCAAGCCGGGACGGTGCGTCTGGGTGGAAGAATCTCACCAGTCTCGCAGTTGTCGCAAACAAGGGGGGCGAGCTGACAAACTCGCCGTTCCAAGTCTGTGCAGGACCCTGGTGCTGGGACCTCAGAGCAACCCGGTCGTCCTCGACATTGTTGAAGAAGAGGCCCAGCTGTGCGGCAGCCCCGTGGTCTTTGCTGACAGGTGCGCACGGCACCTCGCGCGTGCAAATGGCCCCGAACAGGAGGACGCCTGACACGTTTGAACCCCGCGAAAACCCGCGCAGGGCGTTCGACCTGCGTTGCGAGCACGTCACGCTGCCCGAACACACAGGGGAGGTGCAAGCTGTGCGCGCGTGCCGCGTCTACAGCTCCTCAGGCGTGGTTCGCGACAGCACCATCCACCTTGGCATGCATGGAGCCTTCCAGCGCGACAACATCCTGACAGCCGTGGCAGCGCTCGACGTGCTTGTGTCCGATGACCATCTCGACCTCCCGACGACATCCAGTATCATCGACGGTCTCCATATCCCGGCTTTCGAGGGGAGGTTTCAGCTCTTCAAGTTGCCCGCGCCTCCAAAGCAGTCGCAGGACGTGTGGATCGCTGTGGACGGCGCGCACACTCCCGACGCTGCAGAAGCGCTGGTTGCAAGTATGCAGGAGATGCTCCCAGCTGCTCCGGTGACCCTGGTCGCCGCCATGGCGTCTGACAAGGACATCCAGTCTTTCATGACCGCGATGCGGAAGCTCAACCCGGTCGCCGCGTTCTTCACGACGGTGAACATCGCGGGGTCGATGGATCGCTCCGCGACGCCTGGCCAGCTTCTCGCGTCCTGGCAGACGGCCCCGGGTGGGTCGCGACGGTGTAGGGAGCAAGTGGTTGCCAGTCTCGACGTTGCCGTGGACCGGGCGTTGCGGGAACTCGGCGCAGGAGGGTCGGGCGTCTGCCTCATCACTGGGTCCCTGCACGCAGCGGCACAGGCTCTGAAGCGGGTTGTGCCGCGGCTGCTGAAGCAGCAATGACCTGCACTTGCTTGCAGTGAACCGTCCCCGGAGAATAGTGTTGCTGTTCGCGCAGGGCCTCGTTCCCCGCAGCATGCTTTCCACAGTGGCCGGTGTGTGACGTGTCCGGGATCACCGGCTGCTCCAAGCAGGAGCTGACAGTTGTGTTGTGCGTCAGACTGCGCAGGCGGGGGAGCGCAGTCTGCGGCAGACCTGAGACCACGCGCCGCGCCGCGGATCATGATGATGCGCATCCGGGATCTGGGGACTCCGGACTCGGGCCCCGGAGGGCGATGTCTGGGATCCTTCATTGCTCCGCATCAGCCGCTTGTTCGCACCACTGGCAGGCGCTCCCGGACATTTTTTCGGGATTCGCCCGCATTTTTCCCGAGCAATCGGGGGATGAAGTTGGCATAGATGGTCGCGGTTTTCTCGCAGCTCTGCCGCGATCGCCGCGCGCGGGTCGGCGGTGTGAGCTCTGAATGGCATGGACATGCGTCTCGATGCACGTTCGCGGTCTCAATTTCACGTACGCGCCTCGGATGCTGCGATTGCTGGCATCCTGGTGTGCGGCTTCGCAAGGAGCCCGCGAGGCGAGATTTTCGGACGATATGATTCTGAAGATCGGGGTAAGTGCGGGGATTGTGCGTCGCAGTCCGTGGCGGGCCTGTGCGGGCCTTGCGGCGGGCTTCGCCTGGGGTGCCCGAGCGTGCACGCGCGCCATCCTTCCTGTGCAGCATGGGTTGTTCCGGCGCATTTTCTCGACTCCTTACTGGATTTCTTGCCCAGGGGGCCCAGTATTCGGCTCCGCGCCGCGGTCTCCGCGTGGCGCCCCGCTCGTTCCCCTTTCAGGAGCGAGCCCCGCCACGCCACCTCCAGACGCTGTTCATCGACGCCGAACGCGCCAGACGCATCTAAGTGCTATCCATACTGCGCTCCCATTGACTTTCGTCGCTGTCGAGCTCCGCACCGCACGGGCCGGGTGCCCTCCAAGTGCGGCGAGGGCCTTGGTGCGGCGTTCTGCGCAACCATGACGCTGATCGAGGAACCGCCTGAAACTTCGCGATCACCCCGAGCTACGTAGAGACGCTCCGCTCGCACTCCGACGCGCCGCGCCGCGCACGTTCCGCGCGAGCTGCAACACGTTGACAGTGCAAACTTTCACATCTTGCGCCGACCTCTTCCCGGCACCTACTCGGCCTCTTCGTCGCTGCCCGAGTACAGCGGGTCGTCGGGGTCGTCGTCGTCGTGCTCGGACTCGTCGCCTTCCGCTGCGCCCTCGACTGCGCCGCCCTCATCATCATCAGATTCATCCCCCGCCAGGGGAGGCGCCTTGCTCTTGTCCCACAACGCGTGGTCCTCAGGCCACCACTGGATGTCGCCCGCCGGCGTGTTGGGCCTCCACTTCACCCGCAGCGTCCCGGCGGCCTTCCTTTCGGCCGCAGTCTTGCACTGCGGCTCGCGCAGCTGCTCCAGGAGCAGGCTTCCCTTGCTCATGTCGGCCCCGTCCGGCACGTACTCGAGCCAGATGCCGCCCAGCTCCCGGAGGACGAGCTTCTCGAGGGCAGCGTGCTTGATATTGCCCGGCGACACGTTCATCTCCAACAACAGGGCCCTCATCTCCCTCTTCAATACCTTCCCGGGTTTCAGCGTGCAGACGGTGAGCCCAGCGACCCAGGTGTACCGGTGGTTGAGCCCGTCCTTGCACTGATCGCCGTCAACGGCGTTCGGCCACAGCACGGGACGCATAGTGCACCGCATCATGTCACGCACTCGCCGCGACCGCTCGCGCGCCGCCGCGCGGCGGGTGGCTGCATGGAACGCCTTCTCGTCCTCCGCAGCGCGCTCCCGGATGTTCGCCAGGCGCTCCTGGCGGAAGGTGCCAGCGCGAGAGGACGAGCTCGCTGCAGCCTTCTGCAGCCTCTTCTCGACGTCCGCGCCGTAGATCGTCCGCAAATCCGGCATCAGATGACGCTGCAGGCGGTGGGCCGCCTTTCCGCAGTACGTTCGCGGCGTGGCGTTCGGCGCCTGCCGCTGCCAGTGCGTCATGTTGCCAAACAGGCCCTCGACGCAGGCGTTCGTCGCGACGGCACCGTCGCACTTCACGTTCTTGACGTCCGCCTCGGCGTCCGCGAGGTCCTTCCTCAGCTCGGCCGCGGTCAGCGCTTTGTACTGCTCGTTCACCCGCCCCAGCAGGTCGTCTGCCCGCCGCGCACAACTGTCCCGCAGAAGACGGCGTGCGACGTCCTTGTGGCGGTCGTCGAGGAGCCCCCAGCCGTAGCTCAGGACGGCGCGAGATGCCTCCTTGGCCGGAATGACCACGCGCTTCCCGTCGGACGGGACGGCGTCCCGGCCCTGGCGCGTCCACAGCGACTCCTCCCGCCAGCCGCTCAAGGTCACGTACCCGTCGTCCGCTTCCGCAATTTCCCGCAGGCGCCGCACGACCTTGATCTGGGCGACCATGCTCTCCTTTTTCGTCAGGGTCCCGTACTTCTCCTCGTTCTTCGTCGCGAAGTACGGCTCGAGGAAGTAGGCCTGGGTCCAGCTGCCCAACAGCCAGTCGACGAGGGTCGGTTGGTCGTGCAGGACCTCCAGGGCCGCTTTCATGACCACCGGGATGTCCTTCTCGGCCTTCGCGCCCTTCCGCGACGTCAGCTGGTACTTGATCCACGCCCGGAGGACTTCCACAAGGCGCAGCGCACGGTGCTGGTTCTCGACGTGCGGCGCGAAGCGCGTGGACCCCGAGAGGTGCGGCAGGTGGCGCCCCCTGCTGATGTCCTCGAGGAGCTCCGTGGCGAGCTCTGCGCCACCCGCCATGGGCGTGCTCGGGTCCTGGAGCACACGTGTTGCAAACTGCACAAAGTCACTGCGCAGGGTGCCGTTTTTCTCCGCGCTCGACAGCAGGAGGCAGATGACGATGGCGGCCCGCGCTCCCCCGCGGAAGGTGCGCCTCGACGTTCGGACCGAGATGGGGGGCGACAGCTGTGCGTCCTCCTTCACGAGTCTTTGCCACCCCGGTGCGACTTGGTTCTCCTTCTTCGGCTGGTCGGCCTGCGCGACCAGCTGCATGACGTGATCGTCGCACCCGGCCTTCAGGAGCATGTTGGCCTCGACATTGAACTGCTTCTTGAGCAACTTGCGCGTGCACTCCGGCTCTGAGGTGTGGTCGCTGGTAAAGAAGTGCGTGCCGCGCACCACGAGCTGCGCGGCCTCCTCCGCTGACTTGTCCCCCCACACCGCCTTCCATTCCCCGCGGAAGTGCGCTTGGAACGCCGCCATGCAGCTGACGAGCAAGTGCGTGAGCCCGTCCGCTTGTGCCTGAGACGTTCCGTCCCGCACCTGCGCAGGCGGGAAGGCGACCGGAATGCAGCGCACGCCATCCGGGAGTCCGGTCCGTGCCTCCTCCTCGGGCCGTGCGTCGGACCTCGCGGCGCCCGCGTCGTCGGCGCCCGCGCCGGATGCACCGCCCGCGCCTGCGCTGTCGGAACCGACGCCACCGACGCCTTCCTCCTCGTCAGGCGGGGACGTCTCGAACCACGCCCAGTCGATCTCGATGTCCGGAACGTCGTCATCGCACGCATCGCCGGCATCGCGCAAGGCGTCGAGCGATTTCGGCTCCCCTTTGAGGTAGAGGGTCCATGTCACGCCGAGGTGCTTGTATGCGGCCAAGCACGTGCCGTCCATGTGAAGCGAGGCCACTCGCGTCTCCCAGCAGCCGTTGAACGCGGCTGAGAGCTGCATCGCCGCCACTATCTTCGCCCGGTGGTACATTGACTGCACCCACTGATTCATCTGGCTGTAGCCGACGTCGCGCCCCAGGAGCGGCTGCCCCGTCAATGCCTCCGCGACAACGCGCACCACCTCAGGAGTCACGCGCGCGGACACACCGAGCGATACGAGCTGCACGCACGCGTTGCGGTACCACAGCTGAAACTGCGCTCGGCGTTTGTTGACGTCGTTGACGGTTGCAGGCAGGTCGGAGGGGGCGTCCTCCACCGCGTCGGTCTGAACCTCCCTCGAGGTGGTCTTGGGCTTCTTTTCAGCGGCAGCGAGGCGATTTTTCGTCGCGAGGAGCGTGTTGTTCCTGTCTTTGTTCTTGTTCGTTTTCGCGGCGAGCTCCCGCTTGAGCTCCTCATTTTCCTGCCGCAGAGCGGCGAGCTCGATGCGCAAACGTCTGTTGTGGTGCTTGAACGCTGGTTGGCGGCGAGCGGTGCCGCCCACGTCGTCCGCAACACTGCCTGAAACACCCACGTCGATGTTGTCGAGGTCCGGCAGGACGGGCGCAGTCGCTTCATCACGACGGGATCTCTTGGGGGGGGGGCGTCGCCTCCCGGCGAGAAATACGGCTGCGTGTCCTCCATGTCCGCGGTACGGCCGTCCTCACTGCCTGCCATAGGGGTGTCCGCGTCCGACGTTGGCGGCGTTTCCGTCGCTTTGGCTCGCTTTCGACGTCTTGTCATAACGGTTTTCGTCCATTCCCGGCGAATCTGCCCATCCTCAATGAACAATCGGGACGCCCAACTGCACGAGAGCGGTGGGGGGACGAGGGCCGATTTCGGCGCAATTCCTGGCAAACGACCACCTATCATCGAACATCCGCGCTTTCAATGAGAAAAGAGGTCCGCTCAGCGTGACGAAAGGGCAAACACGCCCATCATGAGCCGTCGCGCGCATCTGTCGGAGCAAGTGCCGTGGACCGCGGCGCGTCCTGGGGTCCGGCGCACCTGGGGTCGACCGTATTCGTCTGATAAACTTTTCGCGCAGCTAGAGCGTCGGAGAGAATGAGCGCAAGCTCCAATCTGTCGAAGCACATTGGGTGCGAGCGTCGCGTGTGGGCCTCGAGCTCCGCCCACAGGGCAGCGTGCTCGCGTTTCGGCAGACCATGCTTCATCGACGACGTTTTCATTGATAGAGGAATCCCGTGCGCTGAGAGGTAGCCCTCCAACTGACCTGCGAGCGCGTTGCGGGAGGTCGGGGCTCGGAGGAGGAATGCTGGCCCCCAGGAACCGCAGGGCATTCGGCGGGCATGTGCGGCACCTCTCGGATCGAGTTCGAATATGAGGGCTCCGTAGGTTATCATAATCACGTTTGTGGAGCGGTTTTGGAGCGAGAGCACGCATTAAGTCTCAGAGGGCACAGCAGTGCCGCTCGGGTTCATGAACCGCTTCACCCGGCGCTGTGAGGCGACTCAACTCACCACAACTGCAGTTGAGGTCCTTCATGATGTGGTAAACTTGATATTCGTGCCAAAACCAGGGCGGGAGAGGCGCCCGAAGCAGGAATTTCACCTGATGGCAGGATCCCAGCCTGAAAATGGCAGCCGCGGCACACACCTGCGGTCGGGAACAGGATTACCACGCGGATTGACATGTTGAGTACAGAATCGTTCGTGTGATGCGCGAGAACGGCGACGAAACTGCGATCACGCGGCCCGGTAGGCACTCGAGAAGGCAGGAAGCAGCACTCACTCGAGCCAGGCCCTTCTTCAGTGAACCAGCAGTCGAGCCACCCCGCCGCGCCACGCAGGGCGCTTGCCGCGACTTATTTTTCCACCCCGGCTCGTCTCTCGGACATGAGGACCACGGTTCACAGCGCGGATGCGTCATCCTGTCTGTCAGCGCGACGGACGGCGGGGGGGGGAAGTGATGTTTGGCCCAGTCCGGCGTCCCCAGGGATCCCATGAGCCGCCGCCCTGATTTAGCCGGAGCCGCGGCGCGAAACTGAAGCTTGCGCTGCTTGCGGGTTGCAGCCCGGCGCCCCTCGAATCAAGACCGGGTGGGTGGGGACGAGGGCACCCAACACTCGCCAGTGTCCTGGTGCGCCTGGCCGTAAAGGGCGCAACAACACAGCCTCACGGGGCCAGGCTTTCTAAGGCGTCGTTCCGTTGGCGACAGGGAGAGTCCGGGTGCCGCCTGACGCTCGGGGGAGGCCTGCTTGCCTTCCCGGCAGTGCCAGGCGCAGCTCCAGCCGCTAGCGCCCGCAGCGTAGAATATTGCCTGTAGATTCGTACAACGCACCATGGTGCAGACAGCGAGCACCGCGTCGCGCAGCATTCGCACGCGATTCCTCGCGGCGGCCGCGTGTCTGGCGGTGCTGGTGGTTATTGGAATGCATCGCAGCGCGCCGTCGGGCGCGAGCGTGGCGTGGCCGAGTTCAGCTGCGAAACTCGCGGGCAGCTGGCAATCCCAAACGACGTGCGACCACGGATTTACGCCGCAGCAGCTCGAGCTGCTCAAGCAGCTTTTGGAGTCCTCCGGCGTCACTGGTTCTGCCGCGACGATGGATACCGCTCCGACACGAGCGAACGCGGGGTCGAGTACGCCGACGACGGATGGCCAGGAGAGCGAGGAGACTGAGCCCGATTCCGACGACCTGCCAGAGCCTGGGCCGGAACCGACGGATGCCGCGCACGCTCGGGCGTGGAAGGAGCTCGTCAGGCAAGGAAGGGATGCGAAGAAGGAAATGCGTGCCGCGGTGCAGCTGAGGGGCGCGCGCGGGGAGTGCGAGTGAGTCGCCGCCAAACCTCTTTGCTACGTCTGCTCTGTAGTTGAACTGCTGTCGCGGGACGTCCCCTCACGTTGTATGACCTCCACGCGCACATCGCGACGCTCAGCCGGCACGCTGGTTGCCATTCGCACCGAATCACAGGCGGCCGCGCGCAATTGCTGGATACTTGGATGTCAGCAGCAACGGGCGGGAGGAGTTCACGCACTTTGCGCATGCGTCGTGGCGAAGGATCATCAAGGTTAATCCTCTCTCTGCAAAAGGTGGCCTCTGTTGCGGATGATTGGTCGACGCTGACGATGCCAAGGTGTGGTGACCTGCAGGATCCTTCCGTTAAGGCCACGCTCGACATGGTAGTCTTCGGGAACCCTGCGACCCTGGAATGGGTCGCTGACCTCTGTCATGTATTGAAGATCGACCGCGATCTTGCGCAGCAGCGCAAGGCGATCAAGTGAGGCAACAACAAGAGGCACTTGAACTCACCTGATCGTTCGTGTCCGCCCTGCGCTTGCTGCGATCGTGCGCCAAACCCGCGAACTGTGCCGCACCTTTCCGCAGAGACAAGCACGCGTGCATATTCGTCCCATACCCCGCGGACGAGAAGGTCACGAAGCGATTCGACTATCCCTACGGGAACTCCTTCCACTTCATGCTCGACCCCCGGGCCAAATCCCTGTTCCCCGACTTCTACGGCTGGGTACTGCGATCGGACTGGGATGTCTTTTACACCCCGTCCCTTGGAAGTCTCTGCCCGGAGACGTTCAGGACGGGTGATCTCACTCGCCCTCAGATCTTGGATTTGTCAGCTGCGTACACGCGACGCATCGCACGTCCTGCGTGCACGACGTCGTACAGAATCATCGCGTCGACGCATTCCACTGGCCTCACGGCCGTTTCGCTCCCGCGAACGATGCAGGGGTGGGTGCATACACAGATTTCTCACCGAGCCACCCCGGTGACCCAAACACTGCGGACCACTTGAAGGAGCTTTCGAAGCTGTATGGTCTGCGTCACCGCGGCGAGCATAACGTGGGGAGCACGTGGTTTGGCCGGACGCCTGAGATTCTGGCCCTCGCCAGGCTCACCTACAACGTGATGCCGCTACTCCTGAAATTTCACTTCGAACAGAAAGACCCAGCCCACGGCGAAGGACCCGCGCACGTCCTTGATGGCGTCGGATGGCAGCGCTGGTGCGTTCGGCCCTTCTCAGGGCGCACTCTTTTTCCGAGTCCGCTCTGCATCCCTGTAGTCCGACATCACCTAGAGTACCAGCGTCCGTGTTTCGTGGCAGTCACCGTTACCCGGTTTTGATCCGAAAATTGTGCAGGTACGCAGGCGTGACCTTGTTGTATGCTGGTGAGCTGGCCAGCAACCACCTCTTGGACGAATTCGAAAAGTCCGACCAGATGGATGCGGCCAGTCACGGCAGTGTGCCAGTTTCCGACGTGTTTTCCATCCACTGCTGGTGGGTGGAAGAGCCGTTCGCGAAGTTCCAATTTTTCGCTCACCACTATGACTTCATGTCGCTCGACGGGCTGGACACGAGCATCGCGAAGGACTACTGCATGGACATTGCGCTGCGATCCTACCGAGGTATAGAAGAATGAAAGCATCGAGTGGCCTTGCCGTGAACTTCTTTGCTTGAAACCACGACTCCTCGAGACCGTGCGTTCGCCCACACATGCGTCACACACTGACGACGCGAAGAATGTGACACCTCACCTCACCTCACAGCACCCGAAAGACCTCGAGGCGGCCTTATTAGAGGGCCCCTGCAACCAGGTCGCACTGTATAATAGTGTAAGGGTAACATACGCTAATAGTGTAAGGGTAACATACGACCTTCCCAAGGTCGCGCTCCGGGTTCGAGTCCCGGTTAGCGCAAACGACCTCCTTTGCTGCTCGCAGCGACCTATTGCGCGACGCGCGACGCCCTGGGAGCGCCCAGAGCGGCCCAGAGGGCCCACAGAGACTGGGGGCCCGCGGGGACCCGTTCGGACGACAACGTCATCTTTGATGCAACGAATGTGTGCAGGAGATCGCTCCTCGGACGAAACTTTGGGCTTCGGGCCTCCAGCGCGCGAGTTCGCGCGCCCCCCTTCACGCCCGTTGCTCAACGGGGCCAAACGCCCGCGAGCTCCTCTCGACCCAACACGAGCGCGATGGGCCTTGCCAGCGCGAGGACAGATACGCCATTCTTGGCCGTCGCTTTGCCCATGCCGGTCTTGCTCCACGGCCGAGGGGACCTTGCCAGGCCCTGCAGTGCAACTCCAGCGCCCATTTTGACCCCGCTTCCACCGCGCGTGCGCTCCTGGCACGACGTTCACGTCCGACGGCGACCGCAACGTCTGCGCGCAACGCCGTCGCGGCGGAAATGCGAAAGACGTGCTTCGCAACGGCGCCAAAAGCGTGGTGAGGGTCGCTGTGCGTGCCTCCAAGTTCGCCAGCCGAGCACCCACCTCTGCGCTGCGCCACGCCGCCCGAACTCATGGCCCCGCGAGGAGCGAACCTCCAGCCACAACGACGACCAGGAAACTGACCGCGACAACAAGCGTGAGCAGTCCGGGGGAAATCACACGTGCACATCCTCCCGCACGCGTAGCGCTGCTCGCCACCGTCCTCGCGGTGAGGGCGCGTCGCCAGCCCGCGGCGCCGGGCAGGAGACAGAGATAGGAGCTCAGCCGCTGTGCCGCCGCTGCGCACATCTTCCCCACCATGCCCTCGGTGCCGGTCGAGGACCGGCAGATGTGGGCTCCCGGAGCGCTCGGTGCTCATCACCGGTGCGTCGTCGTGTCGGCCTTGCACCGTGCTGCGCCACCCCGCCGAGACCGAGCCCGAGGCCGTGCAGGTCCACAACTCCCTCGCACGCGCCTCTCGTCAACGGTGGACGCGCTGTCCGACGGCCCCGAAGGTCGTTCACTGCAGGACCTTCCCGGCAGCCCGCCAGCGGGGCTCCCTCGCGTCGTCGGCGCGGCGTCGCACGTGCTTTGCTCCCCCTCCCCCATGGGGCATCTCTGTGCCCCGTGACACGGCGCCGACACGATCGGCACTGCTTCCTCGTCTCGGCTCTGTCACAGCTGCCGTACCTGTTGCTACCAAAACGGTGGGGGGTTAGCATGACTCGCCACCTAGTCGAATGATCTTTCAGGTCCCAAAGCCTTCAGGCTGACGACGCGAAGAATGTTGAGGTCGACGACGGAGCCCGTACGCCGTACGCCTGCGTGCGACAGTATCCGAGTGCCCTGCGAGCCGCCCACGTCGCGCCCTGAGCTCGCGGGGCCGGACCGACGCGGCACGCAGGGGTCTCCCAGCACGCCGTTGCCGCTGGAGGTTCGGCACTCGCGGGCCCATGAGCCAGGCGGGCTCGGAGTCGGACTGAGTCGGCGCGTCACACTCCCCCCGCGTCCTGCGCTACTCGGCGCGGTCCGCGGGCTGCGGCCGCGGTGGCGATCCGGGCGGCGGCCGCGGCGCGCGCGCGGCCGCCACCGCCGCGGCCCCGCCCCGCGCGTCCTCCCACGCCCGCTGCATGCTGGCCACCATGTTGGCCAGCTCCACCACCCCGGGGACCATCCGCGACTCGACCTCCGCGGCCGCCTCGCGCGCGCACGGCTCCGCGCCCTCCGCGAAGCCCTCCCCCGGGACGAGGCAGAGCTGCGTCGGGCGCGCGAGGAGCTGCTCGAACGTCGGGCGCAGCTCGAAGCAGTTGCCAAACAGGCTCTGGCAGCCGACGACGTAGAGCCCGAGGCGCGCGCGCGACATGGCGACGATCAAGCGCCGCACGTCGCGGAGGTGCCCGACCGTCTGCGTGCGCACGAGCGACAGCAGCACGTAGTCGTTCTGCTGCCCCTGGTACTTGTCCACCGTCGCGACCTGCGCACGCGGGGCGGGGGACGTGGGCGGCTGCCCGGAGCGCGGGCGCGGGGCGGGAGGCGTGGCGGCGCGACGCGGCGGGGCGTCGCGGACCTTGCGGGGCCGTCCAAAGGCGGGGTGCGCGGCGCAGCGCTGCTCGACGACGTCCTGGATGAGGTGCTTCTGGCCGTTGTACGTGGTGAGGATGGAGATGCGGGAGGCCGGGTAGCCGAGGAGGCGCATGTACTGGTACACGCTGACGACGTACTCGGCCTCTGCGAGGTTCTGGTAAAAGTACGGGAACGGCGCCGTCTCGCCGACGCCGGCGGGGTCCTGCACGTCGACGAACTGGTACGTGTACCGGAAGCCCGGGTTCGCGACCTGGAAGCCCCGCGCGGACTGCACGTGCGGCAGGTCGCCCAGGTTCTGCAGGGAGGCACAGGGAAGGGGGGGGGGTTGTGTGGAAGGAGGGGGGTGTCGCGCGCGCGCGGTGGCGTCGCGGAGAGGACGCGGTGGCGGCGAGAGAGCGCGCAGGGGGTGGGTGGTTGGGGGGGTGCTCGCCCGCAAGCACGCACGCACGCACGTTGTAGCGCCAGTTGAAGAGCTTGGCGATGTCGGCGCGGCAGCGGCCCTGGGCGTTGAGCTGGATGAAGGGCACCCCGAGGCGGACGAAGCGCGTGAACATGGGCTGATCCATGCGCGCGTACTTCTGGATGGCCACGTTCTGCACCACCGGCGGCAGCTGGTTGTGGTCCCCAATCAGCACGATGCGCTTCAGGCGGCTCTTCCCGCTCTCCGCGTTCTGCACCGCGGCGAACACAGACGGGACCCGTCGCACGCACCAGCAGCAGCAAGAGCAGCAGCAGCAGCGCAGGGACGCGTCGCGTCGCACCTGGAGCAGCATGGGCACGAGCGTCTCGATCTCGAGCACCTGCCCGGCCTCCTCCATGACCAGCGTGTCGTACTGCAGTCCGACTTTCAGGAACTCCCTCCTCTTGAGCGCCGCGTGCGTGCACGTCATCGCGACGACCTTGGCCTGCTTCGTCATGAGGTAGTTGACGCGGTCCGCCTGCCCGCGGAGCAGCTCGAACGCCCGGCACTCCTCCAGCTCCTGGAACACCCCCCGGAGGTGTCGGAAACACCCCCGCGCGATCTCCATGTCCTCCTCGAACGAGCGCCCCTTGAACAGCGGCTGCGGCGCGTCTGCAAAGTACCCCGTGAACGGGAACGTCCCCTTCACCACGTCCGTCAGCGACGACTCGCCCTCGGCCCCCCCGCGCCCCCGCGCGGCCGCGGCCTCGCACCCCGCGCGGAACTTCTCCCACCGCGCCAGCACGTGCAGCAGCCAAAAGTGCCCCGCCGTCTCGCACGAGTACGCCACGTCCGTGGGGCTCCCCAGCAGCTTGGCCAGGCGCTCCACCTCGCCCAGGAGCTCGATGCGGCGCGCGAGCATGGCGTTGACGCGCCCGACGCGCGAGAAGTCGATCGTGGTGTCGAGGTCCTGCTCGCCCATGCCCAGCCGCAGCAGATACCGCGCGGGCATGTCCCGCTCCATGATCTTCGTGAAGAGGTCGTTCAGGGCCTGGTTCGAGTGCGCGACGAGGAGGACGCGCTGGCCCGGGTGGTTGTGGTACATGACGTTGATGATCTGCACCGCGGTGTCGGTCTTGCCCGTCCCGGGCGGCCCCACGATCATCGACAGACCGGGGTGGACGCCCCCCCGGATGGCTTCGACCTGCGTCGGCGTGAACCGGACCGTGTTGCGCCGGGGCTGGTCCTGCGGGTACGGTCCGGGGTCCGGCGGCGAGTAGGGCTGCACGAGGAGCGGCGGGCGGGACTCGCGCGTCGCGCAGCCGGCCACCGCGGCGCCGACGACGGCCGGGTCCGGGTGGTCGTCGTCGGGGAAGGTGACGCGGAACGGCGGGGCGACGGCCTGGCCCTCGTCGACCTGCGGAGGCGGAGGCGGGGCGCGCGGGCGTCGGGATCGAGCCTGGAACTCGCCGGGTGCGATTGACGTGCTGCAGCGACGTGTGTTGTTCGTTGACTTGATCAGAGACGCAGGAGGGGCAACGTTCCGTCGCGGCTCACCTTGAACTGGACGTCGTACCCCGGGAACGACTCCACGACGTGCTGCTCGTCCAGGAACGTGTCCAGGAAGTCGACCGTCTTCGCCACGCCGCCCCTGTCCTCGAGCCGGTGCCACGCCGCCGACCCCGGGTCGCCGTACCCCAGGAACACGTCGTGCAGCCAGTCCGGCAGCGCCACCTCCTCGTCGTTCAGCAGGTCCCTGATGCTCTCGAGCACCGACCGGAAGTTGTTCTCCTTGGCCTTGCGCCGGAGCAGCAGGTTGAACCCCGCGTACACGTCCTCGCCCACAACACCGCCCGCGGCCGCGTTCTCGATGTCGAGCTGGTACTGCGCCGTGTCGAGCGACAGCAGCAGCGTCCGCGCCGTGCCCTGCGGCGGCCGCTGGTCCTCCACGCGCACCCGCCCCGTGAAGTCGTTCATCAGCTTGCCCGCGCCGGCGCGCACCTCGAGGACCTCGCACCCGCGGATGTGCACGAGCGAGCGCTTCGCGCGCGCGTCCTCGGCCGCGCGCCCCGACCGCGCGCGCATCGCCTCGAGCGCCGACGGCGCGCGCACCGTCAAGAGAAAGAGCACGTCGTGCTGCTTGACCTCGTCCCACTCCGCGCGCACGTCCGGGCGGAACGACCGCGTCTCGAAGCGCAGCTCCGCGACGACCTCCGCGGGCCGCGCCTCGCCGACGTTCGGCTTGCGGACCTCGACGATCTCGAACGCGCTGATGGGCGTCGCCATCCGCGCCCACCCCTCGAAGGCCGTGACGCCCTCGTGCGTGAGCACGGGGCGGACGCGGCGCAGCGCGTCGAGGACGTCCTCGCGCACCTCGTACGTCGACTCCAGGCGGTACAGGTGGAAGTTCCGCATCAGGTAGTCCTGGTAGGACAGGAACTGCATGTTCAGCTTCGGCAGGGGCAGACAGCCCTCGCCGCCCCAGTGCGTGGTCGGCACCTGGCGGTCGTCCCACAGGACGTTCTCCGTCGGGTACAGCGGCATGCTGTTGATCACGCTCCGCAGCCCCTTGCGCCGCTCAAAGTGCAGCAGCAGCGCCTCGCGCGCCACCGCGGGACCCGCGCCCTTCGCGGCGCAGACCGCCTCGGAGACGACGCGCAGCGTGCGCGCCGCGAGCTCCGTGAGCTCGTCGTCGTCGAGCGCGCCGAGGTGCGCCGCCATCGTGCGCCGCGTCATCACGTCGCGGCACGCGCAGTACGCCAGCTCGCGGAGCTTCGGCAGGAAGGTGAACGCGAGGCGCTGGAGCTGCTGCGCGCGGTCGTACGAGGCCCGCAGGAGGTCCTCGTCGCTCTGCTGCTCGCCGGTGTGGTTGTCGATGGGGAAGGCCGCGAAGAACTGCAGGAGGTCGACCAGCTGACGGAAGAGGTCGCCGTGGCGCGGGTGCGCGTAGAGCGGGGACGCGCGGAGGCGCGGGAGGAGCGCGAGGTCCTCGACGAGCGCGTGCACGAAGCGCCGCGTCGGGAGCTGCGACAGCAGGTCGATGAGGAGCTCCACCATGCGCTCGCAGAACCTGGGGGGTGTGCGGGAAGGAGGGGGGGGGGAGTCGTTTGCGGCCGGCCGGGGACGTGCGTGCGGGGGGCGGTGGGGGCGGGAACGCAGTGTGTGCAGGGCAATGGGGTCGCTCTCGATTGGTGTGTCGGGACACTGGGTCGCGAATCCAGGTCTTGCGAACAAACAGATATCATATATATGAGCAGATATCATGCAGCACGACGGAGACGTGTCTGGAAGTCGTAGAGGCAGCAGAGCGCGCGGGCGTAGTCGAGCGCAGCGCGGCGCCCGCCGCATCCGCGGCCGCACGCACCTGATCCGCGCCCAGTCCATCCGCGGCTTCCGCCGCTTCCCCGCCCCGTCCCCGTTCGCCCCCGCGACCTCCTCCGCGTCGCTGCTGTCACTCCCGCCCTCCAACGCGCCGCCTCCCTCCGCCTCCGCCTCCGCCTCCGCCTCCGCCGCCCCGTCCTCGTCCTCCGAGCCGCTCCCGCCCTCGTCCTCCCCGTCGCTGTCCACCAGCCCCACGCTCACCAGCGCGCCCCCCTCACCGCCGCCGCCCGCCTTCGCGGCCGCCTCCTCCTCCACCTCCATCTTCGCCGCGTCCTCGGCGTCCGGCAGCTCCACGGGCTGCGCCACGCGCTCCAGGAACGTCCGCAGCACCGCGGGCAGGAAGCTGCCCTCGGGCCGCTCCTGCACCGGCACGTGCTGCTTTCCCGCCCTCTTCGCGGCCTTCGCCTCCTTCTTCGCGAGCGCCCGCCAGTGCTTCGCGACCTGCGGGTGCGCGTGCAGCTCGAGCTCGAGCCGCCCCGGCGACAGCGCGTGCCACACCGGCAGCGACACCAGCCGCAGCGCCTGCGCCCGCACGCCCTCGTTCTCGAGGGAGCCGAACGCGTTCACGAGGAAGTGCACGAACGCGACGGACTCCCAGGGGCCCAGCGCGTCGTCGCCGTCGGCGTTCCAGAGCGCGGCGATGCGGCGGAAGAGCGCCGGCACGGGCCCGGCGCCGGCGTCGGCGTCGGGGGGCGCGGCCGGCCACGCGTCGAGGCCCTCGCGGATCTTCTCGTTGACCATGATCATGACGGACAGGACGTGCTCGCGGGACGCGCCCTCCTCGTCGAAGTTCGGCCACAGGTAGCGCTCCAGGTACTGCACGCGGCGAAGTGAAACAAGGGGAGGGGTGTTCGCGTCAGGGGGGGGTGTTCGCGCGGTATACGCGGCGTGACAGGCGCGGAGGTGGACGAGGGTACGATTCGAGCGTCGCGCGCGACCGGCGCGGAGCGTGCGGGCTCGCGGTCGCCAGCGGCGACGGCACACGCACGGCCAGGGGGCAGGACGCGCCTGCGACAGCTCGAGGAGGCGCAGCCGCTGCTGCCTGGCCGCGGCGCGGTGGCCCTTGTCCCCGCGTGGCCGCAGTTCCTCCTCGTAGATCTTCTTCACGACGCCCGCGTCGAAGGGCTGCCCGTCCCCCTGCCAGTGCTGCTTGGCGAGCTGCGTCAGTCGGTCTGACTCGATCTGCAGCGCAGACGGGCCGAGAAATCGAGAGACGTGAGAGCTGCGGGCGCCGGCGGCGCCCCCCAACGCCGTTCCGCGCCGCGTGGCACGCACACGGCGCGATCGGGCCTCCGGGGGCCGCCAAAGCGCGTGCAGCGCGGGAGGGCGCGGGAGGGCGCTCCGGGCGGCGTGTCCCGATGTCGTGAGCTGAGGGCGCGCGTGGCACGCCGAGGCATCGCGTTCGCGGGCCCGAGCGCCCGCCGGGCGGCACAAAACGCTCTGGCGGGCAGGCCACCGGGCCGCGAAGGACGCAGCGCGGCGGGTCCTGCGCACCTCCTCGAGCGTGAGCCTGTTCGCAGCCCTTCTCGTGACCTTCGCGTCCGCCTTCTCGCCCCGCTTCGCCTTCTTGGCGCCCCCCTGCGCAGCCCGCCCCCGGCCCCTCCCCCCGCCCCGTGCGCGCTTGCCCTCCCTCCCGCGCGCCATTTCCTGCCCGGACTGGCCCTCAGCAGTCAGCGATCAGCCGTCCAACTGCCCCCTGACCCTGGACGCGTCCCCACCCGAGATCTGTGGCGAGCAGAAGTTTGCTCGCAGCACCTCTGTCCGACACCGAAGCCGACGCGCCCGTCACAACGAGTTTCGTGCCGGCTACGTGTAGCCAAGCACACGCTGGCCCCCGGGGCCGCGCGGGCCCGCCCCTGAGGCCGCTGTGCGCTGCAGTCCCGGACCCCCCTCCTTTGCCCACCTCCGAGGCCCCACGCGGGCGGCAGGCGTCGAGGGCGCGCCTCGCCGGCCCGCCCCGGCGTGTCAGAGACTGAGGTTGCCGTGGCGGCGAAGATCTCGGCTCGTGCGCCGCGTCACCTGCCGGCAGAGCGCTCCGCCCGTGCCCTGTAGGACCAGCAACGTGCGCACTTTGACGCGTCCTGATCAACCGCTGGCACCGCGCGCGCGGCGGAACTGAGCCCTCGCGACGCAGACATGGCGCTCCGCGGGTCGTCCGCCGTGCGCATCCTGCGCCAGCGCCTCGCGCGGCCTGCCGGCGAGGCAGCGGTCGCCGCCCTGCGGGGGCCCGACGACGTGCACGGCACCACCGCGTGCCGCGAGTACACGCGCAGCAGCGCCGCGATGCAGGTCCTCGACGTCACGTTCAGCCCGCAGCAGGCCACGCTCGGCATGCAGGTCGCCAGGCGAGCTCCCACACCGCCGCCCATCCTGCTGCGTCCCCGCGTCGTGGCTCGCGGCCCCGCGCCGCGCGCCCGGCGCGTAGCGCCGCGATTGCAGCCGGAGCCAGCCTGCGCGTGAAACGCCCGTCAGCCTGCGCGTGAGATGCGGCGTCCGCGGTACCCTGCGCCTGGGCTCTGGCAGCGGACTCGCACGCCTGTGGGGGGCCCGGTCCGGCGCCCCGGGCTGTACGTCGCGCGAGCTCTCCGTTCGCGGCCCCGCGGTGCTCGCGAACCCGTAGATTCCGCCCAGACGGCTTGCGCCGGCGGTTTGGTCCAGCTGGCCCCCTGCACGACCACACGCCCGCGTGCGCGCTCTGAGCCGCGCGAACGGACGCCCTCCTGCGCGTTCCGGCACGCCCTAACTCTGTACCATCCCAGCGTGGGCCCGAGATGCCGGGTCGCTGCTTCCCCGCAGCGTGCGCGCGAACGACAACTGGGCGAACACCCAGTCGCCCGTCTCCGCGCGCCACCGGCCGCACAGGGCGACGCCGTCCACACAGACCGCCGCGCGCTGACGAAGAGTCGCCCTCGCTCCTTTTCCACCGCGCAGGGCGCTCCAGCGCAACCCCGACGAGGCGGCGTCCGCCGTGGCTGCCTCGCTCACCCCGCGGCAGCGCCGGGCGCTGATAGCCGCGCTCCGGCAGTCCACGATCGCGGACGCCGTGTACGGCTCGTCGTCGTACGTCGACTACCTCTTCGACAGCAGCGACGGCGACGCCACCCCGGCGTCCAAAGACGGCGCGTTGAACAAGGAGGAGTTTGCGAGGTAGGTTTGCGAGCCCCGGCGACGGAGGGGCGTGGCGGTCGCCGCGGAGCCGCCTCGCGCACCCGGAAGGCAGCGCGGGCGCTCCGGCGGCGCCCGCTCGTTCGTTCGAGGGGCATTGCCTCGCACCGACTGCACAGGTAAAATAATACAATACGAGACTGCAGCGTGGTTGTTTGTTTGTTTGCGCGGTCGCAGGGCGCTGAGGATGCACCAGGAGCTCGTGGGGGCGGCGGAGAGCCAGCAGACCGCGACGCAGGCGACCATGGCGCCACCGCCGGGCACGGAGGCCACGCCGTCCTTGGGGGTGCGACGCCCGCTGCGCCGTGCCGGAGAGCGCGCTCGCTGCCCGTTGCGGCTCGATGTGCAGCAGACCGCGCTCGCTGCGCGCTCGTGGGGATGATCTCGCACCTGCGTGGCGTCGCGCTGGTCGCATTTTGCGATGAAACACCCCCCCCCCGTTTCTGTCCCTGCCTGCGCGTCGCAGAGCCTGACGACGTACGCCGTGGCGCGGGGCATGCCGTTCGTGGGCTTCGGCCTCATGGACAACTTCTTGATGATCGTCGCGGGCGAGGCCATCGACCTGTCCCTGGGGGCGGCGCTGGGGCTCTCCACGATGGCTGCCGCGGGGCTGGGCAACCTCGTCTCGGACGTGGCAGGTGCGAATCGGCCCCGGCTCGCACGCCGCCTGGGTCCGCCCGCTGCGAGCGCGGCCGCGCGCACCCAGCCGCGGGAACACAGTGAATGTTGCGAGTTGAGGTTCCAGGTCTGATTCTCTCTCTCCGTCCTCCGCGCCTCTCATCTCGCGGCACGTGGGTGGGCTGCGCAGGGCTCGGGTTCGCGGACACGATGGAGGAGCTGATCCGGAAGGCGGGGTTCATCACGGCACCGCCGCTGACGCGCACGCAGCGCCAGATGCCGCGCACGCGGGTGGCGAAGCTGCTGGGCACGAGCGGCGGGATCTCGATCGGCTGCCTGCTGGGGATGTTCCCGCTGCTGTTCATGCCGGGCGCGAGCTAACCGCCGCACGAACACCCCCTGATGCACACCCCCCTGATGTTGTTGTTGATGACGTCGCCGTTTGGCGGCTCGCGATTTGTTTTGACGCTAGAGCATGCGGATATTGATGTGGGTCAGCCGCCCCGGCACAGGCTGCGTCGGTCCCGGCAGCGGAGGCGCGTCGACGTGCGTGGGGGTGTTTTTGTTCTACCCTGACGCAGCAGGTGGGCCGGGGCCGGCCACGTGGCGCGCGACGTGGCTCCTGGTCGCGTGTGACGCGCACACGACGGCACGTGGCGCCACACACGCGTCCCTGACGTGTCCTCGCAAGACCTCCACATTGTGCGCATGGGGATCTAGTGTTCTCGATTCCTGAGCACACGGGCACTCGAGGCCATCCACCTCACCCTTGCAGAGCTCTCTCGCAGCACGCTCACAAGCGTCCCGGCTGCCCCGTCGGAACACGCCCACACTCGGCTTCCTCGGCGGCTCGCGCGTGACGCAACCACAGCTGACAATGCGGCTCCTCCTTCACACCGCGCTGCTCGTCGCGACGGCCACGGCGCTCCTCGCAACTCCAGTACTCGCCGAAGGTCCGTGCTTGCCCGCTAGCCCGTCCACCACCACCATGTGCCGCCACACAGGCCGCGTGCTGCCCTGTGCGTGTGTCACAGCCGCACGAGGCCCCCCCGAGCAGCGGACACATCGATGTCCGCTCACACGTGTATCAGCGTCGCACCCCTGCGCCACCTCAAACAGACCCCAACCCAAACAACAACTCTGAACTGCACCTCGCTTCGCCGCACCCCACGACCGGGGCACGCCGACGAGAGCGACCGCGACATCGCCGCGGGCACCTTGAATGCAGTCGACGCGATGTATGCGCCGCTCTGGAACATGCCGGCGACGTACGGGGGCATGTGGCCGTACTATGGTGGCAAGTGCTTCGGCGTGAACTGCGACGGCGACGGCGGGTACAACCCGCTCCCGGGCTTCGTTCTGCCGTACCTCGACAGGATCCCGGTGCGCTCGCAGCACGAACGCGGCACGCTGCGGCTCGCGGCGGTTGTCCTGCCGCAACATGTCATGTGCGGGGCGCGTGGTCGGCGCGTCTGCTGCGGTCGTGACGCGCGTGCGGTGTCGGTGCGGTGCAGACGGTGGACGTGGACCCCCGCTACGACTTCATCCAGCGCAACAAGCCCCTGGAGACCATCCCGTCGGCGTACCGGCCCTCGGATGCCTTCCTGGGCCTGCGGCCGGAGCCCGTGCGGTTCATCATCCGCGACCCCAGGACGGGCGAGATCATCCGGATCATCCCGGGGTACTGAGCTACGCCGTGAGGACGCTCCTTTCGAGGTTTGCTGAGGATGGGACAGCGTTTTGCCAGGTTGGTCGGTCTTGTGGGGCAGCGCCGCTAAGGCGCGCTTGAACGACTGGTATCTTGAGCGAACGAGGCCCCCCTGCGGCCTCTGTGTGCGTTCCGGCCGCGTGGACGCGGGCCGGGCCGCCCCCGCTCACGCGCGGCTTGGCGCCGTGTGACGGAGTCCACGGGCGAGGATCGTGCCAGAAAAGTGCAGCGCAGGCATGGTAGCTTCGTGCTCGTGCGATGCGACTGACGCTCGAGGCCAGTGGCGCGGAGACCGGGCCGTGATCCGAGGCAGACTGCTTGAACAGGTACCCAGGGAGTCTGGTTCCGGCGATTCCGCTCCCTTCCGGGCATATTTGGAACGCTGCGGACTCGGCGCGCGCAGAACAAAAGTGGCCCGAGCGGTTCCGGGTGCTGCACAGCGTACGACCAGCCAGGAGCGTGCCCTGGCGGGCCCGGAGAGGGCAACCTTCGACTGAAAAGCTTCGCAGGCGTCTCGTCGCGGCTCGAGCGCGTTCGTGACCGTTTCGACCTCGTTCCCGAGGCTGCCGAAATCTGGCCTGGCGTTTGATCGACGGAAATGGCCGCGAGCGGCGACCCTGGCGCCGGGCCGTCGGGTACGTGGCTCGCCCTGCCTGTGCGCTTTTCTGAGGCGCGCGCCGCGCTTGCTCGTGCTCCGTGGCGTGCCAGGCGTCGCGATCGGGACCGTGAGGTCTGCGTCCTGCAGGAACGACGGACGAGGCGGCGGGGGACGTGCTGTTCGGGGGGCGACACGCTGCCGGCACCACCGACCTCCAGCCGGACGAGTGCTGGTACGTTTCGAAAAACGGGAAGGGCTTTCGGGCTGAAATACAATACATGGCGGCCGAGAAACCGATCAAAGTTCGGGGACCCACACGCAAGACCGTGTCGGAGGCGGCCGAGGACGCCGACAAGTGCGGAAACCCCCCCACCTGACTGATGGCGTTTACGAACTTGCCCGTCGTCGTCGGTGGCGTGTGCCCCCCTCGTCGGGCGCAGCGCCCGCGCGAGCTGCCTTCGAGCTCCTCTGCGCCGCAGTCTGCGGTACAAGCTGCGCCACGAGCTGCTCAAGCACGCCGGCATCGCCCTCGACGCGAGGTATAATTTCGACATGACCGCGGCGATGGCGGCGATGCTCGACGGTCCGAGCCTCGACCAGGTGCGTGCCTCGTCGATGCTGCTGTGGAGGTCGGCGTCGTGCCCGGGCGGATCCGCGCCGTGTGCGCTCGCTTCTTTGTCTTTGGAAACCCGCTGCACGGCATCGCAAACGCCCCTGCGCGCCGACGCACCCGCGCAGGTCAAGGAGATGCTGCACATGGACGCGGCACGCGGGCGGAAGGCGAGTTCGTCGCGCTTCAAGGGCGTGTCGTGGGACAAGGCGGGCGGGAAATGGAGAGTAAGATTAACGGTTCCCGGAGCTGAGGGAAAGAAGGCGCGCGAGCTCAAAGCCTGCTCTCTCGACAGCGAGATCGAAGCCGCCGAGGCGTACGACCTCGTTGCGATGAAGATACACGGCAGGTGGGCCCCGATTGCGTAGCTCTGTTGCATACATGCAATACATCCCCCCCAGAAACGCCGCCACCAGCTCCGACGGCCCGCGCGCGTCGTCCGCCATCCATCTCGAGCGCAGGAAGGCGGACGTCAACTTCGCATATGATTCCACGGGCGACGGCGTCGCGGACATCGTGCCGGAGATCACAACAAGTATTTTTACCAGTGGCAAGGCCCCGCGAGCGCTCTTGGAAGGTGGGGCGCCGGACGAGGCTGACGCGACGACGACGCTCCGGCGCGTCGATCTCGACGAGCTGCAGTCCGAGGTGCGAGTCACGCCCGCGCACGTGCCTCCTCGACGCGCATGATCGCAGTCTGGTCGGGGGCGAGACACGGCGCTGGACCATGCATTCCCTATGCCTGACGACGCCGCGCAACGCTGCTGGCTCCCCGATCCTCATCCGCAGGACCTGGAACTCGCGACGGGCAGGGTGATCACCAACGCCTTCCTGGAGGAGTACGCCGCCGGAGGCGCACCTGCCACGGAGCGCAAGGCGCGCGGGACGAGGAAGCCGCGCAGGCGTGCACAGGGGAGCGAGACCGCGAGCTCCGACGATGAGGGCTCGGATGGCGCAAGTGAGTTCCGATCTGACCCACAGAAACGCCCCCTTGAAAGTTACACCTCTTTCGACCCCTCTCTTGTCATCGTTGCCTTTTGACGCACGGAGGGTGCGTCAAACGCCCACCGCTGCGCGCTGCCGCCGTGCCCGATCTGGTGCGCACGTGCGATGCCGCGGCGCAGGCGACGACGAGCCCGTGCAGCGTGGCGGCAGGCGCGCCGCTGGCGCGACCCCCAGGGCCGACAGCGGGTGGGCAGAAGCGGTGGACGCGTGCAGGTGGTGCGGCAAGGATCACTTCAGCGAGGAGGGTGCGCCCCCGAAAGACTCGCGTGCTATGTCCCCGAGCACGCGCCTGTCCGCATGTCTGACGCTACTGGCGCGTTGAATAGTGTTTCTACCATCACGTGTTGGCCGCATGCCCTTTCACGTCCGGCGGCCCTCACGAGCTGGAGCTCACCGGTTCTGCAGAGGGCATCCACCCGGACACGATGCTCTGCTGCGAGCTGTGCGGCGAGGGCCAGGCGCACGTGTCCTGCCACGAGTCGGCCACGGGGAAGAAGATCGACAGCCTGGACGATGACTGGTTCTGCACCGAGGTGCGCCGCGCACGCGATGCCTCGCCAACTGCGGCGTCGCGAGGGGCACGTCGCAGCAAGATCTCCCAGCCTTGCACGACAATCGATCCTTTCAAAGTGTTACGCGGCTTTGTTTCCGGGCTGTCTCCGCCGCAGGACTGCACCAACATCGCGCACTACGTCGACACCATGTGCGACATCCAGCAGGCCGTGACCGCCGACGACGGCTCCAAGCTGAACGGCGTGTTCTTCGAGATGCTTTCGGACGACAGCACCAAGGCTTCGAACAAATCCGCGGCTGCGCTCCTCCTGGTACGTTCCTCATCCTCATCGCGGCAGGCACCGAACTGCGGCAGAGCTACCGCCGCCGCGCTCTCGTGGCAGAGACGCCCTCACGCGGGTCGCTATCGTGTTCTGACGGCTGCAGGACGCCTTCCAGCCCGTGGACCTGGACGGGTACAACCTCGTCGAGCTCGTCGCGACGTCGATGCCCGGCACGCCCGAGGACGACATCCCACTGGACTGCTCGGGCTTCCGCTTGTTCGTCCTGCGCCGCCGCGGCGTCATCGTGTGCGTCGCGGCGGTCCGGTTCTTCAGCAACGCGTTTGCGGAGATGCCGTTCATCGCCACGAGGTGCTGCCCGGCGCCGCGCTGTCTCGTCGGCTGTTGGGCGACTGCACGAAACACGCGCTGAACAACAACACGCCCGCAGCCGTCACCGGTGCCCGCTTCCGTGCAATACTGCGCCACACGAACGAGTATACCTGCTATGTCGGTGCTGCTCGCAGGGAGGCTCACCGCGGGAAGGGCAACGCGCGGCTGCTCGTGTCGCAGATCGAGGCGCTGATGATTGAGCTCAACGTGCAGAAGCTCGTCGTCCCCGCCATGAAGGAGGTGTACGGCATGTGGACCAAGGGGTTCGGGTTCGCGCGGCTGACTGCCAAGGAGCGTCGCGGCCTCCAGGGGCGCGTCGTGGAACCAGATGAGTCGTCGGCGGTCCTGCTGAAGAAGTCCGTGCTCGACGAGCCAAGGAAGAGCAAGCCGGCGCGCCACGCGACCCTGAAGGTACGCCTCGTCTTGTTCGCTGTGCAGCCGCGGACCGAGGGGCGCTCAAGGTGAGCCGTCTCGCCGAGACGATGCGATGTGTTTGAAAAGGTTCAAAACGGCCGCGTGTGTGCGTGCAGGCGCCCGCGCGCAAGCAGGCTGCTGCACCGCCGCCTGTGCCCGAGGGCGCGCAGTCGCTCGCGCAGACAGCGGACGTCCCGGCGGCCGCCGGCAACGAGAGCGGCGCGGCGGAGGTGCCGACGGAGGAGAAGCCGCTGGGCGAGGCGTGGTCCTTCCTTCTGAACTGGAAGCCGGAAGACTGGGTAACGGAGCGCCCGCTGCGCTTCGCGACCGACAAGGACTGGCAGGACCAGCTGGCCACGTGGTTCTTCCTGCTCTTCTTGGTGAGCGCCAAGCCCGCGCGGGGCTGCCTACATGCCGGGACGCGGTGCAGCGTTGCGAGGCCTGCGCACGTCGTGCACGCGGCCGCGTGGTCCGCGCTGCATGCGTTTGTTCGTGAGTCCAACCATGCGACGACGTATTTGCAGGAGCCTGTGTTCAAGAGCGAGGACGATGTCCCGGACGCGGAGACAAACTACACCGCGGACAACCTCGACCTGGGCGCGTTCGTCACGCACGACGAGATGATGGTGCGCGTCCTGTCAGTCGGACTGCATGTTGCTCTCTGCATGACAGCATTGATACGCACGTCCGCGCACGGCACGATCCATGCTGGCGCACAGTCCGCGTGATCGCGACCTCCGTCGCGGTTCACGGCCCTCCGCAGTACATGTACGACCTGGTGTTCAAGAACGCCCCGGCGGGCGCGAAGATGTCTCAGCCGCGGCTCGCTGCCTTTCTGCACGACTACTTCGGCCACCTCGGGGTCGTGACGGAGGCGGCCGGCACCGTCGATGCAGACCGCTTGTGCATTCCGTCCGAGCCAGGTGAGTTCGTGGCCCAGGACGCAGCCACACACACCAGAACGCTTGCCACACTTGCGGTGCGCGTTGTGTTGTCTGTGGGTCGCGTTGACGGCGAATGACCAGCCCGACCGCCCCCGGCGCTGTTGCAGGCGTGCGCATCGGCTCCGGGCCCAGCAACCGCGCGCTCGGCGCCCTTGCGCCGCGCAAACACCCCCGCTCCTGGCAGGACGGGCTGCACCCCGATCTGTCGGCGGCGTTCGTGCGCCTCGGGCTCGTCATCCCCGAGGAGGCGCTGTACAGGGGCATCATGGTCGAGGACTTCGCTGGGGTCCCCTTCGTGGACCAGCCGCGCCTGTGCCTTGCCGTCCACGGCCTGTGGTGCGCCGCGCACCCCGCAACGCCGCAGCCCGACAGATGCTCGCGTTGTCTTGCGCACGAAGCGCGGTTCCGCGATGCACGTGGTCTCCGGTGTGTTCGCGGACGGATGAAGGTCAGAGGAGCTCGCGAACCGCGATCGCGAACGCCTTTTTGAATTTCACTGGCAGTCTCTCCCCGTGCCTGTCTCCGCAGTTGGGTGTGGAGCCCGGACCCCGAGAAGGTCGCAGGGGAGGACGTCTTCCAGCTCGTGGCCGCGACGCACCGTGACAGCGTGGGCTTCCCCGACGAGCGGACGATGCACGCGGCCCTCACCGGGCGCTGGTCCGGCGTCCCGGGGACGTCGCTTGCGCCGTTCCCGGAGCCCACGCCCGAGCAGCAGTCCGAAATGCCAAGCGATGACGCGGTGCCCGAGGAGGCCCTCGAGGTGCCCCAGTACGTCGACGGACTCCCCCCGGAGATCCCCATGCTCGGCAAGCTGCTTTTGGCGTACGCGGACGACGATCGAGTGCTCCTGCGCGTCTACACGGGCAACAGCCGCCTGTACGTGCACGTCCAGAACACCGGCACCGTCGTCATCGTGGTACGCGCCCACCTGCAACTGCCTCCACTTGCGTTTCGTACGCGGACCTCGGCACGCGTGACACGGCGAGATCCAGCGAGGCCACGATGTGCCCATGCGTCATGCAGGGAGCCGGCACGGTGCGGACGGTAGCCAGCCCAGAGCCGCACGAGGTGGTGCGTCGCGGGGAGGCGCCGCCTGTGGAGGGCGCGCTGGGCTCCCACGTGCACTGGGTGCGTATAATCAAGACGGGCGTTCCCCTCGACCCGTCCAAGCCCCCGCCGCCAGCCGCGACGACGGCCCCGGGCACCACGTCGATCACGTACACCAGGTGACACCCCCCCCCATCCTACCAAAGCAGCTCGAGTATTATGCCCTCTCACTCGTCGCGGCTGGCACTAGGGCTGGTGACCGCGTGCGGCTCGTCCTTCCTGCCCACCAACAGTGGTTCCTGGTTCCCTGCCGCGCGTTCGTGCAACACACCCCCAGCCACGTCTCCAACACACCCATGCGGCGTCTGACTGCGCCGCAGGCTGCCGAGGGGGTCCGGCGAGCCCGATCCCGCGGACGGGCTCGCGGCCCGTCTGCCGTTCCTGCCGCCGGCGCTGCTGTTCCTGCACGGGCGCCTCCCGGGGAACAGCGCGGCCGCGGTGGAGCAGGTGCCGCATGAGGTGACCGGGGCGGGCAGTATGGACATGTCGCCGTGAGGACGAGACGAACGCGTGGGGAGCACGCGGGAAACGAATCAAGAACCAGCCCCCCTGTGGAGGTCAGCACGTGGAATAGCCAAGCATAGCGACGGCGTGAACTATCATGACCGCTTCTTAGACACTGCATGCACAGAACCAGCCCACGTGTGACAGGAGAGGGACCGACAGTCTGCTGCGCCGCGCCTCGCCCGCACACGCAACCGTCGGTGCTCGCCCACCTCGAAGACGTCCAGGTCTCGCGCACGCCAGCGCCGAGCTTTGGCAACCAACCTTGCCCGTCGTGCACAGCGCAGCCTCACACGAAACCTCGCTCGCGACAAGGCCGACGCGGCTGGCGAGTGCGGGGGGTCCTAGCCCCACACACCAGCCCTATTCAATCTATTTTAGGTTCTATAATCCCGCAGATATAAACAACCAACGGGTCTAAACGCGAGCCAACCGGCCGGGCCGCCCCGCCGCGGCACGGCTCACGCGAGGCCGCAGTCCACGATGCGCACGGGCTGCAGCGGCTTCCCGGACCGGCCCGCGGTCGGCGTGTCCTCCACCTTGCGCACCACGTCCATGCCCTCCAGGACCTCCCCGAAGACGACGTGCTTGCCGTCGAGCCACGGGGTCTCCGCCGTGGTCACGAAGAACTGGCTGCCGTTCGTGTTCGGGCCCGCGTTGGCCATGCTGAGCACGCCCGTCCGGTGCTTGATGCCAAAGCCCTCGTCAGGGAAGGTGCGCCCGTAGATCGACTTGCCGCCGGTGCCGTTGCCTGCGGTGAAGTCCCCGCCCTGCACGAACGCACGCGACGTGGCGGTCGGCTTCGACCAGCGCCGCGATGTCGCGTTCGAAGCTGACGCGAGCTCAGCGGTGTTGGTGCGGCGCGATGTTTTCGTCACTCTGAGCGGTGGAGCCGGGCGGTGGCGACGTCAGGACGGTGCGCGCGCCTGAATGACGAAATTCTTGATCACGCGGTGGAACGTGCAGCCCTTGTACCCGAAGCCCTGCGCGACGTGAGCCGAGAGTGAAAAGGAGATAGGCATTAGAGGTTAGAGATGAGTTGGTGGGGGACGATGGCGTGTGTGCCTAGCTGGCAAGGGACAGGTGCGCGGCGCGGTGGGACGCCGGGCCCGGGACGACCGGATGGGCGGCTGCACGCGCAGGTCTGGGGTCTCCGAGGCGGACGCGCGCGATCCGACGGCGGGGGGAGCGCGAGGGTGGCCGCGGTCGCGGGCGCTAGCGTGCTTGGTGGGCGCCAGCTGGTGGCGCTGCGGGCGATCTGCGGGGACATCTGGGGCCCCGCGCACCTTCTCGCCCGTCGCGAGGGCCTTGAAGTTCTCCACGGTCTTCGGCACGGCGTTCCCGTACAGCCCGAAGGTCACGCGGCCGACCTTGTCATCACCGATCGCAACGTCGAAGTAGACCTTCTGCGTCACCGTGGCGTCGCTGGAGTCGTTCGCGGCGAGCGCGGGGGACCTGCAGCGGGCGTGCGGCGTGTCGGGTCAGGCAAAGCAGGCAGCGGGCGCGACGCGGAGCGGTTGGGAGGAGGCCAGGCACGACGCCCTCGGACGCGCGTAGGAGTTCGTTCGAGCGGTTCCGACGGTCGCGCACTGCGGAGTGCAAATATTCCACGCGAATCAGCCGCGCGAGCGGCGCCAGGCTGCCCTCTGTGCGAGGCTGTCGTCGTTGCGTCTTCTCGATCCAACGACTGCTTCGATGCGGCTTTGCGGGGCAGCGCGGGCGCCAAACGGGCCGGGCGGCGTACCCCTGGACGAGGACGGTGCCTGCGGCGGCGACCGCGGCCGCGGTGGAGCCCAGGATGGACCGCCGCGAGGCCTGTGCGGTGTCATCATTGGCCACTGCGTGGGCCGAGTGCTCCGAGTTGACGCGGGGGGTCGCGGCGCGCGGGGGCGCACGGGCGACGGGGTGGTTGATGCGGAAGCCCGCGCGGATCCACGGAGCCGCGAGCTCGTTCGTGAGAGCCTGGGGGCGCATGGTGCGTCTCTGGTGCTCGGTGTGGCGACTGCTGTGGGGTAGGTCACGTGCGAGTCATGCGATAGAGGCACGCGTGTATGAACCAGCAGCCACACGGCCGCGCAGGCGCGCGCGCGGGCCATTGAGGCCGGCGCGGTCGGCGCGTGGGGTGTGCGAGGACTGTCCCGGCGCGCGCGACCCGTGGGGGCTTGCAGGGCCCGGAACGCCGCGGCGCCGCGCACAGCTCGTTTCTGTGCGCGGCGTAGCGCGCGTGTTCTGTGCGGGGAGGAGATCCCGGCCCCGGAAACGAGGTGGACAGAAGTTGCACTTTCGCATTCGCGAAGTCGTATTTGTTGCGGCGACGGCGCAAGCTTCGCGGCCGGCTCCGCAGGTCGTAGGAGGAGGCCGTCCGCGCGGAGCGCCGCGAGGCACCTGGCCCGGTGCTGGCCGCGACAGAGCAGTCCCGGCAAGAGTTGAGCCAAGATGGCCGGAGACGCGCTGAGGCAGGAGCTGGAGGACAGCGACGATGACTTCGAGTACGAGGAGATCGAGCTGGAGAGCGAGGACGAGGACATCGACCTCCTGGGCGACGACCTCGACGCTGCATTGCAGACGCTGGGCAGAAAAGGCCGCAAGTCGGGCGTAGAGTCGCAGGTGCGGTCCGCAAACCGCCCCACGCCTCGCACACCGACCATAGCAGAGCCCGCTGGCGACCGCGGCGCGCGCGGGCCGCTCCAGCGCATCGCATTGCGGCGCGGAGGGCCGGTGCAGGCCGCACCTGCAGCGGGGTGGGTCCCGCGGCCGCTCGCGAGGCATCTGGGGGCGCGCACCTCCCACGGGCGATGAATGCGGGATGTCATCGATGCGTACGGGCGCGTTTCGGCGCAGCTGGTGCACTTGGCACTGCGTGACGCAGCCCTACATGTGGACAGCCTCAAGCGCGCCCCACCGCTCTATACCCCCCCCTCGCCCCTTCCCCTCGCGTCTCTGCGTGCTTCAACCATGAGTCCTGCTTGTGGGTCTCTGCGGAGGCGTTTCGGGGCGATACGGCGACGTGCGGGCGTCTGAGAGCGCTGGACGTGGGCTCGACCGCAGGTGCAGGCCGAGACGGCGCGGGCGGACCGGGAGCCCGCCCCGGGGGAGACGGTGAAGAAGGCCGAGATCGTGGAGGACTTCGTGCGGAACTACCTCGTGCGGATGGGCATGGAGAAGACGCTCGACGCCTTCGAGGCTGAGTGGTATCAACTCAAGGCCGAGGCGCGCTCCCCCGCCCGCAAACGTCGTTTTTCGGCCCGCTCCGCCGTAATCATAGCCTGTTCTACACCCGAGGCGTCCAGACATCGCGTTCCCGGCCCGCACGAGCTGCCCTGGGGGCGCATCCCACCGTCGCAGCCCACCCCGCCCCCCGCGCCGCAGGGCAAGCTGGCGGACGTGGGCCTCGTCCCGGACGTCTACACCCAGAACCGCGAGCTCGACGCGCGCGTCCGCGAGCTCATGGCCGAGCTGGACCAGGTCCGGGGCGTCGCTGGCAAAGCCACGTCGACGTGGGACCAGCTGCGCAAGGAACGGGACTTCCACCGGATGCACCACAAGCGCATCATCCAGGAGAAGAACACGCTCGTGACGTCCCTGCGCCGCCTCAAGCAGCACTACTCGCAGTACGAGCCCGTGATCAAGGAGCTCCGCGGAAAGTACGAAAGTGCTATGAAGGAAAAGATGCTGGTGCGACTGGAACGCGACCGCCTCGTGGGGCGCCTCGAGTCCCTCGAGGCCGAGCTCGCCGCCGCGGAGTCGAGCCGGGAGGTGCCGGACGCGGGCGCGGCAGCGGCAGCGGCAGTGGCAGCGGCGGCGGCGGAGTCTGCGCCGGCGGAGCGCGGCACGGCGCCGGGGACGGCCGGGGCGCGGACGGCGACGGGCAAGACGGCGCGCGGGACGACGGGCGGGACGTCGCGCGGCCGCACGGGCGCGCAGTTGCCCGCGGAGGACCCGGAGAACAAGCTAGCGCTTCTCAAGTTCCCGACGTTCGAGACGAAGCACGTGCGCAACAGCCGGACGACGAAGGCGCACCAGATGGCGGCGTCGAACCTCGCGCTGCACCCGACGCGGCCGATCGTGGTCACGTGTTCGGACGACAAGACCTGGAAGATGTATTCGCTGGACGACAGCAGTCTGATCATGTCGGGGGCGGGGCACACGGACTGGGTGTCGTCGGCGGACTTCCATCCGCGCGGGACGCACCTCGCGACGGGCTCCGGCGACATGTCGGTGAAGATCTGGGACTTCGAGAAGCAACGGTGCATGATGACGCTGACCAAGCACGCGCAGGCGGTGTGGGGGGTCGCGTTCCACTACACGGGGGAGTTCCTGGCGTCGTGCTCGCTCGACCACACCGCGCGGCTGTGGGACATCACGACGTCGACGTGCCGGCAAGTGTTCAAGGGCCACGTGGACTCAGTCAACCACTGCGCGTGGATGCCGTCGACGTCGTCGCTGTGCACCGCGTCGTCGGACAAGACGATCTCGCTGTGGGACGCCCGCACGGGCCTGTGCGCGCAGACGTTCTACGGCCACCAGAACTCTTGCAACCACGCCGCGTTCTCGCTCAGTGGGTTCTACATTGCGTCGTGCGACGCGGACGGGATCGTGAAGCTGTGGGACGCGCGGATGGTGTCGGAGATCGCGAGCATCGACGCGGGGCCGCACCCGACGAACCGCTGCGCGTTCGACCGGTCTGGGGACGTGGTGGCTGTGGCGTGCGACGACAGCAGGATCCGGTGCTTCGACACGACGTCGCTGTCGCAGGTGGCGGACCTCACGGGGCACGAGGACTCGGTGCAGGCGGTGGAGTTCGACCACGCGGGGACGTACCTGGTGTCCGCGGGCTCGGACGGCACCTTCCGCTGCTGGACGTGACGAGAGGCGGGGGATGTGATTCGATGTCGACTGACTGACGTGGCATGAGCGACACGAGGCGGGCGGGGCGACAATGCGCGACCTGCTGCGCGGCCACGCACTTGCTCGAGAAAACCATCGCGATCATGCGCGGGGGGGTAGCAGCGCGTCTGACGCGAAATATGAATCCTACCGATTCTCTCTTCTACCGCAGGTGCTGAATGACCCCCCCTGACAAGGTGCTTCATCCTCGCCTCACACCGCAGCCACGCAGAGCTACCGCGCCCACGGCGCCGCCGTCGCTATCATCGCCCCCCCGTTGCCCTCATGCCCAACACTTCCTACGCCCGGCAGCGCCTGCGGCAGCCGCCCCGGCTCCGCGCCCGGCCTCACCACGACCGGCACAGCGAGCTTCGCCGCAGGGATCAGCGCGCTCGCCTGCATCTGCCGCAGCTGCTCGTCGTTCAGTCGCCCCGCAAAAATGTTGGGGCCTAGCATGTCGCGCATGTGGCCGATCGCCTGCGCCGCGTGCGCCTCCGTGAGCGGCCGCCCGCAGCTCAGCGCGCGGAAGGCCGGGCCGACCAGCGCGGCGACGTGCGGCTTGAAGCGGCGCTTGCCGAGGTGGTCTGCGATGGCGGGAATCTGCTTCCAGATCGTGTCCCACAGATTGAAGCAGTGCACGAATGAATCGAGCGCGGCGAGGTCCGCGACCGTGGGGAGGAACTCGTTGGCTGCGTCGGGGTACGCCGCCGCGAGCTCCCGCAGGAGATAGATGCTCCCTGCATGGACGGGGAGGGCGGTGGGGCGGTGGGGCGGTGGGGCGTTGCAGAGCGCTGAACGGCGACAGGAAGGCTTGGATACTTGCAGCCGTGTCTGTCCATGCATGGAAATGTGTGTTTCGCTGTGCACTGGCAAGTCAGCCACAAGCAATCAGATTACCGCGCCGCCGTGGGTACGCGCGCACTCAGCGCGCGCATCAACAGCTCCCGCGCGCCACGCGGGCGTCGACTCACCGTCCGTCGCCTCCCACGGCTCCTTGTCGCGGGCGAAGCCATGGTCCATGCACCCGCCGCCGCGCTGCAGCTTGGGCGCCAGCGACCCGCACGAGAACATCTGCTGGTCCGTGTGCAGGTCCTTGTCGTTCGCGCGCGCCCGCCGCGCCTCCTGCGCCACCCCGAACTGAGTCACGTTCGAGAGACCCCCATACTTGGCTGAGTCATGCGGCTGCTGGAACGCCGACGGAAGCATCTCCGCGAGCCGCGGGACGATGCGCTCGCGCGCCTCGTCGCCGTACGCGCGCAGGCAGCGTCCCAGCGCCACGGCGCTGTCCTCGCGAACAGTTGGAATGTTGTCCCACAGGTGCGCGAACCAGAGGTCGTACAACTCGTCCAGGACCTCGCGGGACTCCTCCGGGCACGCGAGGACGCAGAGGCCGCACGCGTTGCACGCTGCGGGGGCGGCGGAGCGGCGGGCGGCGCGTGAGCGGGGGAACAACGCGGCCAGGCTCAAGCGCAGGGTGTCTGCGCGCACGCTCACGCCCGCGCTCGCACGGACGTCCTCGTGTGCGCGAAGCACGCTCCCGTGACAGCAGGCATCCGGCGCGCGATGCAGCGGGCACGCAAGGCGCAGCGGCGGCGCGGGGCGCTGCGTGGCAGGTGTTGCGGGCCCACCTGCGTCGCGGACGGGCCAGGACGCGTCCTTGAAGCAGTTCACGAGCGTCCTCAGCATGGTCGCGGCGTGCGGCCCCGTGGCGCCCTTATCAATCTTCGACATCAGCTCGGCCATGCATGCGCAGGCCGCCTCCCGCACGGCGTGGTTGTTGGCCTTGCTCTGCGCGACGTAATACGCCACGACCTCCGCGATGCACCGGGCGACCTCCTCGCGCCCCCGCTCCCCCATCACCAGCCGCCACGTCTCTTGCGAGTACAGCCGCACCCCCTCCGCCACGTAGTATCGGTTGAGGCACATGTGGGGCAGCAGGAGCGGGAACAGCTCCTGCCGGAGGTCGTCCGGGCACGCCAGCATGAACGACCGGCACCCGACGGACGCCGCGAACCGGACCTGCGACCAGTTGTCGCTGAGACCGTCGCCGATGCGGAGCGCGAACTCCTTCGCGAGCGGCCGCAGCTCGTCGCCCGTGAGCGTCTCGGACATGGCCTTGACGGCGAAGTGGCCGGTTTCGCGCACGAAGCGGTTTGGGTGGTGCAGGGTCCGGTACACGAGGTTGCGCATGTACTGAGTCAGGTAGGGGTGGTATTGATTGCCACACCCCTCCATGAGGCCCTGGAGGGCGCGGCAGGACGTCTCGAGGCACTTCCAGCCCTCGGTGCCGTGCCGCATCTCCCCGGCGCCCGGCCGCTGCGGCTCGTACGTCGCTTGCAACAACGCGTCCACGAAATTGTCCGTGTCCTCCTCCTCGCCTGCGCGATCGCCCGAGGAGGAAGCGGGGTCGTGGGGGAGCGTGCTGGTGCGTCGGTGCAGGCGCAGGCGTTCGTTTGGGGGCAACACAGGACACCCATCTGCCGTTGTGGCGGTGGCGTCGCGCCGGGCAACAGCGGCGCAGAGTGCCGGCGCGAGCAGGTGCGTGGTGGCTCGGTGCGTCGAGGGCCGGCGGCCGGACCGCGTTGCTGAGCGTCGGTGCCGTGTGTGTGAGTGTGGCTGCCGTTGCGGCTACACGCGCACCTGGTTCACCGGCTCCGTCCTCGTCGCGGTCGAAGTTGGTCTCGATGCTCTTCAGGATCGTGTCCTGAACGCGGTCGACGGTCGCCGGTCCGCACGTCGCTGCACGCACCCGCAACCACCACTAGGAGCGTCATGGACCACCATGCACGTTGTCGCTCCTGCGTGCGTGCGCAGCAGTGACGCACGGGCCCGAAAACCGACGTAATCCCTAGCCCAGGTCCAGCGAACACGCCAGTCACCGCGCCAGGCCGTCGCGCGCACCTGCTAGCACTCGCAAACACTTTGCCACCTCCAGTCTCACGCGCCACTCCTCGTCCTCGAGGAGCCGCATGCACTCGTCCATCATCTCCTCGCGGAACCCAGCAGCGTCGTAGCGCGGCACGATGATCGCCGCGGCCATGAACCCGCCGAGGCGGTCCTCCCAGCGCTCCGAGTGAAGCATGGGCCTCAGGGCACCGGCCGCGGCGTCCAAGGCGCCGTCCTCGACGGGCTTGTCGTCCTTGAGGCGGTCGGTCATGGTCTCCTGGGCGCGCTGCCGCTCGAGGTGGGTGCGGTGGCCCATGAGCTGCGTCAGGGAGCGCAGCTCCTCGCCTGAGACCGGGGCGGCCATCTCTCGAATCCACGGAGCGGGTCTGACTCAGATTTCACGCCTTGAATCGCTCGAGCGCGGTATGGGTGATGCTTGGGCCGCTGTGGGCGCTCGCAGGTGCGCTGAGGTGCCCCGTTGAGGGCCGGGCAGTGCGAAGCGTGCTCTGCAGTGCCGCAGACGGTGCAATTCGGAGTAAGATGGACCTTGATTCAGGCGTAGAAACGTAGTTCCTGGTCCGAGTGGCGCGGGCACGACCTGCGCGGCGGTCCTGGATGCGGGCGGGCGCGCTGACGGCCCCCGCAAGCTTAGACCTCCGGGGCGACCGATGCTGTTGGAAGCCGTGCGCGGCGCTGAGGGTCATTTCGGGCGCGCGCAGCAGGCGCCGCGCTGCAGTCACGCGGCGTAGAAGCCCGCACTGACGGTGCGGCACTTGTCACGGCCACCTGCAGCCCACAGCGGCCTTGTGTGCATCCAGCACAGTCCTAGGCGCGCAGCGCACACCAGCAGCGGCACGACGGTGACCTCGCGTCCCGCGATGAAGCATACATGCTCTGATAAACAGCGGTGACGCTCGTTCGATCCAACCATCCCCGAGCACGCCAGACGCACCGCGGGAAGCCTCAGTACCTATCTCGCGCGCGTGGCTGCGCGCTCAGGCGCATTCTGCGTCGCTAATCGTAGATTCTACCTTCCAGAGGCGATCCCTCACCTCGCTGCCGCAATAATGGACCCCTTCGGTCGCGGAGAGCACCAGGGTCCGCCCCGGCCAGCACCAGCGCGGGGTGCAGTGGCGGGGGCCCGCGCGGACGCGCTGGCGAAGAAGGCCGGCAACGGGTGGGACATGAACGAGTTCGGGCACGCGTGGACGCACGGATACCTCCAGAAGAAACCATGGCACCCTTTGAACTTCCGCAACCAGATGGTAAATAGAAAACAAACCAACATCACTGTTCTATGACTGTTTATGACTGTCCAAGCACTCACACCTCGGCCGGCCAGATGCCTATCCTCACGAAGCGCTCGCCTCGTGTGCCTCGCGGCCTGTGGCCACGGCGTCGTCGCCCTCCCTCCAACACATGCTGGGGTCTGGTGCACGGAGCTGACTGGCGACCCCGACGCCCACGGGCCCGCGCTGCCCTCGGGACGCCCGCACGTAGCCCCCCTGCGACGCCTGCTCGCCGCTGTGTCGCCGTGTGCGCGTGCAGGTGCGGTACGAGAGGGAGCAGGCTGCGTACGAGCGCGAACAGCGGAACGAGCGCGCGCGGAGGGAGCTGGAGGCGGAGAACCAGCGGCTGCAAGACATCGCGCTGCTGCCGACGAAGGAGGCCGAGCGCATCAGGCACGCCGCAGCGAGTTTCATGCATTACATTTTCCTCTTGTATTCTCGATTGATTGCATATACATGAAAGCATGCTTTCATGTATATGCTCGTTGCAGCACCAGACCGCTTGCCGCGACGGACGCGGGCACTCGCACCGCGGAGCCAGGCTCTCGCACGGCACGTCGCGATCGAGCGGTCGCCCTGCGCGCCAGCCGAGCGCGCACGCCCCCTGGCGCGCGTTAGCGGCAATGCGCACTGCGCAACCCTGCCTGCTCCCGCAGGTCGCTGCGCGAGTTGTCCTTCATGTACGCGAAGCCGCCGGGGTACGACGCGGCTGTGGAGCGCGACAAGGCGAAGGACAGCGCACCGGCGGACCAGCCAGCGGCCGACCCCGCCGCCGCCGCTGCGCCACAACCGCACACCGGTGCGCGCGAGCAGGCGCGGACGAGCGTGAACTTCAATCCCGACGCGCTCAAGGGCCTCATCTCCCTCCGCGCGACGCTCGCGGGCCAGCGCGAGCTCCAGATGGGCCTCGGGGGCCTGTTAGGCCGCAGCCCCCCCCGGGGGGGTGTTGCGGCGGACGCGGCGAACCAGCGCTTCGTGCTGTCCCTCGGCGACGACGACGCGGCACCCGCCGAGCCCGCGGCGCCCGCGGCGCGCGTGAGGCTGCCGCGGCGGCAGCGGCGTGAGCTGGTGAAGGCGCTGAGTGAGCTGGAGGCAGCGGCGGCGACGGGCGACGCGGAGGCGGTGGACGCGAGCCGCCTGCTCCGGACGACGCTCGTGCAGAGCGGCGTCGACGTGGACGCGTTGCTGCGCCGCCGCCGCCGCCGCGAGGACCGCCGGGCGCGGAAGCGCGCGCGCCGTGACGGCAAGCAGCGGCGGCGCGGCAGCGGGACCGGCGGGGCCCGGCGACAGCGACGCGTCCACGTCGTCGAGCAGCGGGCGGTCGGGCCGCGCCGCCCGCCGCCGGGGGCGGTCCCCGGACGTGTCGCCACTGCGGCACGAGGAAGGAGGGGGCCGGCGGCGGGACGGAGGGCCGCGGCGGTCGCGGTCCCCGCGGCGGGGCGCGTCGCGAGAGCGGCGGGAGCGCGCGGAGCTGGCGGGTGCGCGCGGAGCTGGCGGGGGCGACCGGGAGGTTGATACTGAGTACAGGGAGGGGCGGTACCGGCCCGTGGGGGAGGGGACGGGGAGACGGCCGCGGCGGTAGGGATGGGAGCATGCGGGATGCGGGTCCGCGAGGCGCGCGGCCGCGCTGTGACGCCGCGCGGGACGGCGCGTCGCGTGTGGGGTTCGTTGAAGCGCGCCGGGGACGCGCGCGAGTCTTCTCGCGGGGGGGCGGGTGCCCCCCGGCGCTGTCTTTGTTGGTTGCGGCGGGGGCCGGGCAGTACCGACCGGAAGCGCAGTGCTCAGCACTGCTGAGGGTGTCAGACCAGACGTAGTGTGGGCCCCCTGGATCGGACTTCCCCCGGGAGCGGGCCGCTCTGTTGGGGCCGGGGAGCGCGGGGCGCACGGAAGAATCCCGTCGCGTCGACTCGTTCTTGCCAGAGTCTACGCAGAGCAGCAGAAGGCCCGACGAATCGTCACGAGCTTTCGGTTGGGCTCGCAGCCTATTCGCTCGCGCGCGGCCGCGGGGGAGTTTCCAGCGCCGCAGAGCGGTTTTCTCGGCTGTTGAAGCTAAACCCAGTCGAATGCTGACGCCGCACCCCCCTTCTGGCTTCAACCAAGTCCAGGCGGCCCGGCTACAGCATCTGCTCAGACTCATGACGACGGCGTCGCGGCGGCTGGCCCACCGGGCCTGGACGTCCTACAACAACTCACTCGTCGAGAGGCCCATCCTCACGAAGAGCCTCGTCTCCCTCGCGGGCTTCGGCCTCGGCGACGCGCTCGCCCAAAGCGTCACCAAGCGGCCAGAAGAACCCTTCCGCTGGGACCGCACCCTCAGCATGGCGGGCTACGGCTTCGTCGTGGGCGGCCCGCTCGGCCACTACTGGTGCGCTCCTGCGCGCCCCGCGCCGCCGCGTGCCCGCCCCGCCCACGAAACGCCCCCCAGAAGTTGCGGGCCGAACCGCCGCCGCCCGCACCGCGCGCGCCCGCCGCCGACCCCGCGCGGCCCGTGACCGTCCGTCCGCGCCGCCCCTCCGCGGTCTCGCGCCCTCGCGCCGAACAGACCGTTGTTGGCGCGCCGCGCGCCGCCAGCCGCCAATCTCTCCAGCGGCGGTGGCCGCCCGCCGGCTGCCGTTGAAGCCCGCGCCGCGCCGCGCCCGCGCCCGCGCCCGGCCGCGCGCCGCTCACCGCGCCGAAGCTCCGAACGCGTGCGCGCAGGTTCGGCGCGCTCGACAAGTACGTTCTCCCCTCGCGGCCCACGAGCCCCGCCGCGGTGCTGGCCAAGGTCGGGGCCGACCAGCTCCTGCAGGCGCCGTTCGGCATGGCGTGCTTCTACGCGTGGGACACGATGGCGAAGCACGGCCGCGAAGGTGCGCGCCCCGTTTCACGCCCCGGGCGCCCCGCGCCCCGCGCCCGGCCCTCGCCCCGCGCCGCCCTAGCTCCCCGCCGTGCGCGACGCGCGCCGGCGCCGCGCGCGCGGCCGCCCGCCGCGGCCGCCGAGAGCGCGAACGCGCCGCAGACGCCGGTATCCCCGCCGTAACGCGCCGCGCCGCGCCCGCGACCGGGTAACCTCGTATTCACGCACCCTGGGGGCTTGCGCGCCGCGATCTGACCGCCGCTGGCCCCGCGACCGCGCGCATTGCCCGCAGGGTTCGAAGAGGAGTTCCCCCGGGCCGTCCGCGAGACGCTGCCCGTGGCTCTACAGGCCTCCTGGACGATGTGGCCATTGGCTCATTTGATCAACTTCCGCTACATCCCGTCGTCGCAGCGGATGCTCTACGTGAACGCCGTCGCGCTGGTCTGGACGTCCATCCTGAGGTGCGCGCGCCGCGACGAGGGCCGCGCGACCGTTCTATGCCGCGCGCCACGCACCGAGGAGGTGCCGCGCGGCTTCGCGGAGCGCCTGCCCCGCCGGGGCTGCGCCGTGGCGCGCCGCGCCGGCCCGATGCCGGGCGCCGCCGGGCTCTCGCGGGCCGCTGCGGCCATCGCGCGGCCGCGGCGCGGGCGCCGCCCGCCCGCGCGCCGAGCGAGCCTCGCCGCTCGTTGTGCAATGACGTGGCACTCCCCCCGGCCCGAATCTCCGCAGTTACGTCTCGAACAAGCCCAGTGAGCCCGCGCCGTACGAGGAGGTCGGGAAGCTTGCGCCCCAGGAGCTCTGATTGCGCGGCCGCCGCGGGCGGAGCGCGCGCGCTGCCGTCTAGGCCGCGTGCCCCTGCTTGCGCCCAGCGCGCGTCACCGCGGGCCGCTGGCGCTGCGTGATGCGCGCAAGCGGGGCCCACAGATGATTGTTTGTCCGGCCCGTGGCCTGAATTCAAAAATGCACGCCCGTTCTCCGGAGCTGCGCCCCCCCTCCCAGCCCACCCCTCATGCACGCACCGTACCTCCGTGGCAGCCGCGCGCAACGCGCGGCGTCGTTTTTCCGTACCTTTCTGTGTCGCCTGCCACAGCGCGACCCCCCACCCGACCGTTCCGCCCCCCCGCTGCCCCCCCTGGACCTGCTGCTGCATCCAGGAAGTATCCCTTCTCGGGGAGTCTCGAATCCTCGACTGCCTTTGGTTCCCAAACCGCCCTCTCGTTTCCGCCGTGCGCCGCGCGCCCTGCGCGGTGCCCGCGGCCCCCCCGCCCCTCTCGCTCCACGACCACGGCGACGCTGCGGCAGCCGCCCACGCTGCGTCCTTCGGGGCTCGCACGCCCCCTAGTGCAGCACAACCAAGCTGCAGCCCCGCACACTGGCTGCCTTGGTCTGGCGCGCCCGCGACGAGCCTGACCGCTCCTCGCGCCCCTGGTCGGAAGAGGTCGAACCGCGGCGAAACGGAGGGCGTCGATTGTCGATTTAGAGTTCCACGTGAGGTGCAAGAACCCATCGCTGACGACCCCGGACAGCTTGAGCGCTGTCCCCGCCCGCTGCGTCCTGGCATTGCCAACGCGCGCGCGCGCTGCCCCCAGGGCATCATTTTCCGTGTAACCCAGCTGCACAATCCGAGCAACGACAACAACGACGCTGCAGCTGCGGCATACGAGAGGCTCTCTCGTGGTCCAACCCCGAGGGCGCGTGCGCAGCTTGGCTCGCAGACACCGGCTGCGGGCCGCGGACGACCGGGCCCCGCTGCTGCGGGCCCGCGGCCTCGGGCGTGAGCTGGCGGGGGGCTCTCACCTTGTGTGGGCCCCTGCCGGCCTCGGGGCATCTTTACGGGCGACGGGCTGGCGATCGGCGCAGAAAGCCATGTGGCTGCGAGACGGTAGCGCTGTTACGACGCGAGCAGCGGCCAGCGCACCGCGTAACCTGTGGACTGGTGTTGTGAGGATGCATGCCGCGCCAGGGGGGCCTGGCAGCTCCACGCCGGCAGACTGCGCCGCGGACGGCCACATCGTTGGAGGGCGATACGTTCTGGTGCGCCACGCCCCGCGCTGTCCGCGCCACCCGCCGACACCGCTCGGTCTGTTGAAAGGCGTGCGTTCTGGGGCCGCAGGGCGTGGTGCTGGGCTCCGGAACGTTCGGCGAGACGCGGCTGGCGATCGATCTGAGGACGCAGGAGCCCGTCGCGGTCAAGACGATCCCCTGGCACCGCGTCGGCCGCACGACGCGTCGAGAGCTGGAGAATCATCGGCGGCTGGTGCACCCCGGCATCGTTGCGTTCCGCGAAGCCCTGGCCGCGGAGACGGGCGATCTGTGCATCGTGATGGACTTCGTCCCCGGGGGAGAGCTGTTCCACCTCGTCAGCGCGCGCAAGCGCCTTCCGGAGGCGGAGGCGATGTGCTACTTTGCGCAGGCGGTCGAGGCCCTGCACTTCGCGCACGGTGCTGGAATCGCGCACCGCGACCTCAAGCTCGAGAACATCCTCCTCGACCGGTGCCCTCACCCATGGTGCGCGCCTCGCCCGACCCCCTTTCTCAGACATCAACAACAAAGACGCGTGCATCGATCGCCGCTGAAACGCCCCTAACGACCGATCGATGCTCCCGCGCCCCGTCCGCTGCTCGATCTTTCCGACATCGCGCCGGTCCTGTGCGCGGCATCAACACCCCCCCCCCCCCGGCCCATTCATCGCCCACGTTATACTCCGGCAGCAAACCCCTCCGTTGGCTCGTCCAGCGTCGAACTCGCCGCAGCTGCCCGACCGCACGCGGCGTGCCGCACCGACCTCGCAGGGAGCCGCCCGCGCGCGTCCGCATCGCGGACTGGGGCTGCAGCAAGGACATGGTGCAGTCGCTGGCGGGGCGCACCATGGTGGGCACGTGCGCGTACGTGGCCCCGGAGGTCCTCCGCACCGCGCACAGCGGCGAGACGTACGACGGCGCCGCCGCGGACGTCTGGTCCCTCGGCGTCGTGCTGTACACCATGCTGACGGGCTGCTACCCTTTTCAAGACCCCCCCCGTCGCGAGCACGCGTCAGGGGGGGAGTCCGACCCGAAGGCGCGCGCGGCGGACGAGAAGATGGCGATGGTGCGGAACATCGCGGAGCTGCGGTTCCTCGTGCACCCTGCGCGCCTCGTATTCGTGTCTGCGGGGGTGCGCGAACTGCTTCTCGGGATGCTGGCGCCGATCGAGGGGCGAATGACGCTGGACGACGTGCGTGCGCACCCGACGTGCCACGCGGCGCACCGAGCGTTTGAGGCGTCGACCGCGGCGGCCGGGGCGGGTGCTGGAGGGGGGGGGAGTGATGTTGATTCTTCGGACGAGAAGGGGGGGGTGTCGCGGCTGCGGCGGTGGTGGAGCAAGCGGCGGGAGCGGGGCGGCTCGCGCGGGGGGTCGCCGGGGAGGAGGAACAACGGGGAGGAGGTGCGGATGTAGGCAGGCGGGCGTAGGTGCCAGATTATAATGCGAATCGAGGATCTTCGACTCGAAGTGACTGTTTCATCTCGAGTCTCATCGAGGACGGGAGTGAAAAACTAGCTCTCGCGGCGACGCGACCGGGCCGCGGCCGCGCGTGGGCCTGCGATCGCGACGTGCTCGGGTCCTGTCTCAGCTCACAGGAGATCGAAGAATCACGACCGTGGACACAAACTTCATGACCCATCTGATCCAACGCTCCTGCTTGCAGCCTCCACCCTGGCCCGCAGGGCGCACTACTGCGCGGGCAGCACGTCCGCAACGATGTCCAGCGCGGACTGACTCAGCTTCGGGACCCTGACGTCAAGTTTCACCCGGAGAGATCCCCGCTCCCCCGGGCGCTTCGACCGCGGCATGCCCGACCCCGGCAGCGTCACCGTGCTCCCCGGCTGCGCCCCAGCCTGCACCGGCACCCGCACCTGCCGCCCCTCCAGCGTCGTCACCGACACCACCCCCCCACACAGCGCCGTGCGCAGCGGACACTCCACGCTCCCTACGAGGTCGTCGCCGTCCCGCTGGAACCGCGGGTGCGGCTTCGTCCGCACGACGAACACGATGTCGCCCGGCTCCATGCACGGGTCCGTCTGGTCGCCCTTTCCTTGGAAGGTAATCTTCGTACCATCCTTCCACCCCGGTTTGACGTTGATCTGCAGCTCCTCGCTCACCGACCGCAGACCGCCGGAGGCAGCGTCCGCCACGCGCCGCGTGAGCCGCAGCCGCTTCGTCGTGCCGTGCAGCAGCTCCTCGAGGCTCAGCTGCAGGTCCATCGTCGCGGTCTCCCCCTTTACGGCGCCGCGCCGCGCACCGGGCTGGGGGGGTGTCCGGGGACCGCCCCTGCCGGGCATGCCGGGCATGCCGCCGAACATGCCTCCGAGGCCGCCGAAGCCCCCCATCGGGTCGTCGTCCATCATGCCCATATTAATACCCCCAAACATCTTGCGGAAGAGCTCCTCGGCGTCCCGCCCGCTGAAGGTGTACGTGCCGCCGCCGCCGCCCGGGAAGCCGCCGGTGGCCGTGAAGCCGCCGCCGGGCATCCCGCTGCCGGGCATCCCGCCTGTCGCGGCCTCCGGGGGGGGTCCGCCGCCCTTGAGACCCTCCTCGCCGTAGACGTCGTACACCTGGCGCTTCTTGGGGTCCGACAGGACATCGAAGGCCTCGCTGACCTCCTGGAACTTCTTCGTCGCCGCCTCGCGCTGTCCCTCGGGCGCCTGCGTCGTCGCGGTGTGTGGTGGGCCAGAGTGGGTGGGCCAGAGTGGGTGGGCCAGAGTGGTTACGCGCTACCATGCATCGCTGCGGCGCTTCGAGCCGAATGTGCGCAGAGCTGAGGTTCGAACATACAAGAAGAGCACAAATCGTCAGATACGGAAGAATATGAACCAAAGACGAGGGCTCGTGCGGAGACGCGCTCCACAGCGCAGCGCACCGCACGCGCAGCTACCAGCGACTCGGGCGAGCACCCGTACGCGCCGTCCAGCATAGTCGAAGCATGCTCGCTGCGCAGGCGTCCGCGCTGTGCGGTTCCGTGCCCAGTCGTTGGGCCGCGGCTTCGGGGGAGCACACACCTTGTCAGGGTGCAGCTTCATGGCTTTCTTCCTGTACGCCTTCTTGAGGTCATCCTCCGTGGCGTTCTTGGCGACCCCGAGGATCGCGTAGTAGTCCTTCCCCATTCTCGCCGACGCGCTGCCTGCCTACAGGGGTGTGGCAACTCCCAACCGGTTCCGCCCCGCGGCCTCTCGAGACCGAGTTATCGAGTTCTCGCGCCCGTACGACGTATAACAGGTAGCGTGTTCAAGTGTGTCGTCGTTCAATCTCCCTAAGATGCCCGCGGCTGACCGCAGCAGGCCAGAAGGTTCACCTGCAGCGCAGGCCTTGCCCGTCTCCCTTGGTATCCCTGCCGTCGGTTTGCACGCGAAACCTATCTAACTTCGAATCTTTCAGCTAGGCACTACCCGCGACGCCGCGTCCCCGGCCGCAATCACTCCCGCGAGCCCTCCGCGCGCTCGTTGTACCTGACGCCTTTCCAGAAGTCTCCGGACCTTTCGCGAACGTTCGCCGCGACGCACGCGCCAAAGCGCCCGCGCAGCACAGCCGCTTGCGCGTCCGCGCCCCCGCACGCGTTCGTCGCCCCGCGCCCCCCCGGGACCACGCCAGCGCGGCTCCCAACCCCTAACTGCCGCATCGGCCAACCCTGCGCGACACGCCGTCCCCGCCGGCCACACTCCGGCGTTTCGACGCACGAACGACGCGCCGCAGCACCCGCTCGACCCGGCACTGCGCGCGCGCTCGACGCGCTCCGTCACGCATGTCCCAGACGCCCGCATCGAAGCCAACTTTGACGACGCGAGGCCAGGACCGTCGGAGTCCTGTCGTGAAAATATAATTCAGCATGATTGTAACGTCCGCGCTCAAGCGCAGCCCACAACGCACGCACCCGACGATCATGACGTCACAGACCATCCACCCAGCAAGATCTCTTGGTTGGTGCTACCGATCCACCGCCCTACTCCCCCCCTCCCCCGCCTCACCCGACCGCATTCTCCACCACCTGCCGCCTCGCCGCCCCGATCCGCTCCCTCACGTCCCGCACCGTCCCCTGCACGTGCCGCTTGAACGCCAGCACCTGCTCCAGCGCCTGCACGACCGCCACGTGCATCTCCGCCATCTCCCGCTCGCACCGCGCCTGCGTCTCCGCCAGCTCGCGCCCGGCGTCCGCCGCCGTCTCGTTCGACGCCGCCAGTTCCGAGCTGTTCTTTCCGCGCAGCTCCTCCAGCTCCAGCCGCACGCGCTCAGCCTGCGCGCCCGCGTGCTGCATCTCGAAGTCCAGCTCCGCACGCGTCTTCGCGAGCACGGCCTCCGCGGCGCCCACCGCGGCCTCCTCGCGCGCCACCTGGCCCCGCAGCTCGTTGACGTGCTCGTCAAGGCCGTCCACCTTCTCGCGCAGGACGAGCTCCTGCTCGGTGCGCTCGCGCGCCACCGCGGCGTAGTGGTCGCGGAACCGCGCGACCGCGGGCCGCACGACGGACTTGATGCCGAGCCTCACGATGTCGGACGGGCTCGCGGCGTCGCGGCACACCGCCATGGAGAGGTCCTGCCCCTTGGCGCGCTTCGCTGTGGCTGGGGCCATCTGGAGACGCACCGCGAGCTGGTTGTACTGCGCGGCGACCTGCTCCAGCGCGTCCAGCGCCTCGGACGTCTCCATGGTCTTCGCGCCGAGCTCAGCCTGCAGAAGCAGCGCGGTGTCTTGGGGGTGTGTTGTGTTGGGTGGGGTGTGCTGCGCGGTGCGCGCGCGGCCGTGCCTCGACGGACAAGGGCGCGCAGATGCCGAACGCACAGCGGGCGCAGCGGAAGGGGGGCGGGTTGTGTTGTTGTTGTTGTTGTCATTGTGTGAGTGCTCTGTCCTCTCTGGTGCGCTTGCGCGGGGCGAGGCGGCGGCCGCACCTCGAGGTTCTCCCGCGCCGTCGACACCTGCGTCATCATCGCGTCGAGCTTCTCGCGCTCCCGCGCCATGCGCGCCATGTCGGTCGTCGTCACCGCCTGCGCGTCCACACTGGCCTGCAGCTGCGCGTTGCGGGCGCGCAGCTCCGCCAGGTCGCGCTCCCGCGCCGCGACGTCCGCGCGCCGCTCCTCGATGCGCCCCGCCTCCTTCCCGATCGCCGCCCGCAGCTTCCCCACGTGCTCCCCAAACTTGCCCACGTCCGACCGCAGCTCCGCGCGCCGCGCCTCGATCTCCGCGAGCTCCGAGGGCGCCTCCTTGAGCGCGCGGAGCCGCTCCTTGAGCGTCGCGTTCTCGTCCTGCGCGTAGCACGTGCGGCCGGGCAGGGCGTCAGCGCGCGCGTGCGTGCGTGAAACGAGCCCGCTCTGCTCTGCGCGTCCCGGTGCGTGCACTCTCGAGTGCGAGGCCGCGAGGCTCGGTGCGGGCTCGCCGCTCGCGGAGTGCAGGCCGTTGCGGGGGCCGCCGCCGCGCCCCGCGAGCCGACGAGCGTCGTCGCGACAACCGCCGCCGGCCCCCGCAACGGCCCGCGCCATGCCGCGCACGCGCGCACGCGTACCTTGAGGGAGTTGAGGTCTGTCTCCATGTCGCCCTGCCGCTGGCAGAACCGCGCCTCCATCTCGCGGTCGAGAGCCTCCACGGTGTCGTCGTCCCCAGACAGGAAACTCGTGTACGACTTCGCGATGTACTCGAAAAACACCTTGTCGTCCGCGCCCTCGGCCGCGACGCCCTGCACGCACGCGCACGCGGGCGCCGCCGTGTCTGTCTGTCGGGAAAGGGGGGAGTAATAAATGTAGTGTTGCGGTGCGAGCTGCGGCGTAGCGGGGTCGTACGTCGCGTTCGGCCCGGGCGCGCGCGGCCTCGGCCTTCTCCTCGTACGCGAGGATCTCGACGAGCCAGACCATGGCGGCGAGGACGTGCGGCCAGGTGTTTGGGGCGCCGACGGCGTAGAGGCTAGGTTTCGTGATCTGGAAGGGGTAGTGGAGGCGCTTGAAGAAGAGCGGGACCTCGTCCTCGATTTTCCCGGACAGGTCCATGTTCGGGTCGATCCGGCGGCACAGGAAATTGACGATGTGCGTGAACTCCTTGCTGGTTGGGTTGGCGAGCTGCTTGGGGGCGATGGCGTGGTCGTAGCCGTGCGTGGAGAGGTACGTCACCAGCGCACGGATGCAGCCGTCGCGGTACGCCTTGTCGGACACCGGGCGCGGGTCCTGGCGGTCCCCGGCGCCGCGTTTTGGGGCCATGGAGCTCGCCCTGCGCGCGCGCGAGGCGAGGGCGGTGGTGCTGGTTTGCCGCCGCTGCGGGGAGAGGGGGACGAGTGCGAGGCCGAGCGGGAGTTTGGTGGCGAAAGGGGGCCTGTGCGCGGCGGGCGGGGGGCGTTCGTGCCTGCGGGCGGGCGCGCCCGCTGGAGCGACGCTGCCGCGACGTCCTGGGGGCATCTGGGAGACGCGCTTCGCGCGGTCCTTCTTCTCCGCGTTGTCCACTCGCCCGGGGGCCGCGAGGGAGGGCCGCGAGTTGAGCTGCGCGGGCGACAGCGCGCCTAGAGTCTGCCTTCGGCTGGTCATGCCTCGTTGTTACGGGGACAGCCGGTTTCCGGGCGCGTGCAGGGCTTCCTGCGCCGGAACGTCGCGCCGGCGTGCAGGAAATACTCTAGTTCTTCGGCCCGCGCTGCCTGACGTTGTCGGGGCGCGCTGCGGGCGACGGCAGCGGGCCTCTGTGTCGGTCCGAGCTCGCTCTGCTGCGCTTCGCGGCGCGGCCGGTCCGCAACGTGGCCGTCCGACGCACTGAAACGGCCTTTCGGACTCTGTGCGCGGGGAGCGGCGGGCGCTCTCCCCCTGAAGCCGCGCGGGACGCCGGGAGCGCCCAGGGCTGTCGCTGGGACCTCTTGAACGCCTCCCCTCCCGCTTTTCGGGCCATTGCGGGGGCCGCAGGGGCGCACGTCGCCGCGGGTGCGCCGCAGTCCGACGGTCGCACCTGCCGCGTACGTTCGAGGTCAGTCGAGTCCGCGCGCACGTCCGCAGACGACCGCGGAAGCGGGTTTTGCTGCCCGCAGCTGCAACACGGCCGTTTCGCGGCTCTCATCGGGGACCTCTGCAACCATGGGGTCGCGCATCCAGTCAAGCGAACGCGCGTGGGTCCACCGGGTACGATGCGCTTCCACACGCGGGCCCCAGCGGCCGCTGGCGCACGCCCCCGCTGACCAGCATGAAACGTGCCCTGTCCGGCGCGCACCGCGCGTGTGGTCGCAGCATCTTCCGCGCAACGCGGGGCAGTGCTCCGTTCTGGCCGGCGCGGCGCATCGCGGGCCGTTTCGCTCGGGACAGCGCTCGCCGCGACCTCTCGATCGTTCCTGCACAGCCAGCATGTCCAGGGCCCTCCCTCCTTCCTCCGCGCTTCTCATCGAGATTTCTCTGATCCCCCGTGCCGTACGGACATCAGTCTCGGTCGTGACGCGCGGGAAGCGCACGTCGGTGCTCAGACGCGGCGCGGGCGTGCAGTGCGTTGCCCACAGCCCTCCCGTGCCCCGCCGCGCGCCGCAGGTCAACAAGGAAGACGAGCACTACGTCAAGTTCGTCATGTCCGACGCGGCACACAAGTTCCACATGTCGTCGGGCACGCTCGGCATCCCCGTCATCCGCGGCGTCCGAGCGCCCGGCGAGGGCCCCGCTGCCAGCCCGGGCGCCCAGGACGCGCGCGCCGGCGCTGCGCCTCTGTCGGAAGCATACCTCACCCAGCAGCGAGGCGCCGCGGCCGACGAAGCTGCCGACATCGACTCGCTGTCTGTCAGGACTGGCCACACAGGTGCTTCCCCCCACACGCACCCAGCCGCCCGCCCCGCACGAACGAGCGCGGCCCACGCACCGCACGGTCCGGCCGCGTCCCGGGCTGCGCGTCCGCTGTCCCGGCGGGCGCGGCACCTCGCCGCAGCTGCGCGTTGCCTCTCATCGCGGGGCGCTCGGGGTGTGGCGCAGGCGTGTCGGGGGCGGTGGCGCGGTCGCGCAGGGGCGGCGCGGGGGCGTCGTACCCGGAAACGCCGAGCGAGGCCGGCAGCCGGCGCACGACTGACACGCAGATGCTGCGGCAGCTGGAGGCGCTGGAGCGCGCGCTGGCGGAGGAGCGGCGGCGCAACGACGAGCTCGAGAAGCAGCTCAAGGGGCAGGCGAGGGCGCCGGGCGGGGCGAAGAAGGCGGCGGCCAGAGCGGGCAAGAAGTGACGCGGCGCGGGGACGGGGGAGGGGGGTCGTTGGCGGCGCTGCCGTTCGGTGGCGATGCGCGCGGTGGCCGCCGCGGCGCGAAGATATGTGAAGAGCATGCAGCGCTCGTGACGAACGCGTCCGCGGAGGACGAACACGTCGGAGGAGGGCGGGACCGCGCAAGCTGCTGCAGTGCCGCACTCGTGGGGTGTGGGTGAAGCGCGGACGCGAGGCGCAGGCGGCGATTCGTTGGCAGTGATCGACGTGCGGTCGCGGGGCCGCCGAGAGACCGCAGCGCGTCGCGGCCGACCGCCTCCGCGCCCCTGGGGCGTGGACCACAGCAACACCCTGCTGCGCCACGCGGCGCGAGTCCCGTCAGCGGAACAGGGCATTCGGCCTCGAGCGCCCTCGACGGGGCAGCGGTGCGCACCGCAGCCGAACCACCACCACCGCCACAAAGTAGTAATTGACCACCCGCGCACGAAACGAAATGCGGGTGTGTCGCTATCGTCCTGATCAAGGCAGCAGCGTGCTAGGAGTACTCGCGCGAAATGCCACGTGAGCATGTCATCGTGTGCCAAGGGAAGGCCCTGACCACCACCACCACCCACCGGGTTGGCCGCAGTTGCTTACAACAGCAAGCCCCCCAGCGTCGCGGCAACGTGCAGCCCCCGGCGCCCCGCCCGCCGTCACGCCCCGGCCACCGAGGGCGCTCGCGAGGACCCGCGCGAGGACCCAGCCTGCGGCGGTGGCCGCGTCACTGTGCCGCGAGTCTTTACGAGCACCGACGTAGGCACTGTCGCGTCGAACCCGCGCGACTCGGCCAGCCGGTCCGAGGCCGTCTGGCGCGCGATCTTGCGGTTCAGGAGGCGCGCCTGCAGCGAGAGAGGCCCGCGCGGGCGGCACCGCGTCCGACGTTGGCCGGGCGCAGGCGGGGGCGCGAGCGCGCCGCGGGACGTCGGTGCGCGGGCGTGGCGAAGCGGCCGAGGGTGCGGGCTGCGCGCACCTTCGCAAACGCGCTCTCGGCGTTGTGGACCGTGGAGCTGATGGACCCGGTGCACGTCGCAAGTTCCGCTGCTAACCTGTTCCGTTCTGCCTGCTTCTCCGCAAGGGATGCCTTCTGCGGCGGCACCGAAATTCCAGCATTTCCGACAATGAACTAGCAATGCCGCGGACATCCGGGGCAGGTCGTGGCGGTTTGGGGCCGCGCGAGGGAGGTGGTGGGTGCTCACGACTTTGCCCAGCTTTTCCTCGTACATCGAGATCTCCTTGTCCAGGCCCTCGATGGTGTGGTTGTCGCGCTGAATCTGCATCTCCCGGTCCTTCCGCCGCTTCGTGATATTGTCCATCATCTTGTCCAGGCCGTTGATTGCTCTCTCAATAAACTTAGGGTCCTGCGGAGGACGCACGCGCGCACGAACGGCCTTTCTTGCCGCCGCGACGCGTGCTCTAGCGCTGGACCGTCCCAGCAAGCACGTCAAACTGCGTCAGGGGACGCGGGAGGCCACGTGCGCGCGTACAGCATGCGCGGCGCTGCGTTTGACGGGGAAAAGGGGCGTGCGCTGGCCCGCAGGGCGGGCGGCGCGGCTGGGACGCGAGGTTACCTGCTTGACGAGGTCCTCGATCTTCATGGACGACATTGTGCGGTTCAGGTCCTCTACGTCGGCCGAAACGTCATTCTGCTCCTCCACCGGCGCTGTCTCCGTGACCTCCGGGGCCTCTGCGGGCTGTTCGGCCTTCGAGGACGGCTTCGAAGGCATCGTGGGGCCTCTCGCGACAAAACGCCGGCTCGCGGAACGCTCCCGGGGCCTGCACGGGAACCAACACTCCTCGCCCTGCCAGCCCGAGCACCGCCTCTCGAGGGCGCCTAACCGGTCGCAATCCCGCCTAGATCAATGTTTCTGCCCTGCTCGGCCGATTCCGCCACGTCTGCGAGCGCCTTGTCCACAGGTTGCCCCGCAGCGACGCTCGGATCGAATGTTGCACCAACACGCGGTCTCCCGACTTCTACGCGCGCGTGAGGGATATCTCGCGGTCCAGAGCGCTAGTACGGAGGTATGCGGCTACTGTGCACCTGGCGGGCGGCCCCGGCCGCCCTCGTCGCGCTCGTGGCTCCGTGGAGCGGGTGGGGGCCCTGCTGAGCTGCCAGTGCGTCCGGCGCAGCGCCGCAGCTGCCCGCTTGGCCGGCTACAACCGCCGCGTGCGGCTCGGCGTGGACCGACTCCGTGTCGGACTGAGGCATCCGAGCTGTGCGCGGACCCCCTCGCCTGCGAGACCCGACGGAATCCCTGAGTGTGCGTAGAGCAACTTCCGCCGTCCACCGCGGTCGCGTCGTCGCGGGTCCGCGCCACCCGCTGCCGCGAGAGCGCGAGCAAGAACGTCAGCTGACCGCTCGCGCCGTGAGAGATGCGCAGCGCGGCGTGGGCGGCCGCAGTCGCGGCCGCGGTGCTCGCAGGGGTCCTGGCGGTGGCTCTGGCGGTCCGCCAGGAGCCGGGCGACGGCAAGTTCCGCCCGCAGGCGTTCACGTTCGTCGTGGGGTCGGACCTCCACATCGGCGTGAAGGGATCCAAGGAAGATGGGGACACGAACACGTACAAAAACGCGAAGAAGTTCGTCAAGGTATATACACTTCCTCCTCTGCCGATTCCCGCGCCGTCCGGAGCCCCCAGGGCCTGAGACCGGCCCAGTCGACGGCGCCATCATTGTCTGTCCTGCAAGGATCGACCTCGCGGCGCCACCCGGGCCGCTCCGCCTGTACGTGCGCCGGAGGCGTCTGCACGACAGTTGCCCTTCACCCCGCCTGTACGCCGCAATGCGCCGGGAACGGTGGTTGCGGCGTACGTTCGGCGACGCTCCGTGATGCGTTCTTCCACGCGGGCCGGTCGTGCGGTCGCGAAACGTGGTGGCCGCGGCGGCCCGGCACTAACTTGCACCAGTCGCTTTGCGCAGCGGCTCGGATCTCCGCGCCGGGGCCCATTTCGGCGGTTTCCGCCGCGCCTCTGCGCAGTTCCTGAACAACTGGGACGAGAACAAGCTCAAGTGGCCGGAGGACCTCGGCGGCGACGACGTGCAGCGGCCCCAGGGTGTCATTCTCACGGGGGACCTGGTCAACGACGGGGGGGAGCCGGATCTCGTCAAGTGCGCCCCCGGGCCGCCGCACGGCGCTGTGGCGCACCGTGCTGGCCCGCCGGGCGGCGCGGGGACGGTCGCGGGGCGGCGCTGCCGTTCCCGTGGACCGGCAGATATGATTTGCCGACTGATCTTGCGCCGCTGCGCCTGTGGCTCCCTGCGCCGCAGGGGCCAGTGGGACAAGTACACGAAGCTGTTCGCGCCCATCAAGGGCGACGCGAAGCTCGACTACGACGTGTACGAGGGCGCCGGGAACCACGACGGCGGCTCCGTGGAGCCTGACCTGCACAGCATGCATCCGGACGTACGCCCCACGCGCCGCCACACCATCCCGCGCGCGCACGCGGCGCCCGAACCGACGAGCCCGCGGCCGCTCCGTGTCCGCAGGAGTCGGACGTGCCGCGGCAGGCGATCGTGGCGAACAACGCCAACCGCGCGCAGCGTGTGCACACGTCGCGCAACGGGCTGCACTACTCGTGGGACTGGGGCCCGATCCACTTCGTGATGCTCAACCTCTACCCCGGGAAACAGCGCTCCGAGGACCTCGAGGACACGGACGAAATGAGGTGCGACGACCTGACACACATCCGCGAGCATGAATGCACACCGCGCTGGCCCCGGCTCGTCCGTCGCTCACATCGATCACGGCGCCACACACGAACCGACCCCGCCGCACGTGCGAGCCGGCAACGCCGCCGCGCGACCCTCTGGAGCGCGCGCGCGCCACGGCGCCGGCCCGGGCCGCGACCCCGGCGCCCCGCCGCGCTCCAGCGCCATCGCGCCGCCGCCTCACCGCGCGGCACGCGCCCCCGTGCGCCCGCAGCAACATGGAGCCCGACCATGCACTGGAGTTCCTGAAGCGCGACTTGCGGGACCACATGGGCGACGTGATGTGGAACGGGCGCATCCTGCACCGCCATGCCGTCCTCCTGCACCACCTCGGCGTCGACCACCACTCCCGCGAGCGCTGGACGGACGAAGAGCGCGCCGAATACGCCGACGTGATCAAGAAGTACAACGTCATGGCCATCTTCCACGGCCACGACCACGAGCCGAAGTTCTACGAGTGGGAGGGCGTCAACGTGTTCAACGGGCCCAGCGTGTCGCTCGACGACGAGCACTTCCCCAAGGTCGAGGGCCGGAAGCACCACTACCAGTTCCTCGTCGCGTCCGTCGAAGTCCGGGACCCGTACCACTTCCACACGAACTGTACGCGTCCCTCGTACCGTCCCGCGCCCGCCCGCTGCGGGATCTGCTGGCCGCCGGTCGTGTCGTTGAGTGTCAACGGTGGGGTGCCGCCCGCCTCTGTGTGCGCAGGGGGCAAGATCCGGTTCAGGGTCGCGGAGTGGTCGACGCTGCACGGGAAGAAGGGCGACGGGTCAGACGGGGACTGGGGACTCACGTTTATACAGGAGGTGGTGCCTTCGCCTGACGTGGCGGGCCGGGGGGGTGTCTCGGCGTGGGTGGCGCGCGGCTACCAGTACCTGCGGTCTCTCGTGCCTGGCCGGAAGGCGTGACGGCGCCGCGGCGCGACCGCCCGGTGCTGAGCGAACACTCGCACTGTACGTGTGCGGGTCGGCGACAGGCGGGCGGGCGCCGTTCGTCCGCGCAGGGCGACGCATCGTTGAGCTACGGCGCCGCAGCGTCTGTGAGTCGGTGTGCGACGCGGGCCGCGGCCGACGAGTGTCGCGTTGCAAGCTCTGCATGCAAGCATGGTGGACTGTCGACGTCCGCGCACAGCGCTCGGCTGTCCTGTGTCGCGTGCGGGGCATTCCACCGTCACTGCCGCTGCCCGGCTGCGCCGAGGACTGGTCAAGGCGACCCCTGGCGGGCGCTTCCGTTCGCTGCTGCGCCCCCTTCGGAACCCTTCGCGGCCCCCAGTGAACGCGTGCGTCGTCCCGAACGTTCTTCACAGGCCACAGCGGGTCTCGTGCGCGCTCTCTCGCGTGCCTCAGTTCTTCTCGCCCCGGACCGACTGGATGGTGCGGAAGCGCAGAGCGTTGATCTTGATGAACCCTCCGGCGTCCTTCTGGTCGTACACGCTGTCCTCCTCGAACGTCACGATCTCCTGGTTGTACAGAGAGTACGGGCTCTTCCGCCCAACCACGATCACGTTGCCCTTGTACAGCTTCAGCCGCACAGTGCCCTCCACCGTCTTCTGCGCACACACAACGCCCGGCAACGCGACGCGCCCGCTCAGCGCAAGCAACCCACCAGAACGGCGCGGCCAAGCACAGCGACGACGCAGAGCGCCCACAGCGGGAAAGACACGTCAGGCGCACAGTTGGGCGGCCGCGCGCACCTGGGTGCTGTCGATCAGCGCCTGCAGCGCCTCGCGCTCCGGGCTGAACCACATGCCGTTGTAGATGAGCTCGGCGTACTTGGGCATGATCTCGTCCTTCAGGTGCGCCTCGCCGCGGTCGAGGCAGATGCTCTCGATCGCGCGGTGTGCGGTGAGCAGGATCGTGCCGCCGGGCGTCTCGTACACGCCGCGCGACTTCATCCCGACGAACCGCGACTCGACGATGTCGATCCGCCCGATCCCGTTCGCGCCGGCCACCTCGTTCAGCGCGGCGAGCATGTTGGCGGCGCTGAGGCTCTCGCCGTTCAGCGCAACGGGGTCGCCACCCTTGAAGTCGATGTCGATGTACGTCGGCGTGTCCGGGGCGTTCTCGGGCGACACGGAGCGCGTGAACATGTCCTCCGGCGGCTCCACCCACGGGTCCTCCAGCGCGTTGCCCTCGTAAGAGATGTGCAGAAGGTTGGCGTCCATGGAGAAGGGCGGCTCGTTGCGCTTCGAGGCCGGCACGGCGATGCCGTTCTTCTCCGCGTACGCGCAGAGCTTGGTGCGCGAGTTGAGGTCCCACTCGCGCCACGGCGCGATGCACTTGATGTCGGGCTTGAGGGCGTAGTACCCCGTCTCGAAGCGGACCTGGTCGTTGCCCTTGCCGGTCGCGCCGTGGCAGACTGCGTCGGCGCCGAGCTTCTTCGCGATCTCGATCTGCTTCTTCGCGATGAGGGGGCGCGCGATGGACGTGCCGAGGAGGTACACGCCCTCGTAGATCGCGTTCGCGCGGAACATCGGGAAGACGTAGTCGCGCACGAACTCCTCCCTGCGGAAGGGAGGAGAGCGAGAACGAGGTGGACATATGTACGTTGCGCAAGTGTATATATATGTACATATGTAAACGTAAATGTAATGTACGCGAAGCAGCGCGAACGTGATGTATTGGTTGCTTGCTGATGGCCGGGGCAAGAGCGAGAGCGGGCGGCTGAGCGCGACGACGGCGCGGAGTGCGCGCACGCGTGCGGGACGCGCGCAGTGCGGACGTGACGGCGTTGCTGTGAGCGGGTGGGGCACCGGAGCGGAGCGTGGGGCCGAGGTGACCTGCGCGGCAGGTAGGGCTGGGTATTTGCGAGCGGACCTGACGTCCTCGATGAAGATGTTCTCCGGCTTGACGCCGGCGGCGGCGGCCTTGGCGCGCGCAGGCTCGAGCTCCTCGCCCTGCCCGAGGTCCGCGGTGAACGTGATGACCTCGCAGCCGTAGGTCTCCTGCGCGGGCGCACGGTTCAGCGGGGGCGCGGAATGAGTGCTGCGCGCGCGACGCGGCGGCGGAGGGGCCCGTTGCCACGCAGGAATCGTTGACGCCGTTCCCGTCGCGCACGACGCGTTCGGACGCGTGCGACGCTCGCACAGGCTCGGGGTCGAAGGTACAAGGGCGGAGAGGGCGGCGTGGGGGTCGGATCGGGTGCGAGTGGCGCGGAACGGCTCGTAGAGGGCAAGGGTAGTTTGCGTGGTGGGCTAGGGCGTCGGCGGCACGCGCGCGAGCGTCGCAGCGGGCCGTGCAACGGTCTAGGCGGCATGGTCGCGAGCGGGGCTGCGTGGTTCGGGGGCCGGAGCGGCGGCGCGGGCTGCGGTTCGCGCGGGCGGGAGGCCGCTGGACGTGCAGCCGCGGCGGCTGAGCTGGGCGAGGCGGGGCGCGGCGGCTGCGCGGCGGGCCCCGCGCGCGACCGCGCGCACCGCCACGGGCGGCGGCGGAGGCGGAGACGCTGCGCATGCGCGGCGGCGACGGCCAGGCGCTGCGCGGGGGGCGCCGTGGTCGTTACGGAGGACCGCAAGCCCCTGCTGATTTCGCGCGGCGTGGGCTCTCCGGGGCGGATCCGCCGCGGCTCCGCACGTGTTTTAATGTGGGCGGCGCGGGGCGGGGCGGAAAAGGGCCGGAAAGGCGCTGGCGACGCGCCGTGGGAGCGGCGTGGTGTCGGTACCTGGAGCCACTTCAGAATTACGGACGTGTCGAGGCCGCCCGAGTACGCGAGGACGACCTTCTTGATCTTCGGGTCGGCCGCCTGCACCTTGACGGCGCGGCGGGCCGACACGCCCGCGCGCGCGACGCGGTGCGCTGGCCTGGCGCCAAAGGAGGCCTGCTTGCGGGCGTGCATGTGGGTGGCGGCGAGCTGCATGATGACGATCCGATACCAGCGGTGCGAGCGGATCCGGAAGTGCCCTGCGCCGCCGTGCCCGCGCCGCACGACGCCACACGGGGCAGCGCGGGTGCCTGGGGTGTGGGCGACCTGACGTGCACGGCGGGCGCCCGATGGCGACGCGACAAACGATGAAAACGCCGCATCTACGTGTTCTGTGAGCGCGCGACGAAGGGAGCGGTGTCGGCTGGCCCGAATCTCGAACACGCCGCGCGCAGCGGCACGTGGGCTGCTGGTTAGTCCAGCGGCTGCCCACGGCCCGTGCCGCAACGTGCCGCCACGCACGCGACGTCACAGGCACACCACGCGCATGGTCATTGCTCCGAACGGCTCGACAGACGCTCCCCTGCCTCGCAACGGCCGTGGCGCGTCGTCTTTCACAACTCACGTCGGGGACGTGTCGTCCGCGCGTCACGCCGACGCAGCCGTGGGCCGATGCGCGCCGGGGTGCGCCACGAGCTGGGGCATGCTCACAGCGGCAGGCTACTGCATCGGAGGGGGCGGGTGCGTGCGGTCCTCATCAAACAAACCCAGGGGCAAATGACCAAACTGGGCTTCGCCGAGCTGGACCAAGACGCCGCGGTCGGGTCCGGAGTACGACGTTGCGTAGCAGAGGCCCGTGGCGGTGTTGTGCTTCACGTAGACCCCGCCGCGGAGCAGCGGGAGTGCAGAGACGCCGCGTTCGCGACACGTCGGCACGACGTACGGGTGGCCCAGGGCCTCGCAGTAGTCGCGCAGGGCGCGACACGCGAGGCGTATGTCAGATGAGACGATCCCGAACAAGATTGGGTCGCGCGCGGGGTCCCACGCCGCGTCCTTCCTCGGCCTAGACACCACCTGCAGGCATTCGCGAAACCGCGAATGATGAAGCCTCTCATTCCTATTACATCGACCGTCCTGGATTCTTCCTGAGAACACCGTCCCGCAGAGGCCATTGCACGCGGAGGAAGGCCTCGCGTCGCGACGGCGCGCACCTCCAAGAGACTGCTTCGCAGCGCGGCGCGTCCTTCCGGTGTGTCGCACATCGGCTGCCGCAGCCGCTTGACGTCGCGCTTCGTGAACTCCGTCAGCACATCGAACGCGTCGCGCGGCGCCGCAGCGCCCTCCGCGGCCCCAGAGCGAACGACCTGCCCGCGCGGTGCTGCGACGACCCGGCGACCGCCGGCCCCGAAGCGACAGTCAGCCCTGCATCTGATCATGCCCAGCGCATCGACCACACGCCAGCTCGGACCGGCTTCTGCCCACCGCAGCTCGCGATCGCGCGGCGAAGACGGACAAAAGCCACACACAGGGCGGGGGGGTGTTGCGTGGTATAACACGCAGCAGGACAGAGCGCGCGCCAGGGCGACCGTCGCATCGCCAGCCCTTCGCACACCGCCCATCACACGCAAAACGCCCCGCGCGGGCGACACCCCCCCCCCCCTCCAGTGCACGACCTCTCCAGCACCCGCGCCCGTCACGCGTCCCCGGCGCCCGGCGCCCCCGGCTTCCGCAGCACGTGCAGCGGCCGCCCGAAGCCCTCCTTGCTCCCCTCGGGCCGCAGCACCCCCACCTCCACCAGCCCCTCCTCCGACAACAGGCGCGGAATGTCCTCCGGCCGCAGCTGCAGCTCCGCGAGACGCCCGGGCATCCACTCCTGCGACGCACCGCGCGGGCGGGGGGCGGTGAGGCCGCGAGGCGCGCCCGTGAGCGGATATATATACATATGATTCCAAAATCAATTGGTAGAGTACATGTGGTAATTGAACAAATGAGGAAGTACTCAAGGATGGTTGTCTTGTCTTGTGTTGTAAGCGAAGAAGAAGAACGAACGCCACGGTCCCGGAGAACACCGCAGACGGCCGATCGAGCGCGCGTGCGACACCCACGCACGCAGTCCTGCGTGTCTGCGAGTGGCCGCTCACCTGCTTCGTGTCTCGGTGCGACGCCGCCTGCCTGTAGCTCTTCCACGGCTGCGGCTCCACGATCACGTGGCCGCCGGGTTCCGCCGCCCCCGCGAGCAGCCGCAAGAGCCGCCGCAGCCCGTCGTCGCCGCCGTGTATATGCACCCACTTGGTGACCGACAGGCACGTCACGACCCCAAAAGTACCCCGCGGGACCTCCCCCTCCAGGCTCAACACGTCCCCCGCGCGGAACCGCACGTGCTTGAGCGCGTCGAGGCGCTCCGCGGGCGGCAGCAGCGTCGCCTCGGCGCCGTGCGTGGGCGCGTGGCCGCGACGCTCCTCCCGCGCGGCGTTGCGTGCCGCCATGAGGCGGCGGACGGCGCGCCGGACGAGCACGGGGTCGATGTCGATGCCGAGCGCGCCGGAAATGCCGAAGCGCTGCGCGACGGAGAGGATCACGACGCCCTCGTGGCACCCCACGTCGAGCATGGTTCGACCTGTGTTCAACGCACGACACACGTGGCGGCTGAATGGTGGCGGCGTGGCGCGACGCGGGGCGGCGAAACGGGCCGCGCGTGGCTTGCAGGGGGTGCCAGGGCGCGCTGAGGGCGAGAGTGGGTTGCGGGGGGAAGAACTTGAGGATTCGTGACTTCGGACTGCACCTTTGAACCACGCGGGGTCGAAGACGGCCAGCCGGGGGTCGTCCAGCGGGCTGCGCTTCTCGAGCCGCTTCCCGTAGTAGTTGTGGTAGTTGCCGTGCTTGAACCGCCCCCCCTCGCGCTTCCCACCGCCCCCGTTCCCGCCTGCACTCAAGTCGCACCCCGTCGTCCGCGCACCAGTTTGTTCGTCTCAGTTCCGCCGCACCGTTCTCAGCGCACCACGCCGCTTTCGCGGGCAGCCCGCGCTGCATGTTGCGGTCAATGTGCCGCGCGGGGCACGTCGCACCTGCCTCCCGCCCGGCCTGTGCTCTGATTGTGACCGTGCAGACCTCTGAGTGGATTTCCGCGTCGTTTGTTGGGCCGTCCGGCTCTCCCGCGTCGCCCGCAGCGGCGCGGGCTCGCATCTCCTGGACCAAGGGCCCGAGCAGCCCGCGGTGGCGCGCCGTGTTCGCGCGCGGAGGGTCTGCGGACTGCGCGCCGGTGCTGTCGGCCGCCGTTTGCGTCCGCGGGGGGCCACCGCTGCCGACGTCGGGCTCGCGGGCTCGCTCTCGCTGTGGTTCGGGGGCGTCTCGCGGCGGGCTCGCGTCCGTGCGCGGCGTGCTGTCTGCGCGGAGAGGCATTGCAGGAGACTCCAAGAGGGCGCTCGCTGGGTCGTCGTACGTCGCCGGGGGGACGTTCGCGCATCCGTCGTGCTTCGAACGCTTCCTCTTGCGTCGCGTGTGGACCGCGGCGACCTCAGGCGCCGGCGACGCGGCGTGGTGCTCCTCGGTCATTCCTGCGGGCTGGACGCCGCCTCGCCGCCCCTGTGGCGCGTAACTTCAGTCGTTCATGACCTGTCGACGCGATGGCCGTCGTGCAAAAACCGCCCCGAAGCGCGAACTAGACCTGAGTTTCCAGGGGCGCCGAAATTCAACGTCTGCTTCCCCGCAGACGCCACACACACGTGGCCGCGGCCGGCTCCAGCTGCGCCGAACAAGCGCGCTCCACGCTCCACGTGACCGCTCAGACCGTGTGCGCTCTCCCTGGAGCGCACCGCGGCCACGTCCCCCTCCCCGCGCGACGGCAGGCCGACCACCCCCCGGGACCAACAAGTACAACACCTCAGAGCCCCGTCCTGCCCGCCACAGCGCCGCCGAGCGCACCGCCGCTCCCGCACTCTCGTCCGCCTGGCATGCGCGTTCCATAGAGCGCTTCGTCACATCGTGCGATTCGTGGTTTGGCAATACCTAGCGTAGCAAGTCTCGTCCGCCGCGCGGGGCCCGTTTCTGGCCGAACGGCCCCGTCCAAGCGCTCTGTCTGACCACACCGAAGTACTTTCGTCGGTTATTGGTCCGAAAACCGCGGTACCGCGCCTCGTGCGCCACAGCGCACCTCTGGGCGAAGCAATGGAGCGCAGCGCGACCCTCTCGCGAGGCGCTCGGCGCATCCCATGCAGCGTCCATGCTCCCACGCGCCCTCCTGGGCCCATAGATGCGCCATCTCGGCCGCGCAGGCCCGCGCGTTGCCTGCACGGCCCAGTTGGGTGCCGTGCAACGGATGGCGAGTACGCAAACGGGGCGGCAGCGAGCCCGCCGGTGTGCCGCGGGCCCGGATCGCCGTGGCTCGGGATCAGCGAGGAGGAGTACGCGAGCCCCGCGGACGTCGCGCTGCAGCCGGGGCAGCTTGCCGCCGAAATGTCCCCTCCGTGGCGCGTCATGCTTTTGAGCGACGGGTCCGTGACGCGGCACTTGCAGGCAAGTACCCGCGCGCCGACGTGCGCGGCGTTGCGACCGCCTGTGCGCTCGCGCTTGCGCCCCCGGCGCGACCGCAGCCGCCCCGAATGATGTCGCGAACGCCAGTCGTGATTTCTCGAGTCTGAGTGCGCCGGACGGATCGAAGCGTGCCCGCAGATCCTCTCCGGGCTCGACATCGAGGTCGACTGCCTGTCGATGCGCCGTCTGAGCGACGCCGAGCTCGCCGAGGCCCACGACCGCCTGCCTGACGTCAGCCTCATCGACGGACCCGTCGTCGAACGCCAGGTCGTCCTGCGGCGCACGTGCCGCTCGAAACAGGCCCTCGTGTACGCCGCGTCGTGGTGGAACGCCGACAAAGTCGACACCTACTTGCGCGACAGGTCCGCGCCCCCCCCCCGCACCAACAGCGGGGCGACATCGAGCCGTGACGGCCGTGTTCGCCCCAGCGGCGCGCTCGCACGCTGCCGTGCGTCGTGCAGCCTATGTACGTTCGGTACCGCGCGTGACGCGTGGGCTGCCGGGCCGCGCGCCGCGCGGAGCGCCTCTGGGCACTCGTACACGTACAGCGCGCCCGCGCCGTTCGTTGCGCCGTACAACGCGTGCCCGGACACCTCCGGGCACGATACACGGCCTCCTGGGCGGCACAGTACAGCCCCTGCGTCCCCCACGTCGCTCCTGCACGCAAACACGAACACGCATGCGTGTACGTGCGCAGGAGCAAACCGATATGGGCGAGCCTGAGCGAGGAGCGGCTGGAGCTGCACCGCCAGCTGTGCGAGGTGCGGTACGGCCGCAGCCCGGAGCTCGAGGCCGCGGAGCTGCTCGGGCACCCCGGGCCGTTCTGGGCGCGGCATTATGTGTTCTACCACGACGGGGCGCCGCTGACGGTGATCTACGAGGTGTTCTCCACGGCGCTCGCGGACTACCTCGGGCCTGTGTTCGCCGGGGACGGCCGGGGCGGAGGCGGCGGTGTGTGAGGGCTGGGAGCGAGGAATGGTGGTTGTTGTTGGGTTTTTGGTGGTGCGTGTCGGAAGGGCGTGTTGTCTTCGTGTGGGCGTGGCTGTCGCGTGCTACGCGATGGCTGGGAAGGCACCGCGTCGCTTCGCGAGGCTGCTGAGTTCGAAGTGCCGCCAGGCTGCGTTGGCAGGGCCGCAGTAGCGGCGCGTGCCTCGGGCAGCAGCGGCCTCGCCCGAGCTCGCCGGGAGGCACCACGCGTGCAGGGCCCCGGCGCAAGGTGCGCGAGGGGAGGTTCTAAACGCGGAGGGGCCCAGGCGCGAGGGCGTTACCGGGCTACTAGCCCACTAAGTGTGTCATCCCCCCCGGGGAGTGTTGCTTGCTTGATGCTGGCTTCTCGGCGGCCCGAGGTTCCCGACAGCCGCCGTCGCATGGCACTGCGCGTACATGCGTTGGCCAGTCTGCGGCACGATGCGCGTCGAACGGAACACCTGCGTTGGCAGTGGTCCCCGCGCTCAGGGCGCATGGTCGTCCTGCGCGGCGCCGACCGCCCTCCGGCGCCATGGTGTAGTCTTCGCGTTCGTAGGAGCGGACCCAGGGGTGGCGGTGGCGCGGGCGCCGCCCGTGCGCCCGGCCCCTTGCCCTGCAGGCGGGCAGCAACCGCCTTCCGCTCTCTTTGCCGCTTCGCCGCGCGAATCAGGCTGGCCGTTTCGCCGGTCCCATAACGACATCATTCCACGCCAGGTGCTCCCAGGTCGACCTCCCGAGCGACCTCTGCGCGGCATTGCCGGGTGAAATCACTGGAGCATACTCGTGCCGCTCTCCACGCAGCCACGGCGCTCGAAACGCGCGTGGCCAGCCGGATCTGCGCGAACAAGGCGAGTTAGCGCCGAAAGCCACAGGTGCGTCGAGGCTGCGCGGCTGCGCAAGCCGCGTGCGGTCTTGGTGCGCGCAACCCAGCCCGCAGCTCGTGGCGTGCGCGCTCGGCGCGCCCGCGCGGCATCCGCCGCGCGCACCTCGCTCAGGAGTCAAGGCGCTGGCCACCGCGCGTAGGCAGGGCCCACCACGCGCCTGCGCAGCCACAGAGGAGGCCCGAGCTCCCAAGGGCAATTGGGGGGCGGCCCGGGGCCGTCCTGCTGAGGCGTATTGAAGGGACTTTGGCGCTCGATGCGTGCCCCCATGCCTCACGCTGCCGCCGGGCAGACGCCGCCGGCGGGCGAGGCTCGGTGGCGCCGCGTCGCGGCGCGAGGGCGGTCACGTGACAGCATTCACCTGACACCACGATCCTCGTATGATGCGCCCCACCTCCCCCCCCACCTCCCCTCAGGGGAGGCTCCGGTCCGCAGGCCAAGGTGTGCGCCCCGACGGCGCAGCACGCACTCTGCACGGCCGAGGGAGCTTCCATCGAGGTCCGTTCGCGTCACACGATGGCATCCTCTCGTCCTGGGCGGTCTCCCGGCGTCGGAGGGAAGGTGCCCTTGGGTCACGAGTCTGTGGCCAGGAATTCCCACTGCCGGCGCGGCGCGATCGCGGGCTTTCCGTCGCTCACGAGCGGCGACTCCGCGTTGATGAGCGACAGGGTTCCTCCGGGCGGAGTTTCGACGCTGCGGTGCGCGCGCTTCATGCGCCTCGCGGCGATTCTGGCGATCCTGTGTGGGATGCTCTCTCACGCGCTGGCGGCAGGGGCAGGTGCGCACGCGGACCGGGACGCCCTGGCCCGTCGCAACGGCTCGTTGTCGCGTGCGCCACGATGAGTGCGACCCCGGCGCGCGCGGGCACGGGCACAGCCCGCCCGCGCACAGCGGCTGCCCGCTGCTCCACTGCCCCGGTAGGCGCGAGTGCCGGCCGCGGCCCGACCGCGCGATCGCTCCTTTCCGGCGCTGCTCGTTGGTCCAGTCAGGAACGGGCGCCCAGCGCCGGCCCGTTCGGCGTTCCGTTGCCCGAAACGCGGCGCTTGCCCCTGCCATGAAAGTCACACTGCTCGGCTTGATAGCGCGCCTCCATGGAAGTGGCATGCATCAGCAGTGGCATGGCGCGCACTCGTGATCGCTGTTGGCGTCGGGCACTGATGCACCGCTCGCTGTCCGCCCCCCTGCAGGAGTGCCGCCGCCAGCGTGGGGTGCGAGACGTCGCGGGCGACGCGTCCTCAGTGCGAGCGAGCAGACGGCGGCGCCCTCGACCACAGCGGCGGCGCTTGGCATCAGTGCGAGCGAGCAGAAGCTCACCGCCAGCGACGCTACGGAGGGCGATTTCTTCGGGTGGGCGGTGGCGGCGTCGGGGGAGTACGTCGTGGTGGGCGCATATCGCGACGACGACGCCGGGTCGGCGTACGTGTATAGGCGCGGCGCGGACGGGACGTGGACACAGGAGCAGAAGCTCACCGCCAGCGACGCTGCGCCGTATGAATATTTCGGGTCTGCGGTGGCGGCGTCGGGGGAGTACGTCGTGGTGGGCGCAGATGGCGACGACGCCGCCGGGTCGCTTCCGGGGTCGGCGTACGTGTATAGGCGCGGCGCGGACGGGACGTTGACACAGGAGCAGAAGCTGACCGCCAGCGACGCTGCGTCGGGGGATCTGTTCGGGCGGGCGGTGGCGGCGTCGGGGGAGTACGTCGTGGTGGGCGCATGGACCTACGACGACGCCGGGTCGAACTCGGGGTCGGCGTACGTGTATAGGCGCGGCGCGGACGGGACGTGGACACAGGAGCAGAAGCTCACCGCCAGCGACGCTGCGGAGAGGGATTACTTCGGGTATGCGGTGGCGGCGTCGGGGGAGTACGTCGTGGTGGGCGCATGGGGCGACGACGACGGCGGGTCGGACTCGGGGTCGGCGTACGTGTATAGGCGCGGCGCGGACGGGACGTGGACACAGGAGCAGAAGCTCACCGCCAGCGACGCTGCGCAGTTTGATGGGTTCGGGTGGGCGGTGGCGGCGTCGGGGGAGTACGTCGTGGTAGGCGCATGGACCGACGACGACGCCGGGTCGGCCTCGGGGTCGGCGTACGTGTATAGGCGCGGCGCGGACGGGACGTGGACACAGGAGCAGAAGCTCACCGCCAGCGACGCTGCGCCGTTTGATAACTTCGGGTATGCGGTGGCGGCGTCGGGGGAGTACGTCGTGGTGGGCGCATATGACTACAGCAGCGCCGGGTCGGACTCGGGGTCGGCGTACGTGTACAGGCGCGGCGCGGACGGGACGTGGACACAGGAGCAGAAGCTCACCGCCAGCGACGCTGCGTTGGGCGATTACTTCGGGTATGCGGTGGCGGCGTCGGGGGAGTACGTCGTGGTGGGCGCAGCTGGCGACGACGACGCCGGGTCGGACTCGGGGTCGGCGTACGTGTACGATGCTCCGACGGCGGCGCCCACGACGACGGCGGCGCCCACGACCACCTTGGCGCCCACGGCGACGGCGGCGCCCACGACGACGGCAGCGCCCACGACGACAGCGGCGCCCACGACGACGGCGGCGCCCACGACCACCTTGGCGCCCACGACGACGGCGGCGCCCACGACGACGACGTCGCCCACGACGACGGCGGCGCCCACGACGAC